AGTGGGCCAGGTGGGGGGCTAGTGGGAAAGCACGGCGGCGCCGGTTCAATTACCCAAGTTTGCGGTTAATTACCCAATTTTCTTATGCCTAAGCTAATGCCGAAGACCAAAAACAATACTAAAATTTATACAATTAAAATAGTGTTTGAGCGATTATTCGATTTTGCTTGTTTTTGCTGTAACTATTTTATATTACATTATTTTGGGGGGCTAAAATTAAAAAGATTAGTATATTTTTTGATGCTCTATCGAACGGCGTCAAAAAATCCCAAAAATAACGAAAATATCCAGAATTTTGCGACCCTCGGGCTGGGGGGGGTAAAGTAAACCGTAGCCATTCTTTAGGGAAGGCAGGCTACCAGTGATTCTTTAGGGCAGACAGGCTAATAGAGGTGCTTCGAAAACCCGTATATTCCACGAGATTCCGAGTGTTTACAACTTGCATACACGCCCATGTTTCCCATGGCATTCGTCGGGGTTACGGTATATTGCGCCAACCCGCCGACCCGGGATGGGCCATGTTTTTGCTCGCATCGGCATTTGGAGAGGGAAAGAGAGTGCGAGAGAGATAGAGAGAGAGAGAGAGAGAGAGAGAGCGCGAGAGAGAGACTGAAAGACCCGAATCGCGAAAAATGGTTTTTGCCTGTTTTTGGGCTGGGTGGGAAAGGGCGGCGGGATTTTGGGGCTTTAGGAAAAAGGTTTGGTAGAAAAGATAAAGGGCAGACCAGCAGAGATTCTTTAGGAGACGATTGGATTCAAATACCCTCGGCCAGTCGGTCACATCTAGGGTCATTTTCCCATCGAAATTCGGGTCCCGACACGACCGTTGCGTAAACGATGCCCGGCGGGTAGCCCATTAGCATGGCCCTAGGAGAGAGAGAGAGAGAGAGAGAGAGAGAGCGAAAGAGAGAAAGAGAGAGGGAAAGAGAGACTGAGCACTCTTCAAACCTTCGAAAATCGGCCCCGATCAAAAAATCGGAGCAATTTTTGAGCCTCTCTTTCAAAACCTATTTTAAAGGGATCAAGAAGGGTAGGAATTTGCCAAAAACGCAGTGTTTAGAGGCTAAAAATCTCCGCTACATCGCTACCCTTAAAAACCGGTGTTCCGAGTAGAAATCCTGGAAATCATCGATCATGCTCAATGATCTCTGCTAGTTGACCTGCGTGAAATCACGATCCCAAAGTATCTCTGCTAGATTGCCTTTGCCCGACCTCCTCAATAATCCCTGCTAGACGGCCAGCTCCTGCTAGAGTTCACCCAGTCCTCCTACGCTCCTTTGCGATCACTTATCATCAACATCTGCCTTTGGTAGTTGACCTTAGCCCACCTCGTCCTCCCCTCGCTCCATATGCTAATTTCGAGTCGTCCCGCCACCCGACAAAGCCCAATAAATGGGGGAGGGTGGTGCATAAACCTAACATTTACTGTCCGCCCACCCGCCTTGCAACAACCGCATTGCGATACCACATCTAGAACGGCTATAAATTGCTCTCTCTCTCGCTCTCTCGCTCTCTCTCGCCTCCAATAACCCATAAATCGCCCGGGGGCACATCAAAAGAGGTATACTGACAGCCAGCCGCCTTTTGTCCTCCCAGATCGCCCAATATTGTTTTGGGGATATGGTCATCGAGAGCGCGTTTTAGGGTTCGGTCCGAAAGGCAGGCTAGCAGGGATTCGTGAGGAAAGGGCAGGCTAGCAGAGATTCTTAGGGAAAACGTTTTTTTTTTGGAAAACCCGGGCTAGCAGAGATTCCTCAGGAAAGGGAAAGCTAGCAGAGATCATTTAGGAAAGGAAAAGGTTATTATTACCGTAGCGTTACTCCTTTTCCCAAAAAATTTCCGCTAGCCTACGTTTCTTAGTGAATCTCTGCTGCATAGCCAAATCCCAAAAACTTCGTAAAAAAATTTAATTTCCTACGGAATCCGGGCTAATCTGCCCTCGCTAAATAAACTTTGTATTTTCTCGCTAAGCCTTTCCTTAAAATTCTCTGCCAGCCTGCCCGCCCATTTCCATCCCGCGGTGTGCAATTGTATGCGATGTGATGTGGTTGGCAAGGTAGAGGGGGTGGGCGGCTCTATTTTGAAGTCTCCCTCCCTCGCTCCCCTCCAACGACTACGGTGATTGCCTAATTCCGGTGATTCGCGCCGTGACGAGTGCCCTCCACGGAATTAAAGGGACCGACAAGTGGCACAACGGGGGTTGTTGCGAAGGATGCGAATTTCGGAGGGATGGGGGTTTTTGGATTTTTGAAGGCTGGCGAGGTAGCCCTGATAAAATTGGTAAACCCAGCTCGCAGGGAGTTGGGCTGAAGGTATAGGTTTGGGCTTAGCCTTAGCTTAGGCTTAGGCTTAAGCTAGGCTTCGACTTAGGCTAAGCTTAGGCTTAGGCTTAGGCATAGGCATAGGCTTAGGCTTAGGCTTAGGCTTAGGCTTAGGCTTAGGCTTAGGCTGAAGCTTAGGCTTAGGCTTAGGCTTAGACTTAGGCTTGGGATCAGCCTCGAACTTAGGCTTTGGCCAAGCAGCGCTTTTTTGAAGATTTGGCCAGCCAGATCCAGCACCCATTCGCAACATTTCGCCGCATAACAAATGAGGCGTAATTTGTTAAAAGCGTTGCCATTAGCTGGGCGCGGCGGGACGGCGGGGTCCCGCAGCGATCAGGGCCAGCAAAGGCACGCGCCGATCAAGATAAATTGTCGACAATTGGGTGCCGGGAGCCTCTCTAAAGAATCTTTGCTAGCCTGACTTTCCTCAAAGAAACTCGGCCAAAAATCGCAGTCACCGGAGCGAAGGAAACGAGAAATTGGAGGGCGAGAGAGGAGAGAGAGAGAGAGAGAGAGAGAGAGAGAGAGAGACAGAGAGATAAGGAGAGAGAGAGAGAGAGAGAACTAGCTCGAGGGAGCGAGAACCTCCAGAAAACCCAAAAATCTCGAAAAATACAGTATCAAACGGCTAACTTGACCAAGTGCACGGATGCTCCCAATTTGCATCCGTCGGAGGCGGAGGCAATTTTCGGGGTACTGTACTCACTGCGGGAGGGCGTCTTTTGCGCCCTCCCCGCCTCATTTGCATCCAAATTTGCATCTTATCACTTGGCGGGCAGGCAAATCAGTTACACCTCCCCGGGAATGGGGGCTTTGAAGTTGCCGGGTTACGGTGAGGCAGGCTAGCAGAGATTCCTTAGGAAAGAGTAAGCTAGCAGAGATTATTTAGGAATGGGCAGGCTAGCAGAGATTCTTTAGAAACCATGTAGAACACCCGCGAAGCAAGGCAAGCTAGCTGAGATTCTTCGGGCTACAATTAGTCGTTAAAGAAAGCCTTAAGTTTGCCTTCATAGTCCCTTTAAAATCACTATTGAGCATATCATGATGTGGATATTATACTTAAAGGTATTCAAAATTTAAAAAAAGTAAATTCTCATATTTTGATAGCTAGAAAAACTATATTAGTAACTTTTTAATCAACAAAATTTGCTTAAATATAATATTAAAGGCGACTAGCAACAAAAAGATCTACAAAAATAGGCAGTTTTCGGCTAAAAAAGTGCGCCGTCCACTGTTGCGTAGCGGACTAATTTCGGCGGCTGCTACGCGCCGGGAGTGAAAACGCGGGTAACAGGCTATTTGGTCAGCTGCCAGCACCCCTTCCCCCTGGGGTCCCACCGCGAAAAAGGGGCCCTCGGGCCCTCAGACGGATTCTGAATTCTGATTTCGTACAGTACAGTGCCGGGGCTCTGTGAGCACAGATGCGCCTGGAGCTCAGCGCCGCCCGGCTGGAAATTTGCACTTTTTGCGATTTTTTGGGTTTTTAGCATGGATTCTTTAGGAAAGCGGAGGCTAGCAGAAATTTTTTAGGAAAGGGCAGGCTGGCAGAGATTATTTGGGAAGCAGGAAATTGTGTGGCTAGCAAGGGATTTAACGAAAAGATGATCCAACCGGACTTTCTTGTCAATTTTCCTCAACAATCTTTCCCTCTTTTTAAAACCCTAAAAATCAATAAAGGAGCAATCTGGAGCAACAAAAAAACGCGGGTTCCCGGCTTCCTTAAAATTCGTGAGTCCCCCCGGGGGAGGGTGGATGGTGCGTGGGGGCCAATCCAGGAGCCGACTCGCTCACCCCCCAGGTGCTGTGGTCCCCCCGATGATGCGTGACCAGGCGTTTGTCCTGTCTATCCGTTTCTCTCTCTCTCTCTCTCTCTCTCTCTCTCTCTCGCCAGGCCTGCAGCCCTTCCCCCCACTCCCCCCAGAGGGCCCAAATACTGAGCACACCGGGAGAGAGAGAGAGAGACCCATCGAAAACCCGGGGCCCGGCCTGACGTTCGGAAACCCGAAACAACCTGTACTCCCCTGGAACTGCCGATTTTTTTGGTGGGTTTGAGGGATTGGGAAAATTGGGCGAGAGAGCGAAAGAGAAAGAGAGAGAGAGAGAGCAAGAGAGATAAGGAGAGAGAGTGCGCGAGAGAGAGGTAGTGTGAAACATGGAGAAGAGAGAGAGCGAGAGAAACCGAGGGAGAGAGAGAGAGAGAGAAAGAGAGAGAGAGAGAGAGAGAGAGAGAGAGAGAGAGAAAGAGAAAGAGGGAGAGAGAGCGAGAAAGGGAGAAAGATAGCGAGAGAGAGAGAGAGAGAAAGCTCCGATTTACCAGATTCATAGCCAGTAAATCCATCCTTTTACAATGCCGGTCCCTTTAACTTGGCCATCTATGCTTGGCATACTTTATTCAACAGAACACTGGCTGCGCTGACGATTCTGCGATTCCGGAAACCAGTCCGGACCTCCATAGATTGCATAAAAATTTGAATTTACAAGGACGTAAAAGCGATAAAAACACCAACACAAGCAGGGTAAGCTTTCCCAGCGAGAAAAGCACAAAAATCCGAAATCAACGCGCAAAACAATCGATAATTGAAGGGTACAATTCGGGAAAAATCACAAAATAGAATGAGATTCTGGTTAGAAAACAAAAATTCAAACGGTAAAAGATATTTCAGACATTTTTTTCCATTATTCGGGCATCTGGGATAGGTATCGGCCGTAGGTGAGGAATTCGAAGTCCGGGTTGAAGAGGGAGTACTGTAAAAATGTTGATGATTTTTAATAAAAAAATTTACTAAGAAATCTCTGCCAGCCTGCCCTCTCCTAACGAATCTCTGCTAGCCTGCCCTTTCCTAAAGAATCTCCGCTAGACTCCCCCATCCGAAATAGTCTCTGCTAGCCAGCCTCCGCTAAAGAATCTCTGCTAGCCTCCTCTTTCCTAAAAATTCTCTGCTAGTCTGCCATTTCCTAAAGATCTGCTGGTTCTTTTAAAGGGACAGTGCCTCCAAGCCCTCACCCTCTGCAGTCCATCATTCAGCCATTCATCGCAAACCGTCTCTTCGGATTCCGTAAAGTGCCCTTCACACAACCGGGCGATTTTTCCGGCCCGCCGCTTTGCGAATTTTTGGAGTTGTTGCATCTGCAAAAACAATTTTTAGAGGGTGCTGACATGCAGAGAAGGTATTTTCAAGGGACCGGCAAGTCAAAATCTGATTCCTAAAGACAAATTCAAGCAAAAAATTCGTATAAAAACGAGACAGTGTTACCTCGGAGTTAAACCAAGTAAAATAAAGCAAAATATCAAAATCCATACCCTTTCCTTCCTCGTCCGCTTCCCTAACCTCATCCGCATGCACATGTTCGGGTTATAGGACGCCGAATACGGCTTTCGAAGCACCTAAGATATGAAAAGCAGGTTTCGGTAGCTTTTCCGGACTTACCGTAGCCGTCGTGTCGATCGTGAACTTCTGATCAGCGCCCGGGCCAGCCTGCACTTTCCGGAGGTTCCGCTTTAAGTGCGTCGGGGCGGGCAGGGCTTTCTAGGATTATTTTAGTAGTGTTGGATTTTTCTACAAGGAATGCGGCTGGCATGCCTAAGTCTAAGTTTAAGCCTAAGCCCAAGCGAAGCAAAACGAAGCCGACGTCTAAGCCTAAGCTCAAGCCTAAAACCAAGACGACGGCTACACCTAACCCTAAACGAAGCCTAAGCCCAATCCTAAGCCTCAACCTGAGCCCAACCTAAGCTTAGCGCTACGCTTAAGCCTAAGCCCAAGCCCAAGCCTAAGCTTAACCGTAGCCTAAGCTGAACCATACCACAGATGGGATGTACTCCTCCTCGCCCAGCGCCGGCAAGTATTTTGCCGTTTTCCGGATCTCGAGCCGCCGCTTCGTATCGGCCGTCCGCTTGTCTTTTTCGGCTTCGTACTCCTCCAACTCTTTCTCGGTATCAACGAGTTCGATCTGGAAAAACCATAGATAAACAGGAGAAAGGGGATTCTCAAAGAATCTCTGCTAGCCTGTCTTTCCTGCAGAGCCTCTGCTTGCTCTCCAATCCCTCAAAATCTGCCTCCTAAAACACGTACCGTAACCCTGGGGTCGTCCACTTTGTGCATAATCTGAATCTTAAAGCAATTCTCCTTCAGCAGCGCTCGTTCCGCGTGGTCGGCGTACGCCAGCTCAATGTTGAAGCAATTCTCATCAAACTCGTACAGCTTGGCCGGCTTCTCCATGCGGAACCGTTGATAGGAGGCGAGCGTACAGAACGGTTCGGGATCTTCAGTGACCAGCTGGAAATGAAAGAAATTGGACCGCACTTAAGAGAACAAAAACACCTAACCCTAAGCCTAAGCCTAAGCCTAAGCCTAAACCTAAGCCTAAGCCTAAGCCTAAGCCTAAGCCTAAGCCTAAGCCTAAGCCTAAGCCTAAGCCTAAGCCTAAGCCGAAGCCTAAGCCTAAGCCTAAGCCTAAGCCTAAGCCTAAGCCTAAGCCTAAGCCTAAGCCTAAGCCTAAGCCTAAGCCTAAGCCTAAGCCTAAGCCTAAGCCTAAGCCTAAGCCTAAGCCTAAGCCTAAGCCTAAGCCTAAGCCTAAGCCTAAGTCTAAGCCTAAGCCTAAGCCGAAGCCGAAGCCTAAGCCTAAGCCTAAGCCTATGTCTAAGCCTAAGCCGAGGCCTTCTCACCTGGTGCAACTGTTTGCCCATATTGAGGATGAACTTGTCCATGACGATGATGTTCTGCAGCTCCGTGGGGAAAAGGGTCCTAAGATCGTGTTTTTAAAGCATGACCTAGAGCTCTAATACCGTATATTATCCTCGTAGGTGGTCAGCTCCATCGCGCCGTCCATCAGATTCTTCACTTCCTGTAGCGCCCTCTCGTAGTGCTTCTCCGGGTTGACGGGCGGGGGCTAGGAAAACAGATAGTTTTGTTCCCGAAAATCTCTGCTAGCCTGTCCTTTCCTAAAGAATCTCTGCTAACCTGCCACTTCCTAAAGGATCTCTGCTACTTACCTTGAACACCGCCAGCCCGTTGAACGGATCGCTGGCGTTCAGCTCGCATCCAATGATGTCCTTCCCGTGCTTTTCGTAGATTTCCGCCCGCTTTTTCTGCATTTCGACGTCGTACTGTAGAAGAATAATACGATTTTGATTATTAAATACTATGGAACTTTTAAAAAATCACAGAATCCAAAAAACTACCAAATACTCCTCGATCATCTTCTCTTGCCGTTTCTTGAGTTTTGAGAGTCGATCACAGACCATGCCGTGGAGTCGGAAGAAGACGAACAGAGGATTGGCACCGTAGACCTAGAAGGAGGGGGAGATGAGAGAAAGAGAGAGAGGGACAGAGAGAAAGAGAGCAAGTGAGAGGGGGAAACGAGAGAATCAAGTCAAAAGAGAGCGAAGGTGAGCAAGAGAGCGGGAGAGCACGAGAGAGCGAGACAGAGAGAGAGGGAGATAGAGAAAGAAAGAGAGAGTGAGAGAGATAGAGAGAGAGAGAGCTCCGAGCCCCTTTGAAAAACCCACCATTCTATACGTCGTACTGCATTTTGGCCTTGTCCACATCATCTGCGTCTTCCGCCTTAGTTTTTCCGGGTCCCCGCTCTTCCGCTTGCTCAGCTTTTCTTGGAGGCGAGTCCTAAAAAGTCTCCTTGTTGAGAGGATCCTTGAAAATACCGTCTCTTCAGTGGCGTGTCTTCGGCGGTGGATGTCGAGGCTTCTTCATCCTCACTGTCCGGCTCGCGCTGGACGGCAAACCATTCGGGGATCCACTTTCGGATGACCTAAAGATCAGGGTATACTCTCACTCTCACACTCTCTTCCACTCGCTCTCTCTCTCTCTCTCTCACCTCTTTCATCTTCTCCTTCTCCTCCTTTTGATATCCCCTCCTGACGTGGTGCAGCAGCAGGTCGTTGACGTCGTGGATGATGGTCCTGAAAACGGTTTCGTACTTAGCTTTCCGGTTTCCCAAGTCGGTCAAGTCAGACTTAAGCTTTTGAAGTCACTCACATATCACTGGGGTACATCAGGATCAGATGTGGGCCCTCGTCGCTCACCTCGCCGACTTCGGATCTGAAAATGGGGGTCAGAGTTTTCTAAGGCTCATGGCCTCCTAAAGAATCTCTGCTAGCCTGCCCTTTCCTAAAAAATCTCTGCTCACCTCCTTTGCCGTTCATCAAACAGCTTCTCAATCTGATGTATCAGCGTCTTGTGCCTCATCCACTTTGCATCCAGCGCCTTCGCCGCGTTCGACTGGTGGTCCATCGCGCGGTAGAAGTATTTCTCGATGTGCTCCTTCCAGATGTCGTTCATTTTCGTCTTTGCCTCTTTCCATTCATTCTGAAGGTGGAGGTCAGTGAGAGGGAGAGAGAAAGGGAGAGCGAGAGAGAGAGAGAGAGAGAGAGAGAGAGAGAGAGAGCGAGAGAGAGGGCTAAAGCTAACCTGTTTCTGGCGAAGTCTCTCTAACACTCTGGGGACCGCGGAGCCGGGGTTCTTCTTCAGGGCTTCGATAACTTTGAAGGAGGCTTCACCGTAGATCCGTTTGATAGCTCTAAAAACGCGCCGTTGCTTGGAAGTCGAAACCTAAGCCCAAGCCCAAGCCGCACCTCTGGATCGTGCTTGCCGACGTCGAGCCGAGCGCATCGTCGAGGATGACCTCCTTCTTCTTAGGCTTCTTCAGAATCGACTCCAGGCATGTGATCGCATACTTGTTGACCTCCATGACGATGTCCAACTGAAAGCGGTTGTGTTTCTCTCTTTCTCGCCTTCTCTCTCTCTCTCTCTCTCTCTCTCTCTCTCACCTCAAATCTATCGTCCTCAGTTCGATGCAAATATTCCTCATACGCCGATTTCTTCTGCGAGACGTTCGATGAGTCTTCGGACAGCCACGAGGGGAAGGACACCCATTTGTCGTTGAGTACCTAGATTCTGGGTTTAAAGGGGCGTTGAAGGCAAATCCAAGCCCCGCCCCTTCGAATTTTTTCCAGATAGTCGACTTCAAGCCGCAGGATGTTTGGAAAAATTGGTAAAGCTAGCGTGGAGCCAAAACTCACCGATCGGCAGAGTCTCGTCCTCCCCGAGCACACCGGCTTGTCCTTGGTGTCAGGCAGGGCTCGATAGGAGGCGCCGAGCTGCTTGCAGCTGTTGTAGTCGATCTCGTGGGCCAGCTCGCTGTGGAACTTCGGGCCGCCGGTACCTTCCGGTTTTGGTTGTTCTGAAAAATGGGGATTAGAACGGTAGGCATTTCCAAGAATCCCTGCTAGCCTGCTCTTGGCTAAAGAAACTCTGCTAGCCTGCCCTCCAGGTCTTCCCGCTCTTCTTAAACCCACCAGCGCTACCAGCTTCGCCTTCACGCTCCATCTCCAGCCCCAGTAGCTGCTCAAAGTAGTCGACGGCGTCAGGGAGTACTGAAGAGAGAGGTATTTTCTAGGAAGAGAGAGAGAGAGAGAGAGAGAGAGAGAGAGAGAGAGAGAGAGAGAGAGAGAGTTAAAAAGAACTCACCCTCCCCTAGCGAAACCTTGACAAATTGGAACAGCTCCTCCTCGGTGATGATCTTGGTGGTGTACATGTTCAGACCGCGCAGGAAGTTGTTCCAGCGGCTAAATGTGGATTTTTTGGCCTTAGGCAAGCGAAAGCTTATGCTTAGGTTAGGCTTAGGCTTAGATTCTATTCCCGGGCCAGACTTTGGCTTTGATTTTACTTCCTTCGACGGCTACAAACTACAAATCGACTTACAATGGTGGTAAGACTCGGCGAAGCTTCTCGAAAAGCTGCACTTCCTCCATTTTTAAAACGTGATCAATCTGAATAATTTTTCGGGCAAAATTCTTTCAGAAAACCTCGTCGAGTGGCGCCTCCTTCAGCCAGCCGATATTTTGCTTACGGTATCGACGCTGGAATGGAATGTTGGAAATAGAAGAGAGAGCGAGAGAGTTAGAGAGAGGGGGAGAAAGCGAGAGATCGAGAGAGAGAGAGACGAGAGAGTGAGAGGGAGGGAGGGAGAGAGAGAAAAATTCATACCTTTCTAGAAGCCCTAGTGACTCGACGTGTCCGCTCCCGAGTCTAAAAATTTAAGATTTCCATACACAATTCGAAAAATTACCCTTGACTCCCCATTTTGCTCGGCTGCTCCCTCGCTCTCCGGTTTTTGGTCTGTAACGCGTTGAAAGCCACAACTTTCTCGCCTACCTTCATCAGATTCCTCCGCGGATGAGCCGCGCTCCTTTTGTTCTTCCTGAAAAATGGAATTTTGTTTTTGTAGGAGAAAGAGTGAGAGAGAGCGAGAGAGAGAGATAGAGAGAGAGAGAGAAAGAGAGAAACAATAAAATTCCCCCACCTTCTTCTGCGCCTCCACCCGCCGCTTGGCGGCCATCAAGTTGGCCTCGGGCAGGAAGATGCGGAACTGTAAAAAGCTCATTCAGTTTTTTCGGCGCCCCATAAAAAATCGATAAGCGCACTCGATTGTGCATTCCTAACGAGCCGATTAGTCATCATCGAGGAACGCGGGCGGCGAAAACAAAACCACCAACCTCCTCCAGCAGATCCGACTCATTTTCGAATAGCTTCCCAATGGCGTCGAGGATTGTCTTCTCGGTTCCGGGCTGAAATAGGCTTGGTTGAGGTTTAGGCTGAGGCTTATACTTAAGCTTAGGCTTAGACTTCGGCTTGCGCTTAGACTTAGTCAGCCGTGATTGGTTATTCCGTTTTTTTACGCTTTACGCCCACCTTCTCCTGTTTCTGGTAGGAGCTCAGGATGTCCAAGAACGACTTGTAGACGGCTGGCTGGGTGTTGAAGCGAGTCTAAATTAAGATTTTTATTTTATCTATTTTTCATCTCTTTCTCTCTCTCTCTCTCTCTCTCTCTCTCTCTCTCTCGCTTTCTCTCTCTCCCTCACCTTGATCTTGTTGACGTATTCCAGTGCTTGGTCGAAGGCAGCGTTTCCCAAATTCGGCTGTTTCGGCCGTTCTTCTTTAGCGGTGGGCGCGGGGGCGGCTTGTGCATTTAGGATATCTAAAATTGTTACTTATGCTCCTCAAGAATCTCTGCTAGGCTGCCTGAGAGAGAGAGAGAGAGAGAGAGAGAGAGAGAGAGAGAGAGAGAGCAAGAAAGAGAGGCAGCGAGGGATAGCCAGTTTCACATGAGTTACAGACTTTAGCAATTTCTGCGCAATTTCCCCAAACCCATACCTGATATTTGCGGTTTCGTCTCCGTCTTAACCGCTGCAACCGGGGCCGCAGCCGCAGCTGCCGCTTGTGCGGCTTCGTTCGCAGTGGCCTGAGCTTGAGCTTGTTGCTGAGCAAGCCGCTGTGCTTGTTGGTTGGCCGCCATTTGGAGCGTGATCTAAATTTCCATCCTTCTTTTCCCCTTTTTTCCTCTACTCACCTGCTGCTTCACAGTCATCTCGGGGTGTAACCGGCCGCTGGCGCTGCGGTAAACCGGGATTTGACCTGAAGATGTTTTTTTTTATGCTTTCAAGGCTTGAATATACCCGTTATAACTTGCTGAACGGTCGGCTCGGGCTGTTGATGAACATAGCCGAGCAGAAGGTCGGCCGATGCGCGATTCGGGATTTCGAGGGGGCCCTGAAAGGTTGTAGTCTCGATTTTGGGGCCCACCTGCGACGGAGGCAGCGGAAAGCGAGCCGAGGCTGACGTTGAAGCCACGGTGGCGGGAAGTACGATGCCGGGCGTAGAGCCAGGCGGTCCAGTTGCGTTAATCTCGCAAACCTCCTAAATTTATTAAATTCTAGCGATAACCTAATTTCCTAAATAATCTCTGCTAGCCTCCCCTTTCCTTTCGAATCTCCCTGCCAACTTTTCCAAACCTGTATATTCCCGTTCGGCTCGCTGATCATAATCTTGTTGCTGCCCTCATTCATCAGCACTTTAAACCCGGGCGGGAGAAACGTGTTGAAGCCCATGATCAGCTGCGGGCGGCCGCTGAACAGCTGTGACACCCTGCGGATCACCCCCGGCGTATCGATCCTGAAGTATCGATCGAAATTTCCGTATCCGTGCTTAGGGCTTACGATTGATTCTTGAAATCCTTCATGATGTCCAGGAATTGTGTGTAGGTCCCGGACTCTTCGCTGAACTGGTTTTTGACCTGATCCAAGTAGGAGAGCGCATCTTCGACCTGAATTCAGTTTTTGGCTAAAGGGCTGCTGGTATCACTGGCAGGTATCTGGCCTCTTGTCCTATCTTTTAAAGACAATTTAAACGTTTTCTTACAAAGGTTAAGCTTCTATAGTCGCTACCTCAGGTTTTAGACTTACTTTAACTTTGCTCTGCGCGGGATTCTGCGGGCTCTCCTCGAGTGTAATGATGCCCGCCGACATTTTGGGCTACGGGCTCTTACGGGCGGCGCCTCTAAAATATATTAGAAAGTTATATATTCTATTAATATTTAAAGAAATAGTTTCCTAAAGATTTTAATGTGTCAAATCGGGGGTAGTGCTTTCGAACGGGCAAGAAAGCGCCCAGCGAGGGAATGGAACGTCATGAGTGCGCGCTTTCTCGGCGTCATTTGGAGTGCTTTGTAGCCTACCCAACCAGGGATTCTTTAGCAAAAGAAATTAGTTAGGAATTAAATTTATAAATAAAAATGAGATTGAAAATATAAGGAACTGATGGAATTAAACTAGCCACTTTTGCAAGCGTTTAAAAGTTATGTCGCGTGCTCTAGCTTGCTTATTAGACGTTTTTAAACTCTTTCAAACTCGCCATGCATTAATTACTTGATATTTTGTTGCAGATGGCAGCCCCGGCGGACGAATATCGCTCGCTGCTAGAAGAGCTGCCGCTGAACACGATCGAATACGCGTTCGCCTACGGCAGCGGAGCTGTTCAGCAACATGGCGAGAACAAGGCCGACAAGGTAGTTTTTAATCCTGGAAAATATCTTTTTTTTTCAAGATGGTCGATTTCATCCTCGCCACGTCCGACCCACATGGCTTCCACGAGGATAATGTGGCCAAGAACCCGAGCCACTACTCTACGCTACGCCTGCTGGGGCCCAAATGCTTGGCGAAAATCCAGGTGATAGTTTTTCGGGCTTCACCTAGTTTGGTGTTTAGTTCAGACAGCTTACGGGGCTCGCGTCTACTTCAACACACAAGTACATGCGGCAAATCGGACGATAAAGTACGGCATTATCTCGATGGACGATTTAAAGTAAGTTTTTGACACTTTTGCAAGTCGTTTGCGCGCAAAACAAGGAAATTTTTGCATTTTCAGGTCCGATCTTATCGACTGGAATTGGCTGTACGTCGCCGGGCGTCTTCAGAAACCTGTTCTAGAGGTATATCACGTTTTTTTGGGCAAATCATGGTTCAGGTAATATCGAAAACGCCCAACGTCTCCGAATGGATAGCAACAAATCGACGAAGCGCCCTGCAAGTGGCCCTGCTGCATTCGAAGGAGCACTTTTCTTTGCGCGAGCTGTTCGAGCAGGTTTTTAACGGATTTCGTTGCCTTCATAATTCAATTTTTTGGATTGTCGCCATCTCGTACACGGGCGATTTTCGAATGTTGATCGGCGAGGATAGGAATAAGATTTCGAAGGTATATTTTTGCTCTAAATTTCGATTTATGGCGTTAGACGTAGAAATTGATAATCGAAAGCCTATGAAAAACGTTAAGCTTTAAGTCATATAAGCGTTGCAATGCATAACCTTGTTTCCAGATTGTCGCCGGAAATTTCCCGCAACTCGACGCCGCCTATCGCCCATTATTGGAGTCGGATCCGAGTGTGGTGCGTTTTTCGTGGTTACACGTTTTGGCTGGCGTTCTAAGCTTCCAAAATGAATGCCAGATTTTTAAAGTATTTCTTTTTTTTTAGCTGGTCAAGTCAACGACAGCGCTTCAGCAAGACGTTAACCCGATGATTCTGCAGGAGCGGTGCGTTTTTCGTTTCCTAAAAAGAGCTCCATTTTTTTCAGGTTAAAATTGCTGCCCCCGCGCGTTCTCCGGCATATTGGCGTGGTGGCGGTGAAGGTTTAGGCTCAAAAATTAGCTTGTTTGTCTAGGATCGCGCTGACGTCTCCATCCGGTTGTCCGCCGCCGTCAAGTCGATTGTAGCGCCGGTGGCGATTGCTCAGGTAAAATTAGAATAATTAATCGAAAATAAATAAAAAACTTATCGGTTTTTGGGGTCTTTTGCATTATCGGGGGGAGAGGGGATATTTTTTTGAAGTCGTTTACTCTTTTTAATATTGTTTTTATCAAATATAGCCGTTTTACAACTAAAAAACTACCTAAGAACTTTAAAAAAGCTGGTAAAGTCGTAGTTTTGTTAAAAATCTGCCATTTTGTCGAAAAATCGATATTTTGAAGTTCTTACATCAAAATTCTGGGATTTTTTGACGTTTAGGAATCGAAAAAAGCTTTCGCTGCCCCTACCCCCCGATAAAGCCAAAGAACCGAAAGTTATACAATTTTTGGTGATTTTCGAGCGTGCGACTTTCGAGCCGGGGTTTTCGACGGGGAACCGCCGAAATCTTGCCTAAATTCCGCTATATTCCTCTTTACAGACGGTGAAGAACGCGTTCTCGGCGGGGCTGATGCGCTCGCTCGTCTACTCGATGGCCAAAATGAGCAAGATGGCCAAGTCAATGAAATGAAGCCGGAAGTTTTCAGTCCATTTTTTCGACGGGTACCGTTAGTGCATGTGTGATTGTTAGGGTGTTAGTCGATGCTCAACTGTGCAATAAACTTTATCGAATCGTCACACAAAAATGGTTATAGTTGTTGGGGGACTTCAGCAGCCTTCCGGGTCCACGAGCTGGTCCTTGATCATCGACGGATACGCCGAGCAGATGCCGTACAGCGCCTCGGGGGCACATGGGCGAGCCTTGGGCTGAAAACCGACGTGTTGGAGCAGTTCAGGTAAGGTTGAGGTTCAGCGCTGTTGGCTGTAGGCTTCGGTTTAAGCCTAGCTTACGTGTAGTCGCCTACAAGAGGAATACCGTACCGGCCACTCGTTCTTGGGCAGCGCCTGGAGGCACTCGGTGATGGGCAGATCGTCGGTGCACGTCCCTTCGGCCACGCCGAGCTCGAGCAGGAGCTCTCGGTCTGAAGGGTGAAGCGAAGCATCAGCCTAATCAAGCCTAAGCCTAAGTTAAGCCTATGTCTAAGCCTACGCCAAGCTAAAAAGAGAAATGGACCACCTACCACTGTAGTCCTTCCACTTGTTGTTCTCGTTGTAGAGGCAACGGCGCACGCGCGTCCAACTGCCCCAAGCGTGATGACCGGCGGGAAGTAGGGCTGGAAATGACTTGTCGGTCCCTTTAGCTCACCCTCTCTCTCTCTCTCTCTCTCTCTATCTCTATCTCTCTCTCTCCGCTCTCTCCCCACCAGCAATTCGATGCATCTGCTCCATATTGTGGTAGTAGGCGATGTCGACGAGCGGCCCATAACGCCGGCAGTCACACTGCACGTCGTCAAACGCCAAAGGCGCCGCGGAGAACTGAAATTTTGAAGCTTTCGCGTTATCAGGGGAGGGTGCACCTTGAAGCAGTAGCGGAAGCCGAGGTTGTCCTGGTCTTGCTCCCAGCCGGCCGGGCAATCTTAACACAAGCTGGTATTCTGATTTGATTCGTCAAGAATCTCTGCTAGCTTGCCCTTTCCCAAAGAATCCCTGCTAGCCAGCCCTTTCCTAAGAAATCTCTGTCTACCTGGCCCCTGGACCGCATCCTGCCAGCTTTGGAGCACGAGCACGGAGACCAGCAAAAGGCCAAAGATGCGAGCAACCATTGCCTGGCCGAGCAAAGTTTGAGTACGAGTTTTCCAGATTCCGGTTCCGACCCGAATTCGAATTTGTTGGATTCAAATTTAAGGATGGTCTGCCTTTTTCTCAAAAATATCTGCTAGCCTGCCCTTTCCGCAGGAATCTTTGCTAGCCCGCCCGTTCGTACTACTCCTTCGGAATCTGCCGTCGATTTTTAGCAAACTTTATTCGTCGAAAATCTGCATCAGGGTCAACAAGTTGAATCGTACAAGAAAAAAAACATAAATTAAGGCAATTGGTAAGGAGCTAAAAAATTATTTCTGCATCGATCCCAGCTGCACGAGCAGCTGCTTCTCGGTGGCGGCGATGATCTGGAAAGGGAGCTCTTCTCAAGGGTCTTTGAAGGCAAATCCATCATCAATTTTTGACCCAAATCCAACCCCAGATACAGTACTACTTCCGTAAATCCAAAAAAGTGCCTCGGGTACCGCTCTTCCATGACAGACGGGTCCCGCAACGACTGCAGGGGAACGGTTGGCTGTCTGCCAAGCGGCTAGGAGGCTATGTATTTGCCTTTCCAGTCCCTTTAAAGATTATTTCTCACCTGGCAAAGTCTGAGGCCCCGCTCGTTGGCCTTGAGGGCCGCCGCCTTCGATCCTCCGCGGTATAGACTTTCCGCGTAGTCGAGGCACTGCTGGGCTTTGTTCGTTTGCTTTTGAGCCCTAGAAAGAAGAGATTTTTAAGGTTCCTGAAGAATCACTGCTAGCCTTCCCTTTCCTAAGGAATCTCTGCTAGTTTTGCCCACCACTTCATCGCATCCATTTCTACATCCTCGTCCTCCTCGTCATCCGAATGAGCGGAGCCATAGTTATAATGAACCTGAAAAAAACAAGCATAGTTTTCTCGCTCGCCCTCTCTCTCTCTCCCTCTCTCCCGCTCTCACTCTCTCGCTCTCCCTCTCTCCCCCTCTGTCTCGCACTCTCTCTTTCTCAATATCACTCGCTGTCCCTCTCCCTCTATCATTCTATCTCTTTGTCTCTCTCTCTCTCTCTCTCTCTCTCTCTCTCTCTCTCTCTCTTTCAGTCTCTCACCATTTCCTTGTTCTTCTCCTCCGACAACTGCATCTTCTTCATTGCATCTACAGTCGCATCTTCAGACCTTGATCCAATTTTAGGTACCACATCCTTGCTCCAAATCGGAACGACATTGAGTGTTTTTGGGCGTTCAAGCTTCTTCTCCTCCTTCGGTGGTTCAACCGGCACCTTGACCTTGCCCAAGATCTCGCTTCGAAAAACCGACGGTTGGCGCGCCCACATTCGGAATGAGAGTAGATGTTCTGTGACCTCCTTGGCCAGCACCGGATTGTCGGGCAACAGCGTCGTGATGGCTGCGCGGATGTAGTCATTGACTGGAAAAAATGGGTTAAGAGAGCGGTAGAAAGAGAGCGAGAGAAAGGGAGAAGAGAGAGAGAGCGAGGTAAGAGGGAGAGTCTAAATTAAAAATCCAAACCTTCATACTCTCCAATATTTGTCTTTTGCTTCCAAATGTCCAGAACTTTCTGTTGATGAACGACCGCAGCCCCTGGGGCCGTCTCAAAAACGCCCTGCTCAAGCCGTTCGGCTTCGGCCATGATTCTACGCATAAATTCGGCTTCATCCGGCAGCATTGCCTTCAAAACATGGCCGATCATCTCGTTGCGTAGAGTTGTGGTCAGGGCTTCACTCGTCTCGAGCACCAGTTCTGAAAAAAGAACGATTTTTTAAGAAATCACTGCTAGCCTGCCTTTCTTACAAAATCCCTGCTAGTTATCCTTTTCTAAAGGATCACTGCTAGGCTGCCCTTTCTAAAAAATCTCTGCTAGCCTGCCTTTCCTTTAAAACCAGTGCTACTTGTCTTTTTCCGAAAGAATCTCTGCTAGCTTACCCATTCCTAAAGAATCGCTGCTAGTCCGCCCCTTCCTAAATAATTTCAGCACCCACCAATACTCTTGACGATCGCGTACTCGGCCACGCCCTTCAACTTCTCCTCCTGTGTGGCCAACGTGTAGTAGGCGGTACGATCGCTGGCACTGGAGAACAGCTTCTCCTCGTAAAGACGAGCCTCCTCGATTAGGGCATCAAAGATGGGCCTCGAGTTTTTCATAATGGCTGTGGCCAAACGGAGCCGTCCGTGGTGTCGAGTCTTCGCGTCGATGGAGGGATTTTGCGGAGCTTCGTTGAGAGGAACTTCTGGAATTGCGGAGATTTTTGAGGAGTGGGAAGGCTGGCAGGGCTTCTTTGGGAACATACCTTTTCGAGCGTTTTCAGTGACTTTGGCGAGAACGACAGGTTCGGCAGTAGCTTGAGCTAAAAATCGCATACGTTTTTATCGGAAGGCGAACTGGCAGGGTGTTTTTTAGGAAAAGACGGGCTCGAAAAGATTTTTTTAGGCAATGACAGGCTAGCAGAGATTTTTTGGGAAAGGGTACGCTAGCAGAGATTCTTTAGGAAAGATATATACTTTCGGGGACGCTTCAGATAATTTACCTTTGGGAGCCTTGTCTATCGTCACTTGAGCGACAGGTTTGGCAGTCGATGGGACTAGAAAAATGCTGTACAGGCAATTGAAGTTGGTCAACCTTCTCGTGCAGCGACGACCGCTTGCCCTTTCTTTGCATTTTCCCGCGCCTTTCGGTCGTTTCGGCGCTCCTGCTCAAACCACAACTAAAATTTCGAATTGAAAAAATTGTCGAGAAATGACTGATCAACCTCGGTATGGAATTGGGTAAGGCCGAGCTGCTCCGCCACCGCGGCGCGTTCGTTGGATGTGATAAACTGCTTCTAAAAGCGGATCCTGTTGTAACATCAGTACTTTTGGAATTTAATAAGCGTAAATAGACAACGACTAACCTGTTCGAAAAGCTGCTTTAAGCCCTTCTCTGCTTCCGCTGGGAAATAGTGGTCAATCGTGAGCTCGACGTCGTCATGGTTGAAGATTGGACCGGGGGGCATGGTCCACTCGACGTTTTGGAGGGTCTCGAAGGCTTTTAATCTCTCGCAGGCACGCTTCTCGACGAACCACGCCTAGAAATGATTATGGTGTAAATAGAGGAATTAGTTTGTAATTAAGGGAATGAAAGGATCTCTGCCAGCCTGCCCTTTCCTAGAGAATCTCTGCTAGCCTGACCTTTCCTAAAGAATCTCTGCCAGCCTGCCCTTTCCTAGAGAATCTCTGCTAGCCTGACCTTTCCTAAAGAATCCCTGCTAGCCGACCCTTTCCTAAAGAATCTCTGCTAGCCTGCCGTTTCCTAAAGAATCTCTGCTCGCCTGCTCTTTTCCTAAAGAATCCCTGCTAGCCTGCCCTTTCCTAAAGAATCTCTGCTAGCCTGCCCTGCTACCTTACCTTCACGAGAAGTGGGCAGAGCTTTAGTTTTTCCCCGATCTCCTCTCGCATCAGCACGTCGGGGTGTTGCATCTAAGACAAGCATTTTTTCCGGAATTCTTACTTTCTGAATTCATTAATTCTATCATAATTTTTCAATAAAATATAATTTATAATAAGTTGAAAATGGGGCTCACCGTCTTGAAATAATATTCAAGACCAAGGCGCTGTCCCTCGTCGTATGCCATGCGATCGAAGTCCTTCGCCTCGTAGTCTTCGCCCTTGCTCAGGTACGTTTCCTCTCCAGCTATCCAGATCTGAAGCGCGAGATCAGTAAAATAGTACGATACTATTCATCTCAAAGAATCTCTGCTAGCCTGCCTTTTCCTAAGAAATCTCTGCTAGCCTCATTTTCCGAAAGCATCTCTGCCATCCTTACCTCAGCCTCATATTCCGCCATTAACTGCCCGCAGGTTTTCCGGGTCGTCCGGCGCTCGCGTAGGCGCTGCACTTCAAACCATCTCTGGAATTCGGAAGTCAGACGTTTTAATAGGGGTGAGGCTCACCTCCGTAAACACATAGGGGAGGTTGAGCTTCTTCGCGATCTTTGTGATCAACACGTAGCCATCGGGGTTAGGAATCTGAAATAATTCGGGCCCTGAACGATAGAATGCAAGAATCCCTGCTAGCGTGCCCTTTCCTAAGAAATCCCTGCTAGCTTGCTCTTGCTAAAGAGGCTCTGCTAGCCTGCCCTTTCCTAAAAATCCATGCTAGCTTGCCCTTTCCTAAGAAATCCCTGCTCTTGCCCTTGCTAAAGAGTCTCTGCTAGCTTGCCTTTTTCCTAAGAGCCGCCACGTAAAAACTAACCAATTTATAGATCTCCTTGAGAGCGGCCTCCTGCTCGACGGTGAACTTCTTGTCGCCCCTGGCCTTGATTTGCGCTTGTTGCACTTCCTAAAATCACAGAATCAACTTTCAAGAAGCAAGTTCTATGGAAACTATGCGACTTCACCTCCACCTTTTTCCTGAATGAACATACCACGGGAAAACACATCCAGTCGAATTTCTCCTTCGGCTTTGGCTTCGCGGCCTCAGCGCGCTTGTCGGCAAGCCACAGCTGAAAGAAATACTTGAATATTTAAGGGGGAGCTTGAAGGTAGTGAGCATGACCTTGGGCTCCTGGATAGCTTGTGAAGCAGTAAGAATACTTACCGCGACGACGAGCTGGTCGACGTTGAGTTGGCGTGCCAAAGCAGCCGAGTCGGATGTGATCAGATTTGGATCCTAAAAAGGTTCATGCACTGCTCTTTCCCAAAGAATCTCTGCTGGCGTGCCCTTTCTTAAAGAATCTCTGCTAGCCTGCCCCTTCCTAAAAAATCCCTGCAAGTCCGCCACGAACCTTGATAAAAGCCTCTTCCAGGACGCAATCTTGTGCAAGGCGCAGAATCTTCCTTCTTGAGAACCCTTCAGCTTCCGGCGAGCCAACAGCCACGCCCTGAACGCCTTGAACTTGATGCCCAACAAGTACGCACCTTTAGTACAGCATCATCGCCGAGGTCGGGCCACTCGGCGTGCTTTTTCTGGAACCACGCCTGAAGGTGCGGGTTTTATAGGGACGTGAAAGCAAAATAAAACACAAATTGTGAGAATCTCGGATTTTCCGGGGCAAATTTCGACATAAATCACTCCTAAACGCACCTGGATGACCTCCTCGTCGATGCCAAACGCGTTGGCGAGCCGTTCGCGCTCGCTTTGTTCGGGATAAAAAGACTAAAAAAAATTTTATTAGCGTCCCGGTTCCTTTAATAAATTAGATAATTAAGAAAATTAACGCTGAAATGTCTATACCTCCGTAAAGAGCTTGTAAAGCTCGGTCTCCAGCTCGACCACGCGCTCGTGGAACGGCTTGCGTGGGGAAGAGCTCAGATCAGCCATTGGTTGACCTGGAAACTGAGAATAGCAGATGGTCTTTAGGAGAGGGCAGGCTAGCAGATATTATTTAGGAGCGGCAAGCTTGCAGATCCTACTATATATAAAAAAATAGTGTTTGTGTGTGTGTGTGTGTGTGCCACTTTGCATCCACTTCCGGATGTCTGTCCGGAGGATATCTCAAGAAGGGACGGGTATTGGGCTACGTATGATACGTCATTAGGTGCGTAATGGTCTAAGGATGACTGCACACATATCAGATTTTTAAAAATTAGCCATTTTCGCTATTAAATTTAGGTTTTTGTAAATACCTCTTTGTTGGTAGTAATTAGCATAGACCGGAAGTGGGCTGTCCCCTATAAAAGAGGCAGAAGAGGTTGTTTTTCATTTTTTGTCTTCTGAATAGAGGACAATTATGCAAATTAAAAAACGGCATGTGGCCCGAGACCGGGCCAGGGTTGAAAAGTCGCGCAGCGACTTTTCAACCCCTGGTGTTCTTTAAAAAAGGACGGTTCTTTTGCATTATCGGGGGTCGGGGTTTCGGGGGGAATATCCGAGTTTCCAAATAGTTTAAATAGTCTTCTGAACCTAAAAGCTTTGCGAATTGTTGTTAAATATGCAAAAAAGATAGCTTTTTTATCAAAAATGATCGATTTTCCATCAAAAGTTCCACTCTCATAATTTTTTTGAGTTTTTACATCGTTTTATAGTTGGAGTTCAGTTATTTTTTTTGCAAAAAAAAACAATAATAAAATGCTTTATAATACGTTACAAGACATTTCTCGACTTATACCAGTAATTTCGGGACAGGCTAGCAAAGATTTTTTAGAAAAGGGCAAGCTAGCAGAGATTGTTGAGCAGGATGGCAGCTAACACAGCGATTCTATGAGAAAGAGAAGGTTACCCGACGTTCTTGAGGAACGGGAATATAGCTAGGACAAGCTAAGAGCAATTCTTTAGGATTCTGCAGGTTCTGTAGAGCAACTCCGCGGCGTTTAGTGCATTTGTTTCATTCAAACGAAGCGATCCTTCTGATAATTTAAAAGGTGCGGGAACGTGGATGACCTCTGTTGACCAGATACGAGCTACTGACCTCTAATATTAGGTCAACCTGCGCGGCAATCATGCAAAATGCCCTGAGGGCAGTCGTCCAGATGCTTCTCTTCGCTGGATCCATCCAAAATCTATATCATGACCTCCAGGCATTTTCGGTCCCAGAGAGACAGCAGGATACGGTAGGCGCGAATTTGGAACTTGAAATCGTCGAGGTGTCGAATCTGGCGATCCAACAATCATTCCCAGCAACTTTCGGAGTCCCTCCTCCGAAATTTCCCGAGAACCGCCCGGCTCAACTACCCCGTTGAACCCGAAACTCTGTCCCAATGGACCCTACGAAGGTAAGGGCTTTTTTGTTATAGGCAAATTCACTGAAAATTCCAAGTCCAGGCCTATGCCTAAGCCTAATAAGACTAAGCCCAACCTAAGACTAAGCCAAAGCGAAGCCTAAGCCTAAACTAACCCTAAGCCTAAGCCTAAGCCTAAGCCTAAGCCTAAGCCTAAGCCTAAGCCTAAGCCCAACCTAAGACTAAGCCAAGGCGACGCCTAAGCCTAAACTAAGCCTAAGCCTAAGCCTAAGCCTAAGCCTAAGCCTAAGCCTAAGCCTAAGCCTAAGCCCAACCTAAGACTAAGCCAAGGCGCCTAAGCCTAAACTAAGCCTAAGCCTAAGCCTAAGCCTAAGCCTAAGCCTAAGCCTAAGCCTAAGCCTAAGCCTAAGCCTAAGCCTAAGCCTAAGCCTAAGCCTAAGCCTAAGCCTAAGCCCAAGCCGAACCTATGGATAAGCGAAGCCTAAGCCCAACATAAACCTAAGCCGAAGCTTGAGTCAATGCCTAAAAACCTCTTTTCAGCAAACACCGCTCGCCCAGCTTTGGGACCGCGCTGGCCCGTCCCGCGCTGCCTACCCGCCCCACCCCTACGACGGTTGGCAGCCGATGGGCAGCATGTCTGCGTGCGCCCCGCCCGGACATCAAGTTCAGGGCGGGCACCCGATGGCCCATCAAGTCCAAGGAGGACAGCCAGCGCAAAGGCAGCCTCAACAGCCACAGCCGGAGGTTTTGCTAGCTTTGCAGCAGGCACAAGCGATGCAGTGTATGATGCTACTTGGACTCGGGCCACAGCCATGGCCCCAAGTTGGGCCCCTGTCTGGCCATGGCTGGGCCCAACAATACGCGACAGCTACGCAACAGGGTCAGTCAAATTCTGCGAATTTATTTCCTGGAAAAGATTTATTACGGGCTATTGATTTAGAGCTTTTTTGAAGGGGGGTAGGCTAGCAGAGATCCTTTTGGAAAGCAATCACCTAATTTTCATTGTTTTCAGCCAGGCCCGATTTGCCCAGCGCTCCCGCGCTCAGCGCCCAAGCGCCGGAACAGCTTCACGCGCAGGTCAGCCGCCGAGCAGCCATTGCGTGCTTCCCTTCCGGCCTTCCGACCTTCCCCAACATGATGCAGCTGGCGAGCCAGGACTACAAGCCCAAGCCGTACCGCATGATTGTCGTCGGTGAGTTTCCTAAAGAATCTCTGCTAGCCTGCTTTTTCCTAAATAATCTCTGCTAGCCTGTCACAACGTATGTTTTTACAGATCCCGACAACCGAGGCCCCGCTCTCCCCCTGCACGCCGCCAAAATGTCGGAGCTGCTGTGGGCGATGATCTGCAACCCGGGCCAGCTGATCGACGACCTCAGCCGAAAATCGTGGAAGCTCGAGAACATCTTCTACCAAGTCGCCACCGACGCCGCCGGGTACAAGCGAGCCGCCCTCGAACATCCTGTCTTCTACGGCAAGGAAATCCCATTCTCACAAGAAGGTACGTTTTTCCGTCTTCCTAAGTGGCCTTTGCTAGCCTGCCTTTCGGCAAAATTTCTCAAATAATCCCTGCTGGTTTTCTGGCTGCTTTCACGCTCCCTGTAATGGTCCAGGTTACCCAAAGAACACTGCTAGCCTGCCTAGCTTAGCTTGTTTTGCGTAATGCGACGTTTCATGAAAAAATTACTAAATTCGGAACAGTTTTTAAAGTTTCTGCATAGTCATGCGCTTGAAATGCCTCCTAAAGAATCCCTGCTAGCCTGCCAGTTCTAAAGGATCATTGCAAATCTGCATTTCCTAAAGAATCTCTGCTAGCCTGCCCCCCCCCAAAGAATTCCTGCTACCCTGTCCTTTCCAAAAATCTCTGCTAGCCTACACGAAAATCCGATTACCATACCTCTTTCCAGGCTTCGACGTGAAACCCGAAGACTTTATGCGTGAAGTCTATGAAGAACTTCGAGGTGCGATGAGCGCCAAGCTCCTCATCGCCCTCATCCCATCTAACGGCTCAGAATACGTCGACGCCGTCGGGGAGATCGTCACCTCGTGGGGTGAAATCTTTGAATCGCAGGGTATGGAGCAGTACGCACAATCGGTCGACCGACTCGTCCAGCAGCTGCGAACGCAGGATGCGATGCGTGGAGGAGGTACGTCTAATGATCTATGCTAGCCTGCCCTTCCTAAAGAATCTCTGCTAGCTTCCCCTTCCAAAAAACTCTGCAAGCACCCCAACCTCAATTTTCAGTTGTCGGCATCACCTGCCGCAGCCTTCGAGCTCTAATGCCGCGGATCGTCCCTGACGAAGTCGTCGCCCGCGTCGCCGACATGGTCATCGCCGCCCGAAAGATGGCGATGGATGACTGGTCCGGCCCCACCTACTGGCAGCCGGCCGACTACGAGGAGGTTGAGACCGCTGTCGAGATAGATTCGGAATCCGACGACGACTGCGAGGAGTTCGAAGAGGTAAATCGGCGCGAGATGCTGCGCAATGTCTCTGCAAAACTGAAGGGCTTGCTTGATGATACACTGGCTCAATGGGAATTCGAACAGAAGACGCTCAATTCTGACGTCATCATTGAGCAGGTCATGCTCAGCATCAAGGACGATAGAGAGATCGGCCCGATTGATTGGTACAGACTCCAAAAGGGGCTGAGAGCTGAAATTGCTAATGTCCAGCAGGAGAAGCTCAACGTTGACAAGCAGACCAAAGATTCTGGTGACGTCATGGACCAGGTCAAGCCGGCCGAGGAAGAAAAAGAGCGCAAGCCAGAAGTCGAGACAGCCGTCGAGTTCGATTCGGATTCGGACGACGACTCCGAGGAGCAGGAGGTGGCGGATCGGCGCGAGATGCTGCACAACGTCTTCGCGAAATTGAAGGACAGGCTATACGTTGCCCTCGCGCAATGGGAATTCGAGGGAAAGGCAATGAATTCTAACCGCATCATCGAGGAGGTCATGCTCATCGTCAAGGATGATGGCGAGATCGACGCAATCGATAGGTACATCTTCAAAAGCAGGCTGCGGACCGAAATTGCTGCCGTAGAGCGGGAGAGGCAACGCGTTGCGGAGGAATTCGAATACGAGATCACGGAGCCGATCAAGGTGGGCGGTGTCGAATCTACCGAGCTTCCCTGCAACATCACCGACGAGGTCATCGCCGACGTCAACAACGTCCAGGCCGAACCCGCAGTCGTCAAGGAACTCGAGGCCATCGAGCTGCCCATCGACATCGGCGAGCAGCTCGTGCTCATGGCCGACAAAGAGGTCGAGGTTGTGAAGCAGCTCATGCTCAACAGCGAGAACCCGATTGAAGAGCCGGAAGTCACCGAAAAAGTCAATTTTGTGCCCATCAAACCCCGCGGCCTCTTTGATCAGCTACAAGAAGAGATGAAGCGCGAGGTGCTAAACTTGCTGCCAAAGTTCCAGCCCCGCGAAGAGGAGCAACAAGCTCCAAAACGTCCCGGCCTTTTGGAGATGGTGCGCGAGGAGATGCGGAAGGCGTTCTGGGGTGAGGGAGACGAGCTGGTAGATGATCAGGAGGAAGAGGAAGAGGACGAGGAGGATTTGAGCTATGATGAGGAGGACGAGGAAGAGCAGGAAGATGAGGAGGAGGGCGAGTTCGGCGATGATGAGGACGATGTGGAGATGCCGGCTGAACTTGACGGTGATGAGGAAGAGGAGGAAGAGGAGGAGGACAGCTCGGAATCTGAGGACTCAGAATTGGACGTGACCCAGGACTCGTTTGAGGCGGCGCTGCAGGTGGAGGTGAGGCTCAAAAACGTTTTTAAGGAAGCAGGGTTTCATAAGCTTAGGCTCAGGCTTCGTCTTAAAGTTAGCTTTGCTTAGTTTAGTTTTTCTCTTTCCAGCTTGCAATCCTGGATTCGACCGACATCGACCTGATCAGCTCAGCCTCCGAGAAGGAGGTCGAGCCGCAGGGCGAAGTAGAGCCCGACTTCGTGATGGTCAACCCAGAAGCCGAGCACGAGGTCCGGGTGCCGTTCAGCGTGCAAGAGGCTGAAGCTGCTCTCCAGGAGTATGTGCGTCAGCTGAAGGAGCAGAATTCGGTGAGTTTTTCTCCAAGAATCTTTGCTAGCCTGCCCTTCCCAAAAAATCACTGCTAGCATGCGCTTTCCCAAAAAATTGTCGCTAACCTTCCCCGGTTATATTTTTATTTTCAGCTCCTCGAAGCGCGCTACAATCAAGAGGAGCCCGAGCTCGAGATCAGCGAGAGCAGCGCCGATTCCGACCTGGAGGCCGATTTTGCCGATATTGAGCGGCAAATGGTCGAGATCGAGCTGGAGCAGCAGAAGCTTGACGAGTTGGAGGCAAAGGTTTGTCCTCTAGATAGCTTTTCAAGGACCATTGAAGGCAAAACTTGGCCCGGCAGAAATGTCGGGCCAAATTTGTCTTTTTGCCTTGCCAATCCCTTTAAAATCCACTCTCTAGTTGCAGCGCTGCTTCACGATTCCGGATTGGACGGACGACTCGTTCGAGTCGGAGGAGTTTGAGGTCAAGTCGACGATCACGGCCATCGAGGGGGTAGGTGTACCCATCAAATCAAAGAATCTCTGCTAGCCTGCCTGGAGCTTGCCTTTAAAGGGATTGAGAAGGCGAAATGTGCTTAAAATTCGATTTTTTCAGGATTTCGCTGAATTAGACGATGATTGCGACGTTCAGTCTACCGTGACAGCTGTTGAAGGGGTTAGTTTTTTAGAAAATGTTTCCTGAAGAACCTCCGCTAGTCTGCCCCTTCCTAAAGAATCTTTGCTAGCCTGCCTTTTCCTAAAGATACTCTGCTAGCCTTCGACGGTCCTTTTCTAAACCCATTTTTTTCCAGACGTTCGATGAAGAGGACGACATCCCCGAGCTGGTCGACGCCGACTGGACCCCAGAAGTGGCCGACGTCGGCGAGGAGGTCAGTTTTGAGATCGGAAGCCAGCCCATTAAATTTTAAGGGGCCATTGAAGGCAAATCTAGCCACGGGCTCTCAATTTGCCTTCCCAGTACCTTTCGAATAAATGAATCGTGGCGTGGCGTCAGAGATTCTTGAGGTTTCAGGGCTGGCGCGAGCGGATCAGCGAGGCGATCCGGGTGGCGATGCGCTACAAGCTGGCGATGGCGGCCAGGCCCCAGATTCCGGGAATTCCGCTGGCCATCCCCGCCGAAGCTATCGTCGATTTTGAACATTACGCCGTAGATTTGGAGGCTCGACTGTTCATGGTATGTTTTTAAGTTAAGATCACGGGCCACCTAGCAGAGATCCTTTAGGAAAGGGCAGGCTAGCAGAGATTCTTTAAAGAAATCAGTGTAGCAGAGATCCCTTAAAAAACCAGCCTAGCAGCGATTCTCTAAAACACGGCAAGCTAGCAGAAACCCCTAGTGGAACCCTTCCAATCCCAATTCCAGGAAGCCGACAACGAGTCCGACTACCTGGCACGCATCGGCGGCAAGGCCTACTTCCTCGCCGAGGGCATCGACACGGAGGCCGACCGGATCCGCGAGCTCTACAACCTGCCCGATCCGGTCTTCTGGAGAAAGGCAAAGGCCGCCCAGGAGTTGGAGGTGAGTTAGCAGAGATTCTTTAGGAGTGGGCAGGCTAGCAGAGTTTCTTTGGGAAACGGTCATAATTCTGGTTTTCAGGACGCCCGGTTGAGCTACGGCTACGAAAGCTCCGAGGTCAGCACCTCTGACGACAGCGATTCCGATGACAGCGATTCTGATGACAGCTATTCCGATGACAGCGATTCTGACGACAGCGAGGGTAAATTTTCAGCGATTTCAAAGCCTAAGACCAAGTTAAGCCTGCTAAGTCTATGCTAATTCCAAGCTAAGCCTAACCTAAGCTCAAGTTAAGCTAAGTCTATGCCTAATCTAATCCAAAGCAGAACCCCAACAAAATATTCCAACATATCTAATCCCCCATTTTTAGCGTCGAGTTGCGGTGAGCACGACAAGGACCAAGAAGTTGAGGCACAACAAGCCCAAACCGCTCAAGGGCTCGAGGGCTTCGACCCGGACTGGGCCCACACTTTTTTTTGCGCCATGATGTTCCTCTTCATCTTTGGCTCGCTGTTGTTCATCGAGTGGACACGCCAGCGGGGCACGGCCTACTGAGCTTCATCTTCGCCCGTGGCTGTCCCTTTAAACCGGTTAATCTAGTTGTTCTCTCATTTTTACTTGTCATTTTTTTACTTTTTACTTTTCACTTTTCCATTTACGTTTCTTTGTTTTGATAAATATGTAAAGATAATCCTATTTTGTAAATAACACTAAACATACAGACCCGATAGCACGATTTACCTAATGAATCCCTGCTAGCCTGCCCTTTGCTCAAGAATTTCTGCTAGCTTGCCCTTTCCTAAAGGATCTCTGCAAGTCTGCCATCTCCAGATCAACGATTTATTTACCAAAATTAACAATTCAGAATGTTATATTAAAGACAACGACCACAAAAAACAACAGAAAATCCCCAATTTTCAGACAATTCATTCCAAGACTTTCCGAATGCACATGAGACAATGGGGGGTGCGGGGGTGAGAGAGTGCGAAAAGGCGGAGGGTGCAGAGAAGCAGAGCGGTGCTGGAGCTTTTCGAGGACCAGCCAGGAATATAGGGGGGCGGGGGTTTAGGCTTGGACTTAGGCTTATGCTTACCTCAGGCTTAGCTTGGGCTTAGCTTAGGCTTAGCTTAGTCTTAGCTTAGGCTTAGCTTAGGTTTAGCTTAGTTTTTGCAAAACCACTATTTTACAAAACCGAACAACCTTCGAGTTAAATCTTTGGGGTGCCAAAACAGAAAAAAGTGGTTTTTATGACCTCAATAGTTTTTTGAAAAAATACAAAACCGGACTTTAGAACGGGGGCAAACAGAGCGAGGCAATTGGGGAATCGGGAATTGGATTTTTAAAGGGATGGTGTCGGGAAAAGAGAAAGAGAAATCGCGATTTTCCTCAAATTCTCCCGACACCATCCCTTGAAACGGCCAGGAGAGAGATCAGCGGAAGGGGAGAGGAGCGAGACGGATTGCAGGACTACGGCGAGATACTCTATACAGTGCGTGTGCGTCCAGGGGAGTGTAGTGGAGTGCGTCGGGGGTTAAGGGAAGATGACGTAGACGTCCTGCTCCTCGTGCCAGTCATTCCAGGTGGGGGCCATCGTGAAGACGCGGATCGCCGTGTTTCGGGCAACCTGAAAAAAACGTTTTTTGGGAAAGGTAGGTTAGCAGAGATTCTTTAAGAAAACGGCGGTCCATTTAAAAGGACCTTCTTACCTTCAGAGGAAGCTTTTGGTTCATTTGATAAAGCTCAGCTTTTTGGCCCTAAGCTCGGCTTAGGAATCGAGCTTCGCAATTCTCTCTCTCTCTCTCTATCTCTCTCTCTCTCTCTCTCTCTCTCTCTCTCTTGCTGTCTCTCTCCACCCTTCTCATGCTCATCCACCCAATCATTCTCATTTCCAGCCCCTTTTCACGTGTTGAGGGAGGAGAGGTGGATGAGCACGAGGTAACCCGGGTTACGGTAGATACTGACCCGCTGGTGGACCCGTTCGCGCTCAGAGCGCACTTTGGCCGTCACGCTGGCCAGTCGGCAGTTGATCTTGCGCATTCGCTCGCTGGACTCCTTCTCGGTCTTCATGACGATACGCTGGAGACGAGCTTCTTCGGCGAAGCGCCCTGAAATGGTTGGATTGGAGCGAGAGAGAGAGAGCGAGAGAGAGAGAGAGAGAGAGAGAGAGCGTGAGGGATAGAGAGCGAGATAGAAAAAGGTTGCGAGCTAGAGAGCGAGGTAAAGAGAATGAGAGCTATAGGAGGAGAGAGCGAGAGAGAATGAGAGAGTGAGAATGAGAGAGAGAGACCGAGAGAATGAGAGAGAGAGTGAGAAATAGAGAGAGAGAGAGAGAGAGAGAGAGAGAGAGAGAGAGAGAGAGCAGTTAGACTCACCCGAATTCTTGCGAATACGCCTCCGGAAAGATGGAGCCTTATAGCCCTTTGTCGCTGGCTTCTTCGCCAGCTTTCCACCAGATTTTCGCTGGGCCTCCCTCTTCTCCTTCTTCTTGGCGGTGAGGGACCTCAAAAATTGGGGTTTAAAGGGAAATTGAAGGCAAATCCACAGCTACATTCTTCGATCCTGCAAAATACCGACTATAAAGGGAAGATCCCGACAAGTTTAGGGGCTACCTGAGTTTCTTGTTGCTAGAGATCGTCGATTTAAGGTAGGTGGTCGAGTCCGAGGAGTCGTCGATCAGCAGCTCGATCGGAGACTCGGCGTTTGGTGAGGGGGATTGGATCTCCAACACCTGTAAGAGCCGGGGTTTCTTGGATTTCCTAAGGAATCTCTTCTAGCATGGCGTTTCCTAAAGAATCTCTGCTGGTTACTCACCTCGGACTCGACAATTGAAATCGTTAACCGCTCTGCTATATGTGACATTGTCGGGTGGGCAGGGTTAGGTGAGGGAAGACGGAAGACGCTCCAAGTACTGGTCGGGTTACCTTAAGATTCTGATATGAGAGAGAGAGAGAGAGAGAGAGAGAGAGAGAGAGAGAGAGAGAGAGAGAGAAAGAGAGATAGAGGTGGAGCCTGAAAGAGAGGGAAAGCGAGAGAAATGTTGAGCGAGCAATAGAGAGAGAGAGAGAGAGAGAGCGAGAGAGTCACAGCGAAAGCGAGCTCCCAAGTAGCCGATAATTAACATAACAACACAGAAAAACGTAACAAATATCGATAGCGCCCGCCACGCCTCTAAATTAGCATCAAAATTATGGTAATTCCTTGAAATAAAATTTATTTCAACACGAGCTCATCTAGGGAAAACGTAACAAAAAAATACTGGGGCAAAGTGATTTCCATGTCGGGGGACGGGCAGTATTTGTCGAAGGGGGGGTTCGGGTTGCAAAATAGGCATTCTCAAGATTGACAATAGAGACAGAAAATTTACATCAGAAAATCGATGCGTGATAATATGGAGAAAAATGGATAATATGCGCACCTCGGGGCGCAGATTGGGATTTTTTGGGCTTTTTTCGCGGGATTGTACCTTATAGGCTTTGTTCTGTAGCCTACGATCCGTTTTTGGGTTTGTAGTCTGTAGTCCCAGACGGGGTAGTCTGCATCCCGCCAAGCCCAAAATCCCAAGCCACTCGCGGTTCAGGTACGAGCCGCTCGATTCTCGCCAAGTCGAAGCCAAGTCAACTTGCCTCCCCCACCCGTTCATTCGGTTGGTGGATTCCTCGGGGTCGGGGTGCGACGGGGTTTTCGCGGTTTTAAAGGGATCGGTAACTTAGGCTAAGGCTTATGCTTCGGTGGCTTAGGCTTAGGCTTAGGCTTAGGCTTAAGCGTACCGAATAGCTTTACAGATACAATTTAGGAAAGTGACCAATCCCTTTAAAACACGCGAAATCCCGCCGTCCCGACGCGAAGAGGGACCGCATTCGAGCAAAAACAACAAAAATAACAACACAACGGGTGAAACCAGGATAAAATTGGGAGATTATCGATTGGTTCGAGTTTAAATTTTGGGCTACAAACTATATTGCGCCATTTTGAAGGCGTACTCAAAATCAGTCGATAATTCGGGGTAAAAATATGCAAACCGCTGGCGTTTAGGCGTAGGCTTAGGCTTAGGCTTAAACCCTAGCGGCCAAGTACGATAACGAACAATCACCTAGTTATTAAATGAGGGCGGAGCCAATACATTCAAGGACGATCGGAGTTTGTAGCTTAGGCTTAGGCTTGGTCGCCTAATCATTTTTTAACGCCCTAAACATATTAGCAAACTACAAACTCCAACGCCTCCCCCAGAAGGCCCCGCCCCTCCCACCGTCGACGCACTAAAGGTAGGGCTCGATGGCGGAGAAGTCGCCACCGAACAGGTCGGTGACGGGGAACATCGGGTCCTCCTGGCAGCCCTTCGGTGCGGCGGGCTCCAGCGGGGTCAGCTGCATGCTCGTCGCCGAGTTGTTGCACCGCTTACAGAACTGGAATTTGGGGGTGGGTTAGAGGTACTTTAAAGGAAAGGGCCCGACATGGCTATTGATGCTTAGGCTTAAGCTCAGGCTTAGGCTGAGGCCGCCGCCTGGGCTTAGCCCAGGCAAAAATCGTACCTCAATAGTTGGCCCATTTCCGCCAACATGCACGCAGAGGCCGACTCCAGGCGGGACGGACTCAATGGACGAACTAAAAGCGAGAGAATTAAAAAAAAAAAAAAAAAAAAGAGAGAGAGAGAGAGAGAGAGAGAGAGAGAGAGAGAGAGAGAGAGAGAGCTACGACTCACCCATATCCCTGTCCCGTTACTCGCGCCAAAATCGGGGCCAGCTTCGAGTCGTGCTGGATGACCTTCTTGAGCATCATGTTCTCCTCCATCAGGCAGTCGTTCTCCTCCTCCAGTTTCTTAATGCTCGACGCCATGCCCTCGATCTCGCGCTCGAGGTCCTGAAAACAAGGTCGACAAAATTCGGAAAATCTAGCCTGCCCTTTCCCAAAAAATCTTTGCAATCCTGCCCACCTTGCAGCGCTCCTCGAACTGCTTCGTCTCCTTCTTCTTCGCTTCGCGATACGCGCGGGCGTAGCGCGCCATATTCGTGTTGCTGTTCCCGCGGCTTTTCGGTCTGCCCATCGTTGCTTTCTAAAATGAATTGCTAAGTTTCTTGCATTTCGTTCCCGCATGGTCTATGCTAGCCTGCCCCACCTGCGTCTCCGCCGGCTCTTTGCCGTTGATCAACGAGCGCAGGGTGGACGTCTGCTGGGCGTACGGGCTGTACAACGGGGTCCCGCTGTGGGTGTATCTAGGCAAATTTGTAGTTTAATTATATGTTAAGCAGTAGCCTTTTTGGTATAAGCCTAAGCTAAGCCTAAGCCTAAGCCCAAGCTATGTCTAAGCTTAAGCCTAAGCCTAAAGCCAAGCTAGGCCTAAGCCAAGCCTAAGCTGAAGCCTAAGCCAAGTCTGCTCTTTTTTTCTTTCAACTACCTCATCGGTCGTCGCAAATTCTCCTGTCCCTCCATGTTTTTCAGCGTCTCTTGGAAGCGTTCGTAGTCTTCAATGTCTATTATTAAAAACGGATTAATAAGACGGAGTTAGTATTTTGTAAGCCATGATTTAATAATAGTCCATAAATAGTTTACAAATTTATAGATTAGTATCATTAACTTTTGTGCTGTTTTTTTGCTGGCCCACCTGCTTGATCGAAGCCCTGCTCGTCGCTCCACTCCTCGTTCTGATGACTCTGGTGCCCCATGTGATCAGCGTTGGCCCAAGGAGGTTACTGTAAGCAAAGTCATTTTAAGTTATTTTAATTAAGACGCGATAAAGAAAAGGTCATTTTCTAGTTTTTATCGCCCTAGAGACATAAAACCAATCTATTAAATCGTTTAAGCCTAAAAAGAAGACTGAGCTGAATTAGTTATAACGTGAAAAAGCCACCTAGTTATTTTTTTACATAGCCCAAAACTAGCATTTTTAGATTTTTTAATGTCGTTATATTCCCATTAATGTGTGAACACCTTTAAAAAGTCGTGTAAGATGAGAGAAGCTTGTTATGAAATGGAGAGCAAGCCCATTTTTTTAAAATTGCCTTTTAAAATAATTAGAATTATTTGCAAATTAAAAAAAGCAAGTTTTGTAACTTCAAAAATTTAGGAGCCGCCGAATTTCGCATCCGATTTTTACGCAATTCTTCGAAACGGCCCCAGTACGGTACGAATGGCGAGCGCGCGCTGTAAAGCCGCGTCAAGGGGGGTGGCGTGTAGCCGCGTGAGCGATCGAATTGGCTGCGATTGGGCCGGCTCGGGTCAACTCTTGATCAATGCGGCCGGTTTATGGTGATTAAATTAATTTTCTTTGTTTTTTAAAGATTTTTGTACTTGGAAGAGGTAGTTCAACAAGTGGTGGCAATCGTAGTACACTTATTTGGAGGCTTAAAGCACATAACTTGCAAAAGGTTTGTCGGGTTCAAAGTTAGCCTGTTTTATGAATTTTGCTGTTTTTGTCACCAATATGCCCATTTTTTTGGAAATTTAAGTGAATTAATACTTTTTTAAAGAACTTTTGACGTTATAGCGAACAATTTCTTGCGGGCTTAAATCTATCTTTCTATTCTCTTTTTCTTTTTCAGATCAATAAAGCCTCAAAATATGTAGTCATACCTCTTTTTTACACATTGTTAAACCAATTCTTTCCAGGTGTGACGGCCCCGCCAAGCCGCCGCCTCGACAGCCACGATTAGCCGACCCACCCAACGAGCCAGGGTCCCGGGAAGCAACGCGACGGCTTCAGCCACCTGGAGACAACTCGCCGAGTCTTCTTCCGACCCCGAGGAGCAGTCTGCCGTCTCGCTTGAAGGTCAATTTTGTGGATTTTACGGGTTAAACCGGAAAAGCTGTGTCCGTTTAATAGGTTTTTTTTTAGTTTTTAGTTAATTGCTCACCGAAGTGCGCTAGTACGCTTTACCCTTTTTCTCCTTATCGCTGCAGGACCATTTTTCAGCGTTACAAAAGCATAATCACAAAAAAGGAGCTAATGCTATTGTCGACAAACAATTTTTTATCCCCTTAGTTTTGTATTTGGTCACTTTGCTTTTATTTTTCGACAAAAACTTACCAAATGTCGGGAAATTGCGTAATTTGCGGGTTTTATAGGCTTTACGTTGAAAAAGTCATTTTTGCGATTGTGTAGCGTTTTCCGGAAATTTCGGGCTATCTGGTGGCCGCGAAATGTCATAATGCTTCTCTTATCTTTCTCTATGATAATCGAAACAACTTCTAGGGATTTTTTTCGACAATCCTGGTAGCGCACGTATTGCCATCTTATTAGTGTTAGTTTTTACCGCCCTCCTCGCTATGATTGGCGCCAAAATGAAAAGGAGTATGCGAGTGCGCCACTGACCCAATAGCCCAGTTTTGAAAGCGTTTCTTGTTTCCCATTTTACCCGTTTCCGTATTGAGCAGCATTTTATCCGTTTCCTAACCCAGTTTTCCAGGTTCAGAAGCCGAGGGCGAAGACATGAGCTCCAGCGAAGAAGTCAGCTGGATCACGTGGTTCTGCGGACTGCGCGGCAATGAATTCTTTTGCGAGGTGAGGGCGTGGTCTTGATTGTTCTAGGGTTTTTAGTTTCGATTTTCACTTATAAGGTTTTTGAAGCAACCAAATGCACAAATAGATTTTCTGATTTCAGGTAGACGAGGAATACATCCAGGACCGCTTCAACCTCACCGGCCTCAACGAGCAGGTGCCCAAATACCGCCAGGCGCTCGACATGATCCTCGACCTCGAACCGGAGGATGATATGGAGGACAACCCGACGAACTCGGACCTCGTCGAGCAGGCCGCCGAGATGCTGTACGGCCTGATACACGCCCGCTATATTCTCACCAATCGTGGCATTAGTCAGGTATTTGTTTTAGACATTTTTAAAAGAAAGCAGGTACAAGGCCGTGATTTTGAAAATTAATAATTTGTGAATTGTTAGTTTGAAATTGTACTACGAAAATCCATACTTTTCTTTTTCTTGTCGATTTTGCCATACTTTTCGAATAACTTTTCGAAATATTGATTTTGTTGAAGTTGCAATTTTAGAAGTAGCTATTTTAACATAATTTCAAAATGTTGTAAAGTATGACTTTTGAATTTTTTGCTTTTCGATTAATGCTTTACGTAGTAAGAGCTTTTAATTAATGACGCAATGAAAAATACATTTTTCATTTCAGATGGTCGACAAATGGCGCGACCACGACTTCGGGACGTGCCCGCGCGTCTACTGCGAGAACCAGGCGATGCTCCCGATCGGGCTGTCCGACGTGCCCGGCGAGTCGATGGTCAAGCTCTACTGCCCGCGCTGCTGCGACGTCTACGTGCCCAAGTCCAGCAAGCACCAGCATACTGATGGTAATTTTTGTGTGTGGTGTTTTGAGCTGTTATGATAACGGCCAAAATGCCGACAGTTTGAACGACACGCCAAAATGATGACATTCAAAATCAGGACCGCCATCGGCGTTCAAAAATTCTGTTGGCATTTTTCTGTAGTTACGAATGTCGGCATTACAGGTTTCGGGTTTGATCGTCGGTATTTAGCTGTAGTTATGACCTGTCGACCTCATGAAATTTATCTTTTTTAGCCCGTTTCAAAATTTCAATTCCTCCGTTTCAGGCTCGTACTTTGGCACCGGATTCCCGCACATGCTGTTCTTCGTCCACCCGGAGCTGCGCCCCAGGCGACCCACCAACTCGTTCGTGCCCAGGTATCAAATTTTTTCGAGAAAAATACTCCCGCTTTTGTTTAGGCTGTACGGCTTCAAGATCCACCCGCTCGCCTACAACCTCCAGTACCAGCAGGCCCCAAATGGCGGTCTGCCGCTGCCGAACGCGCAGCCGGGGGACGTGGCGGCGTCGCGTCAGCAGCAGCCGAACGTCTACGCGGCGCAGCAGTAGGGCTTCGCCAGCGGTTGCGCGACCCAGGTACCGTAGGGTTTATGCGGGGAGAAAACGACTTATGTACTTTCTTCTTTTTTTTCGTTTTTCGTTCTTTTCGAGCCACATTTTCGAGCCGTTCAAGATTCAAGGCAAAATCAAGATTATATTTTTTCAACGAGTAGGATGCCCCGCCCCCCGATAAGCAAAAGGCAAGCAAATTAACAATTCCGGAAACTGCTAAACTTCGAATTACGGTACTTGGGGCAAGGCAACCGATTTGCTTTCAGAATCTCGAAATTTTATGATGTCGTTATTTTCTGCTAAGTAGTAGTAGCTATTTATAAATCCTTCTAAACTGTTTTTAATTTATCTTTTTTTTCAGTGGAGACGAGCCGCTGGGAGCTGTCCGCGTCGGTGGCGCTGCTTTCCTGGAGCGCTTTCGCGCTGTGGCTGGTACTCTACAAGCTTTGACCTAGCTGCTGCTTCTGCTGTTGCTGCTCCCTGCCTCCCCATTCCATTCAACGTCTCTATATTCACAGCTGTCGTTTTGTCTCAACCACACCAACAAAATTCCCTGTTTCCCATATTCTCATTTTTGACGAAAAAGTTCTTCGACCTCGTCGACCGGTTCTGTTGTGATTTTACACCCCTTCCGGCCTCTGTCTACATCCCTCTCTCCCCCACACTCATAACTTTGTTATTTTTTCCACGTTGTAAACAGTTTCCCCCGCTCCCCATCATCATTGTTGATAAATTTCCGCCCAGATTACGGCAATCACACAACTCTTATTAATCTACAATTGCGCGCGCGTGTTGACAGTACATTTTTGGAATGGATTGACAGTATTTCGTTAAGCTTAATATTCCCTCTGTTTGTCGGGGCCGGCTTCTAGATGACGCCCGTCTGCACGCCGCGCTCCCAGCAGTGCTGAAAAAACGGGCTAACTGCCACCATCCATCTGAGTGGCGCACCTTGCCCTGCTTGCTGCTGATGCGGTAGACGATCGACTTGGTGAAGAGGCGTCCCTCGGCGTACGGGGCTTCCGTTTGCGTGCCCATCGACTTGGCCTTTGGCTCCTGAAAAGCGTGGCGTATTGGGGATTAGCCTGCTGTACGCCTGGCCATTTACAGTAATCTAGCTGAAATAGCTGGTTACAGTAATCTAGAAAATAAAACCTCTGTAAGCTAAAAACTCACGACGACCGGCGACTTGGCCCTGGGTTTCGCCTCAATCTGCTCCTTTTTCGGGCTTTTCTGTAATTATTATATAAATCGTAAGCTTGGCTCATTTTTTATTAGAAAAATTGAGGGTTTTTTATTAGAAGTTGCACCCCAAGTTGGAGCCGAAATTTTAGCCTAAGCCGAAGCCCCAGTTTAAGTCAAAACCTAAGCCCAAGCCCAAGCCCGCTAAGCCCTGGAAACCTAAGCCTAAGCCTAAGCCTAAGCCCAAGCCCATACCTGAATCGGTGAAGCCAACTTCTTTTCGACGACTTTCTCTGCGATTTTTTCGACCACTTTTTCGGTCGTGTTCTCGACGATCTTCTCCTTCACTGGGCTCTTCTAGACTAGCGTGATAACTGTCAGTCTTCGGATTTCTCACCGGGGAAGCGGGTGGGGTCTGCTTCTTGTCGGTGGTCTTCTCCTGGACGATCGATTTCTCGGAGGTTTTCTCAACCACTTTTTCGACGGCCTTCTGCTCGGTCTTCTCGACAATGGCCTCCTTCGCTGGGCTTTTCTGTAATTTTCGATATTCAGGGGCGTTGCGTCTGGTCAGCTAGCAGAGATTCCCTAAGAGATGATGAGTACCGGTGATGCTGGCGGGGTCTGCTTCTTGTCGATGATCTTCTCCTGGACGATCGACTTCTGGACGGTCTCCTCAGCGACATTCTTGACGATCGCCTCCTTCACCGGGCTTTTCTGCAAGCGTTGAGGTGACAGGTTAGCAGAGATTCCTTAGGAGCTACCGGCTTCTCCTCGATTTTCTTCACCGCCTCCACCTTCTCCTCCTCCTTCTGCTTGATGACCTCTTCCTTTTCTTCGATCTTCTCTTCGGCCACCTTCTCAATCTTTTTCTCCTCCTCCTTCAATACCTCCTTGAGCACGAGTTTCTAGAATGGACTTTAAAGAGAGCGAGAGAGAGAACGAGAAATAGAGTGCGAGGGAGAGCGACAGTACCAACCGGCGAGACTGGCGGCGTCTCCTGGGTCCTATCGATCGGCATCTCATACGGGATCATCTCCACCTCAAACGAGAAGACGCCGTCGCGCTTCGCGCTCCGGAAGATCAACTGGAAAAGAGGCTACCTAGGGAGGGCAGGCTAGCAGAGATTCTTTCGCAAAGGGCTCCAACCTCGCTGACATTGTTCGGTCCCGCGCGGATCAGGGCAGCCTGTAAATTTTTTCTCGGTCTATGATGAAATTTTATAACTAAAACCGAAAAAATGCTCCGCTGGGGGGTGAAACCCCGGATTTTCAGGAGGGGTCGGTCAGAATTTGCCTTCAATGGCCCTTTAAAGGCTACCTTGACAGCCCGGATCGTCGCATCGAACAGGGCCGGCTCGAAGTTGGTCGTGTACGACTGGGCCTTCTGAATTTCGGTAATTTGCATCCAAGGTTTCGCGTTTTACGTGTGAATAAGCCGGGGTGGCAAGGGTGGCCATTTTCGCAGGGGTGAAATGGAGGGAATGGAGGGAATGAGGCGAATGGGACCACGAATGAAGAAGCAAGGCTTGGAATCAAATTTGGCGAGTGAAATCAATCAATCGCTCTGTCTCTCTCTCTCTCTCTCTCTCTCTCTCTCTCTTTCTCTCGCTCTCTCCTCCCTCTCACTATCTCTCGTCGTTTGAACGGACCTTTCTTCAACAGCTATTAGGGATGTCAACATTTTGGCTTGTCGGTATTTTGGCTATCAGGATTAACACTGTCGGGGTTTTGGCGTTCCCCCCTTCCAGAACCCATCTAAAAACTTTCCCAGGGACAATCGCCCGGTTTTTCGCGCACAAACCCGATTCTAAGGCGACGGCCCCGGGGGGTCAATCCCTTCAAGACAATGGCCACATTCGGGGTGGGTTTTCTGTGGGTTTCCACCTCAATACAATGACGGGTATTGGTGAGAGGGGGCCCATGGGGAATGTGTGGCCTTTTCATCGGGTTTTCCCGCACTCCCCGAGGACGGGACGCCAAATCTGATGCGCAAACGGTAGAAGGTGGGGCGCGTGCCACCGACACTTGCCGGTTTTTGGCCTCCCTTCCGGTGAGTTGTCTCATCCCTCTCTCTCTCTCTCTCTCTCTCTCTCTCTCTCTCTCTCTCTCTCTCTATTCCGGCCGATGGTGTTGCCCTGGTTAGACCAGAATTATCGGGTTGTTCTGGTTCTGTCTGAAATTGACAACTTCCAAGTGCATCTCTGCTAGCCTGCCCTTTTCCTAAAGAACCACTGCTAGCCTGCCCTTCCCTAAAGATTTTGTATTTTGTTTGTATCGCAAGTAACCGAATAAACTTTTCCCAGGCGGAAAGCTAGAAGGAGCAGGAGGAAGGGCGGGCGGTAAATTGTGCTCCCCCGCCTCCCGGAATTGTGGAATAGGGTAGGGCGGGTGGGTTGAATGAGAATGACCGGCTTTTTGTATCTCGGTATGCCCTGGGGGCAAATGGCGCACCCAGGCTGGAATCATGTTTCCACCCACCCACCACTGGCCATCCACAAAGTTTTTGTTCGGTTTTGTCGAGGAAAGAGGGCTTTTTTGAGCTTAGGCTTAGGCTTACCGAACCGAACCAAAGCTTATAGAAAGCGTATAATCGCTTAAAAACCCAGTTATCTCTCTCTCTCCCGCTCTGGCTCTCTCTCTCTCTCACTCTCTCTCTCTAGCTCTCGCTCTCTCTCTCTCGCTCTTTCTACCTCTGGCCCTCTGACTCGCCCTCTCTCTCTCTCTCTCTCTCTCTCTCTCTCTCTCTCTCTCTCTCTCTTCCTCTTATCTATCCCCTTTTTACCCATTCAAAATGACCCTTACCCTTTTCTTTAACTTGTATATACGACGCCACCGGGTCTGTTCGGCGCTACCCGATAAGCCTTATCTTGAAGCCAGGGCCTCCTAAAAGGCCGAGCAATCATCGCTTCGCTCGGCTAAAGTCCCGTCATTTTTCAATTGTTTTGAAGAAATTTTGGCCCAATTCTCAAAGGATCTCTGCTAGCCTACCTTCCTAAAGGATTTCCGCCATACTGGTCTTTCCCAAAGAATCGCTGCTAGTCTGCCATTTCCTCCGGAACCACTGTTATTTTGCTTTTCTTAAGTTAAGTCTACTGGTCTGCCCTTTCCTAAAGCATCTCTGCTAGCCTGCCCTTTCCTAAAGAAGCTCTGCTAGCATGCCTTTCTCCAATGACCTCTGCTAGCTGTTGGCTCGCTTCCAAGCCCTCCCCAATCCCAACCTGCCCCCTCAAGCTTATCAGAAGGGCTTTTGGGATGAGCCGGGGTGGCAGGCTCGTGCCTTTTTCCGCCCTAATCCTATCAACGGTGAGTGCCTCATTACGGGGGGATAGCCCCCGAGGGCATTTTGGCATTTAAAGGGACGGGGAAGGCAGCGAGAGAGCGAGATCGGCAGAGATAGTGCATAAATCAGCGGGCGACTTGTTTGTGGGTGATGGATGGGGACGGATCAGGGGTGCCGCACCTCGCTACGAGATGCACCAAATTACGATCACTTTCCCTCCACGGGGGGTTGCCCCCGGCTTTTCACTCGATTTCCCTGATCATCGGTTTTGTGTGTCGTTTTCCTAAAGAATCGCTGCTAGCCTGCCCGATTTTGTTGTTTCAGAATCTTTAAAGAATAGCTGCTCGTTTGCCCGAATCAAGCGATTTTTGAGACATATTTGCTAGCTTGCCTTGTTTGGCTTGAGGGCTTCTTTGTTTCAAAGGATCTCTGCCAGCCTGCTCTTTCCTAAATAACCGCTGCTAGCTACCAGCCACACCCCAGTAGACATAACGGAAATGGGAGTGGAATCGGGATGACCTTGCCAATCTTGGGTGCATTCATTCTCTCCCTCTCTCCCTCTCTCCCTCTCTCTCCCTCTCTCACTCTCTCTCTCTACCCCATTCCCTGAAATAATGCCAAAAGCTACAGTCTCCACTCCCCCTGGATGACCTATCATTTCTCACCTTCCTCCCTAATGGCGGGCAACACCAATTTGCCAGGCGAGGCCGTCAGGGTTGACATTTGGTGATAGATTACCTCCAAGATTTTTCGCTAAATCACGCCCTGGATTATTTGACTACTATAAAAGTGGGCTGCTCCTCACGCTTTCCCAAGGAATCTTCGATATCCGACTCTTTCCCAAATGGTCTTTCCCGGCTTGTCCTCTTCTAAAGAATATCTGGTAGCCTGCCCTCTCCTAAAGAATATGCGCTAGCATGCCCCGTGCTAAAGCATCTACCAGTGAAAGGCGGCGTATGTTTGGTCGATCGGTGGGCTCGGATTTCACCCTCCAGATCCGGGATCGGCGCGGAAATCGTTGGAGATGGTTGTCTCGGGAGGGAAAGGGCCGACTGTAGCCCCAGGGCATATAGAGGGAGAGAGAGAGAGAGAGAGAGAGAGAGAGAGATCGCATCTCGCCCACCTTGTCGCGCGGAACGGGTCCCCTGCACGACACGCCGATGTGCCCCAGGGCACATTGCCCCGCGTTGACCACCCGCGGCGCGGGGGATGGCGGTTAGGGGATCTTCATGTTGCATTCTTGGCTCTAAGTTGCCTTAATAAGCCTAAGCCTAAGCTGCACCCTGAGCTTAAGCATCCGAAGTCTAAGCACGTCCCTTTCAAGCGGGAAGCTTTCTCTGCTTTTCTCTCGCTGTCTCTTTCTGTTTCTCTATCTCTCTCGCACGCCCTCTCTCACTCTCTCTCTCTCTCTCTCTTCTTTCCACGCCCCGTTAAGCCCGAAATTAGGCGCGCCACGAGAATTTTTTGGTGTTTTCGAGGAGCGAATTGGCATCTCTCCTCAAACAAATGGGCGGTGAGAAAGAGTCATCTCCTCAAACAATACCCATTCGGAACGAGTGGCCGGTCTCTGTTTCTCTGCTCTCTCTCTCTCTCTCTCTCTCTCTCTCGTCTCAACTTTTTAATGGGATCAGCCTGCGATCCCGGGCGGTTTTCCCGAGACGTACTCAAGAGGAGAAGCAAAAGCGTTTCAAACTTTTGGGCTGAAAAACGTAGAAACTTACTTTTCTCAAGCAATCTCCGCTAGTCTGCCATTTCCTAAAGAATCCCTGCTAGCCATCACGTGCTCTTCAAGATCCCATTGTTGTGACACCCATCCCCCAATCCCATCACAACTATGTGCCCTATGTGCCCTCCGGCACATCACACTTTAAAACGAGGCGCCCCAATGGCCTAATAGCCCAGGGGCTTGTTTGCGGTGTGTGTCGGCTGCCTATTGATAAATGATCTCTGCTGGTTGCCAGCCAGCGGCCAGCGGCAAGCGATTGGCACCTTGGGGCCCAAAAAGTGGGCCCCGGGGCCCAAGAGCTGGGCCCAAAGGAGATGCTAGGCGCCACATGTCGCCGGTGATCACTGTGCTAACTCTCTCTCTCTCCCTCTCTCACTCTCTGTCTCTCTCTCTCGCCCCGCCAAAGTGTGCTGCTCACGGCTCATGATCCGCTTGAGGGCCCTTACTTCCAAAAAACCCGCCGCCCCAAAAACTTGACCACATCACGGACACTGACTTACGGGCACTATAGCCTGAGGTTGACACTCCAGGCATTCTTCCCAGTGTCGATTAATGTGCCTATTTATGTGTTTTCTTGAGGAATCTCTGCTAGCCCTCTTGAGTTCCACCTCCCTAAGCCTAAGCCTAAGCTGAGGCCTAAGCCCAAGCCTAAGCCCAAACCTAAGCCTAAGCCTAAGCCTAAGCCTGAGCCTAAGCCTGAGCCTGAGCCGAAGCGTAAGCCCAAGTCCAAGCCGAAGCCAAGCCAAGCCGAAGCTTAAACCTAAGCCTATTTCCTGGATGCGACCGCTGTTTTGGTTGAACTGTTTCGAATTTTTGATGGAGAATCTATGCTAGTTTGCCCCTTTCCCAAAGAATCCCTGCCAGCCTACCCTTTCCTGAAGAAACTTTGCTTGCTTGCCCTTTCCTAGAAATTTCTGCTCGCCTGCTCTTTAGACTAAAAAGCTATGATAATTCTCATTTCAGGATCCACGAAAATGGCACCAACAAGATAACGATGATTTCGCAGTTTATTCTACTATTTTTGGCCTATTTATTGATCCAGTTGGAGGCGAGCCAGGTCTACGACCTAAAAAATGGTAAAAAAACCAGAAAAATCAAAACAAACATTTTTTTAGAAAGCGCCAGCCTCAGACTACAGGTGGGGCCAGGGGAGGCGCTCGTCAAGCTGTACGAGTACCGGCAGCACTGGCTGTTTGGGGGCAGGCGGGTTGTTTTTTTGCATTTTATGACTATTTTTTAGTGTTTTTCGTTCATAAATTATTTTAACTCCTTAATAAAATGTCGTTTTTTGTAGAAATGCGCTCTACAACGTTTCCTTAGCCGATTTGAGCTTCAAAAAGCTTGAAATTCCGGTGGAAAAGGAAGCCTATAATGATTGCGCAAAGACGTTTAACGAATCGGTAAGTCTAGCGGAGATTCTTTAGGAAGGCAGGCTAGCAGAGGTTCTTCAGGAAAAGGCAGACTAGCAGCAATTCCTTAGGAAATCCAGAGCTACAGTAACCCCGTAAAAAATCACTTTTAGGCCGTCTGCCAAAACGATCTGCGCATCTTCTATCCGCTGGCCCAAGGGTTCGTCGTGTGCGGGACGAACGCCAGGCGCCCGGCTTGTTTTGTGTTTTCTGGTGAGGCTTAGGGCAGGCTAGCAGCGATGATTTGGGAATCCCATCTAGCGTCGTCATTTCAGACGGGCTGCTACGGAGAAGCTTCTCCGCTTTGGGGCAGGCCCCTACACTCAACAAGTATCCCTCAAAATTCTACGCTTCGGCCCGGCAGCTTTTCACGTTTACTGGTGGGTGAGAGAGAGAGCGAGCGAGAAAGAGAAAGAGAGAGAGAAAGAGAGAGATTTCGTTTTAGCCTCCGACTTCTCGGGCCAAGAATTCCTACTGCTGCGCCGGAATCAGAACGGCAGCACCGCGGGCGAGATCCGGTCCCCTCGACCATCCTTTGACCGTCCTGAGATCGTTGAGATGCACGAAAACAAAGAGGTTTGGTTTCGCCAATGAGCTCTGGTAGCCTGCCCTTTCCTAAAAAATCTTTGCCAGCCTGCCCTCCTAAAGAATCTCTGCCAATCGCCCGAATTCAGGAAATCTGGCTGTGGTTCAACGAAAACCCCGCCGACAGCGAGCAGTGCGGCAAGAAAAGCGAGTCCCGCGTGGCCAGGGTGCGTGGTTACAACTTTTTAACCCTAAAAGGCGCATGGACAACATTCTGTTCAACGTAAATACCGAATTTCAGGTCTGCAAAAACGACCCTGGCGCGGCCAAGCCGTACGACATGGAATTCAGCAGCTTCTCGAAGGCGAAGGTCGAGTGCGCGATCCGGGAGGACAGCAAGGATACGCTGTATTTTAATCAGGTAAAGATTTTAGCGGGGCAGGATAGCAGCGATTCTTGAGGAAACTTGTCCCAGGCCCTTCAAAAGCACTTTTCCAGCTCCAATCCGTCCGGCGAACCGGCTCAACCCGGCTGGTCGGCGCCTTCCAGTCGCAGCTCGCCGGCCTCGGCGCTTCTGCCCTCTGCGAATTCGACGTGGGCAGCATCCAAAAAACCCTGCACTCCAAGTTCAAGGTGGGCTAGCAGAGATTCTTGAGGAAACGGGGAGGTATCAGAGGCTATTTGGGAATTCTAGAACTACCGTAGCTCCGGGTGTCCGCGTGCCACGTCAACGGATGCCCAGCTGGCCGCAAAGTCGAACCCGATGGTGGACAATAGTAAGTTTGACTTGAAGGGCTGAGGCTTAGACTTAGGCTTGGCTTCAGCTTAGGCTTAGGCTTAAGCTAGATTTAGGCTTCGGCTTATCTTAAACTTAGGCTTAGGATACCTTTAAGCTTGGGCTTAGCTTGAGCCTAGCTTGGCTTACGAATCGCCTTGTTGCGTAAAATGTCTCAACTTTTAGTGATCACCGCCAAGCCCTTCTTCCACATTTTCAACGGCAAGGACCGCTTCACTGCGCTCGCCATCGAGGATGAGGTCCGATCGATTACGATACCAAATCAGGTATGTCATCAATTTCCTAATGAGCCTCTGCTAGCCTGCCCTTTCCTAAAAACATCCCGGCGATTCCAGAAAATCACCGTCATCTACGTCGGCACGGACAGGGGCAACGTGCTGAAGCTCGTCAAATCTTCCGCAGGCCCTGTAGTGCACGTTGCAACGCTAAGGGTTACGGTAGGCTAGTCATCTTTCAGGGATCAACGTTCTTCCAGAATTCCACGATTCGCGAGCTGACCGTGCTGAAGGTGCCGCTCCCGAATTTGAACTCTAAGTGGGAGCTGCTAGTCGGGACTGGTGCGTCAAATACAGGCTTTGTCACGCTCGCGAAACCTAAGCCTAAACCTAAGCCTATGCCTACGCCTAAGCCTAAGCCTAAACCGAAGCCTAAGCCTAAGCCCAAGTCAAGTTTTACCTTTAGACACCGGATTCCACAAGGCTCCAGTGGGCGCTTGTGCCCAAGCCGAGACGTGCCAAGCTTGCACCCGGCTAGGTGACCCGCAATGCGCTTGGAAGCTGGACCGTTGCGTGCCCGTCATGGAACACCTAAATGCTAGGTAGGCAAGTCATTAAAGGCCCCGTGAAGGCAAATCCACAGCCGCGCTGGACTCTTGGCAATCAGTCGTTCCCATCCTGGCGAAAGAGCTTCCTACGACGACCCCTTAAAATCCATAAACGGTGTTTCATTCCAGGCAACACCTCTGGACCGACCCTGGGCAGTGTGTGGACGTGGAAATCCCAACGACGATATCAACTACTCCATCGACCACCACGACCACCACGCGGAAGATGACCAACATCGTCACGAAGGGTAGGGGATTTTCCCTAAGAATCCCTGCTAGTCTTCCCTTTCCGAAAGAATCTCTGCTAGCCTGTCATTTCCTAAAAAATCTCTGCTATCACCTCCCGCTTTCCAGATTACTACGAGCAACGCCAATTCCTATTCGAGCGCCGTGACGACAAGCCGGTCCCCTGCACCGCCGAGGTCGTCCAAAAGGAAGTCCGCTCCCGAGTCGATTTTGGTATACCGCACCTCGGCTACCGTAACCCAAACCTTAGTTCCGATCGTGTCCGCACTGTTGATTGGGTGTCTGCTCGGAGCCGCGGCCCTCTATGCAGTCATGTGGGTCGGAAGATGGCCAAAGGAAAAGGTGGGAGGGGATTCTCTCTCTCTCACTCTCTCTCTCTCTCTCGCTCTCTCTTTCTCTATCTCGCGTTCACTACCCAATACTTTTTAGCCTCCCCCGTCGCCCGTCTGCCAGACACGTATCGAGGCGTACACGTCGGTCCCGTCGAACAGCCAGTCGATGCACAGCACCGTCACGACGCGCAGCACATCCACGCCCCATATTAGTAAATTAACGTATTGCTGAGGACCAGGTTAGGCTTGAGCTTAGGCTTGGGCTTCGGGGCTTAGGCTTAGGCTTGGGCTTAGGCTTAGGCTTAGGCCCCCGGCACCCAACTAGCAAGGATTCCCCCAGGATATGACCAGCGCGAAACCGGCCGGCAACCTGACACTGTCCCTTTACAAGCTTCTGAGTTTCAATTAGCCGTTTCCACAATGCTCCCGGCTAGCCTGCTCCTACAAAACCTTCTTTGTATATTCCGGTGACCTCCATCATCACTTTAATTGCCATAGAGCAAGATATTGTCAGTTTCTTCCCCAAATTTCTTTGTAAAAGTATCCAAACCTTGCAAGTTTTAATGAACCTTAACTTTAATGCTTTGTTCAGCCTGTTTTCGTTGAATTCTCCGGATCGAGAAGCCCTGAATTGTCGTTTTTTTGCGTTTTGCGAATGTCTTTGTGCCCCACACACATATCCACCGGGTAGGTCTCTCCCCCCCTCTCTCTCTCTCTCTCTTTTGCTATGTACTGTATTTTGCCTTTTCCACGTTTTGTACTCAGTTACGGGTGTTCGATGACTTTTCCACCACGATACTATGGACGATATTACGATTCTATGTAGATACAGTATTCATTAAATTTTTACAGCAAATTGGACACAATTCAAGCACCCGGAAGTAAAGCACACAAAGAATACAGTATCTGGGAGCGGAATTCCGGATTACTCCGGAAATTCTGGGGAGCAAAAACGTAAAGGCGTACAGAGGAGCACCGGGGAATCACAGCACATTTTTGGATCCGAAAACACGACGATAATGGCGGTTTTGAAAGAGAGAGAGAGAGAGAGAGAGAGAGAGAGAGAGAGAGAGAGAGAGAATGCAACAAAGTTGACCGGAAAGACATCAATTGCCACATGCAAGGACCAGATAATACAAGAAATACACGTTTAAAGGACCATAGAAGGCAAAATCTACCGCCCCTCAGTTCGACCACGGTTGCAAGGGTCTGGGGTTATAGATTTGCCTTGACTATCCCCTTAAAAGTTCAAAATCTCCTCGGCGGCCTTGGCGGGCCCACAGATTCGTACTGACCCTGTTGGGGTCGTCGTGGAATCGGCGGTGGAGGATGAGCGGGGGGAGGCCGACGGATCTTAAGTGAAAGATAGAGAGAGAGAGAGAGAGAGAGAGAGAGAGAAGAGAGGAGAGAGAGAGAGAGAGAGAGAGATAGAGAACTACCTCGGCCGTCTGATATCCGCCATTGTCGTATGCCGGGATGACGGGTGCGGGGTGTCGAGGCACGTCCTTCCCGAGGTGGCTCATCCCGAACGAGTGGATCGGGTTGTCGCCGCTCGTGTACGAATGGTTTGAGGGCGGCAGGGGGAGCGTGAATTGTTCATCGTCGTGCTGAAAGCGGGTTTTCCTAGGAGTCTCTGCTAGCGTGCCCTCTCTTAAAGAATCTCTGATAGCTTACCCTGTATCCAACCGTGCAGCAGCCCCTCACAAAAACGGATAGCATCAATGGGAGGAAGACGAGCCCGTGGACTAGTCCAATAGTGATGGCTAGGAAGACGGTCTGGAAATTTCGGTGTTTTTTTCCACCCATCAACTTCGAGCAGTTCAGAGATCTGGTGAGAGAAAGAGAACGAGAGAGAGAGAGAGAGAGAGAGAGAGAGCGAGCGAGAGGGAGCGAGAGATAGAGCGAGAGAGAAAGAGAGACAGAGCGAGAGAGAGAGAGAGAGAGAGAGAGAGAGAGAGAGAGAGAGAGAGAGAGAGGTGATACCTTGAAAAAGGTGACGATCATGTAAGCCGGCACATTGGCTAGAAGCGCCACGGCCAGGATGGTAGAAGCCGCCCCTTGGATTACTGGCCAACCGAGATCACCTGAAATGACTTTTTCTTTCCTAAAGAATCTCTGCTAGCCTGCCCTTTCCCAAAAAATCTCTGCCAACCTTACCAAGCGCGTCACGAACACGGTGCCGCGGCTCTGGCTCCTTCGATATCACATATCCATACGTGATATGCGCAGAGTAGTCGACGGAGAACCCGACGCTCATGATGATCGTGATCATCGAGATGGCGTCCTAAAAAAACACATTAAAGGGCCGTTGAAGGCAAATCTAGTTCGGTTTTGTTTGCCTAATTGCGGATTTGCCTTCCCGGGCCCATAAAACCTACCAAATTGACGCCCCACAACGTCATGAAGCCGAGCACGCCGACGTCAATCGACCCGATCGTGAAGGCCACCCAGAGGGCGCAGAAGGGCTGAAAATGTTAAGCTAAGCTAGGCTAACAAGCCTAATTCTCGGCCTAAGCCTAAGCCTAAACCAAAGCCTAAGCCCAACTGAATGTAAGCCTAAGCCTAAGCCTAAGCCCAAGCCCAAGCCTAAGCCTAAGCCTAAGCCTAAGCCTAAGCCTAAGCCTAAGCCTAAGCCTAAGCCTAAGCCTAAGCCCAAGCCTAAGCCTAAGCCTAAGCCTAAGCCTAAGCCTAAGCCTAAGCCTAAGCCTAAGCCTAAGCCCAAGCCTAAGCCTAAGCCTAAGCCTAAGCCTAAGCCTAAGCTTAAGCCTAAGCCTAAGCCTAAAACTCCTAACCTAAGCGTAACCTCACCTGCGGGATCAGCACGAACGCGATAGCCAGCATGCAAAGGACGGCCACCTAAATGTCGTTTTTGCGGATTTTCGCACGGTCTATTTAGCGTTTCAAGCATTACGTGATTCGACCGTAATTCTGAATGTCTGAAGTTTCTACCCACCACGATATCCTGCAGTGTGTTCGGCACGACGAGTGCGTACTGGTCGGTGAATAGCCATAGCGGCATGTAGGTGGAGACGTTGTATTGTGAGTACCTTAAAAGCCCGTTTTCTTATGTCCCTCCAAAATCTCTGCTAGCTTGTCGTTTCCTAAAGGGTATCTGCTAGCTTACCGTGCCGCAACTTCTCGGAAAACGTTGGTAGCATCTTGTTGGTCGGTCGTCGAGGAGATGCTCTTCATTCCAACGAGGAACCTGAAGATCAACTTAGGCTTAGGCTTAGGCTTGGCTTAGGCTTAGGCTTAGGCTTAGGCCTCCTTTCGGCTTTATGCAAACTGCCAAACCTGAAAGCCGAGATCTCAAATCGCCCATCCCCCGCCCGGCGCCACTTGACGTCCACCGGCCACGGGTCGTTGCGCATCTCGTAGAAAAAGTTGGCGGCCAGGGAGAGGAACTCCTGAAGCTGAGAGGTTAGAAAGAGCGGGAGAGAGAGAGAGATAGAGAGAGAGAGAGAGAGAGAGAGAGAGAGAGAGGGGGAGGGAGGGAGAAAGAGAGGCTGACCTCGCTGGAGATGTCGACCGTCTGTTTGCCATAGAAACGTTCCATTTCTGGGAGCCACCACTGAAGACTGCCATCACCCATCGAGTGCTTTGTCGTCGCAAAGTCGTGGGCCATTTGCTGCAAGGGCCAGCTAGCAGAGATCCTTGAGGAAATGGCAGGCTGGCAGAGATTCTTTAGCCATCTAACGCTATGAACAAGCCTGACAGCTTTAAGAAACCCTTTAAAAACCGTCCCCCCACGTTCTGCCTCACCCAAGGTCCCACTGTCACAGTACCTTTAAAATGGCCCTGTTGCCGACGTCGCGCATGTCCGGCGGGTTGGTGACGACGATCTGGACGGTAGCGCCGTATTTCCAGAAATACCTGGAAGAGAAGCTTAGGCTTAGGCTGATGCTTAGCATATCTTCTCTCTCTCTCTCTCTCTCTCTCTCTCTCTCTATCTCTCTTGCTCTTTCTCGATATCTCTCTCTCCACCCCTACAAACACCCACTTTTCCAGCACCCTATAGTGCGGGGTGGCGTAGGAATCGTCCACGAGCAGATTGACCGGCTCGAGGCCCTCGCGCAGCTGCGTGCAGCCGTAGATGGCTAACGCCATGTAGATGCAGTACCACAGGGCGGCGATCCCCTTCATGACGGGGTGCATCAAGATGGGGGCGAAACTGGAATGGTGCGATTAGTCCGGTCTTCCCGAAGAATTCCTGCTGGCCTGCCCTTTCTTAAAGAATTCTTGCTAGCCTGCTTTTTCCTAAAGGATCTCTGCTAGCCTACCCCGTTGCTGGCTGTCACCGTCCCTTTAAAGCTGCCCTTAAAACCCACATATCCTGGAAAAATCGCGTGGCACCACAGCTCCGCTTGTTCGTCTCGTGGTTGGGGTCTGCAATTGGGTACGGTAGGTAAGTCAGATTTTTAGTACGGCTTTAGAACGAAGTCTAGGCCTTAGACGAAGCCTACGCCTAAGCTTAAGCCTAAGCCTAATCCTAACCTAAGCTTAACCTTAAGCCATACCTGGATGCGGCCGCGACCCTAGCCACAGCACTCGATCGAACACCGACGATGTGTTCTGGAGTTTTGGAGGCACTGAAACGCGACTTGAGGTAGTTTAAAGGGGCTCTGAACCCATTCCAGACTATGGATCTTCCTTCCCAATCCCGTTAAAGTCGGAATTCTTCGCCTACCGGTCGGTCGATGCAAAATACAGTGCAGCCCGCGCGCCTCCCACTCGGTGGCCAGGCTGAGAAGGGCGCAGAAGAAGGTTAGCTGCAAGTTTTGAGGTGAAAACATTCCTAAAAAATCTCTGCCAGCCTGCCCTACCTGATACAAAAACGTGAGCACGAGCGCCAAGCAGGTGTAGATGCAGAAGATCTGCACGGCCGGAATCGTCGTGATCGTGCCGACACCAAACGAGAAAGCATCCGTCAGAGCCGTGATCGTGATCGACACCGCCGCGTCGGACATGCATTCTCCTGAAAGCCTTCAAGTTCGAGGAGTTCAACGTCTGCTTTCGTAGGTCTAGAGACGCGCTTTTCTCAAATTGTCTCCTAGGCTGTGCCGAGAAAACAGCTTCAAACGCTACCGATTCTCCTCTCCACACTCCAAGCTCGGTTGGTCCTCCTCACGCAGGCCACCATCAGGAACATGTTATCGGTGCCGACGGCTGAATTCTTAGTTTCCTCTCAATTTTTTTGCTCTTTCTGCTCTCTCTCTCTCTCGCTCTCTCTCTCCCCCACCAACTGCTAGTCGTTCAACCCACCTACAACCAAAAACGGCATCACAGCCACAATATCCGTGTAGGGCACCCCGATCAGCACCAAGAACCCGACCGCCGAGGCGATCCCCATCCCAGCATTGAACACGCCCAGCACGGAGAGCACCGGCTTCGACAGCACCCAGTCGATGTGCCAAGTGCCGTGGATGGTCACGATCGAGCAGGCGATCGAGAAGAGGACCAGCATCACGAACGAGGTGATGAATCTGAGGGTTTAGGCTTAAACTTAGGCTTGGCCTACGCTTAGACTTAGGTTTGGGCTTGGCTTCGGTTATTTTTCTTTTCCCAAAGAAAGTACTCCTTGAAACCATCGCCCACTTTGGTACAAGCGACTCGGCGTTCTTCGTCAGCTCGTCGGCCAGCGTCTGCGAGTGGAAGAAGGTGACCGAGATCAGCGGGTCCGGCGGGTAGTGGCTTAGGTGGTCCTACATCTCGGCTAGCAATCTACAGCAATCCCACCCACCTTGAAAGCCTTCTCCCACTTTGCCGAGATCACCGACACGTTCGCCGGGTAGAACTTGAGTTGGTACAGCATCAGCCAGGCCTTCGCTTTGGCAACAAGTACTGTATCGTTGTCCCCTCGGGCAAACGTCACCCCGCCCATCGCAGAGCCGATGTAGCCGCCACTGAAGAGATTTTAATGTTTTTCTAGGGTTCTCTGCTAGCCTGTCCTTTCCCAAATGGTCTCTGCTAGACCGCCTACCGGTTTCCGGCTCGAAAATAGGGGTAGGTGATGTTGAAGCCGTGCTCGTAGAGGGCGGAGATGATCCGGATATGGTCATTCGTCACGCAGCCCGTGTCCCCGTATTTCAAGCAGAGATCTCGGTAGGTGTACGTCTTGTTACGATGGCGGACCTGAAGATTAGGCTTTGAAAGTGCCCAAAAAGCTACTTTGCTAGTATGCCTGTTCCTAAAACATCTCTACTGGGTTGCCCTTTCTAAAAACCTTAATAGCCTTTTCCGAACGACCGTCTGCAAGAAAAATTCCAGTTTTGCTTCCCAAAATCTCTCTGCAAGCCCGCCCTTCCCTCCAAACTTTACAAAACAGCATCCCGAACCCGTCTCAAGCCCAATCCCCCAAAAAGCAAAAAGGGTCAGGTCCCGGGGAGATTTGAACTCCCGTCGCAGGATTCAGAGTCCTGAGTGCTAACCGCTACACCACGGGACCGCTGGGCGGCTGTTCGAGGAAGGGGGTCTTGAAGGCGCGCGCCTATCCCGCCCCACAGCGCACACCTGGATCCGGTTTTGGATGTACGCGTCGAGGCGCTCGATGGCGGCCGTGTAGTGGCCCTCTAATATATTTCCGTCGTTTCGTGCCATTACCGCCACCTAAAAAAGGCAAATGATTGAGGGAGGCGAGCAGCTGCTCTTGGGGAAACTTTCTGCAGGCCCAAAAGGCTTTCCAGGCCGTTTAAGAGCTACCTGGGCTTCTCGGCTTGTCACGACCCCTCGGCCGGGCACAAAATTATTCTCGTGAACGGGCCAGAGCTCGTGGATGATGCGCCGCTCGGTTTTGGAGGGAGCGTCGGTTGGGGTGAAGAGGTAGACGGCATCTGGAAGGGAGAGGCTAGCAAAGATTCTTTAGGAAAATGCAGGCTAGCAGGGATTCTTTGGGAAATTCAGGCTAGCAGAGATTCTTTAGAAAACGCACTTACCCTGCTCGACCTCTAGCTGAAAGAACCCTGAAGACAGAGCGAGCGTCAATAGGATCGGCACGGCAATGAATGGATACGGATTCCTGGCCACGAGGATACCGTAGCTGTAGAAAAAGTTGGCCAACGGCCGCTCCAGACATCCAAACCCCAGGCCCATCACCCCCGCATTCGCCCTGAACGGCTCTGAAAGATTAGACACGGCGTGTAAGCAGGTGTAAAATGTAGTGCAGGCAGGGAAAGAGGAAAATTGGCTTCCCAACCCTTTGAAAAGTTTAAATTTTGTTCTTTTGGCTTCCCAGTACCTTTAAAATTCAAAAAATAAGTGAAACCAGCGAGAATTAGATCAAAATGATTGTGCACCCCAGTGTCTGGGCGCGCCGAGTTTCAGGGTCAACCCTGGGGCCTGACTCGCGCTCGAAAAGAGGGAGCAAGGGGGGATTTGGGCTGGCTGACCTACATTGCATTCCTCAGTACGTATCTCTCGCTCTCGCTCTCTCGCTCTCTCTCTCTCTCTCTCTCTCTCTCTGAGGACTACGACAAGCGCCTCTGTTCACCCCGCCCAGTATGACTTCAGGCGAACGCGTCCACACAACAGGCCACCGCCTTTTTTTGCGCCTAACGCGCGCACCGCGCCGGGCGTGAAATCCGGGCTGTGCGGGCTATACTGCTGCGGAATTCTCGATTTCGGTGGTTCGATGTGATTTGATCGAAAGGCGGACTTACGAAGAAGCTTAAGCCCATGCCGAAGCGGAAGCCTAAGCCTGATTCTGTGGTTGCAGGTGCTTCCCTTCGGTACGCAATGCCGTAGAATATAATTTTATTGCTCGTTCTCACACACCATTTGCTCTACCAAAAAAGACACGCAGAGAGAGAGAGAGAGAGAGAGAGAGAGAGAGAGAGAGATAGAGAGAGATAGAAAGATAAAACTTTCAGATAATTGATTTCAATTATAAACAAGAGCCATTCGCGAAGCTAATCACAATTCGGGTGGAAGATTCTTGGAGGAGACGACGAGAGGAAAATAAGGGAAAAGACAGCATAACCTGTGTCTGTATTTTGGAGGGGGTTACGGTAGAAAGTACAAAAAAAACCAAAAAAATCTCATCGGGACTATGGAAGGCGGGTGGCAAATGTGGGAACTGGGAAATGAAAATACTTTTCCTAAAGAAGCTCTGCTAGCCTGCCCTTTCCTCAAGAATCTCTGCTAGCGTAGTCAAGTTCTCATTTTCCCAGTTCCCAATTTGCGACTCTAAGCAGCGGGCCTAATCTCCAGGGGGCCACTAGGCGCATAACGTTGCATCACAAAAATTGGAAGTGGCTAGGCACCAAAATGTATATTACAAGAAAAAACCAAATTAAAGGTACGAAGCGGGGCAGCGGGCTGTAGCACACACGTTTCAGGAGTACGGTAGGAGGGGCAGCGAGCCGAGATTATTGGGGAAATCCCGAGCTCGCAAAATACTGTGATTGGGGCCAACGAGGGATCGTCGATGAGCCCTCGTTGCTTATGCAAAGCAGAGTTAGCGAAAAGTAGGCTTAGGCTTAGGCTTAGGCTGGGCTTAGGCATGGACCTAAGTTTCGGATATTCCTCGGGACTACAAACTACTAATTGAGAAAGAGACGGCTAGCTATTGGGACAAGCTCTAGGCGAGAGAAAGAGAGAGAGAGCAGAGAGAGAGAGAGAGAGAGAGAAACAAAGTCGAACGTCCTCGTCTTCTTGAGCTTCTTCTGCTTCTCTTCCGCTCAGAGATGAGTCTGAAAAGGGCTTTGTTTTTTTAATGGATCCGCCAAATGGTCAAAAATCAAATTGTCAAAGCTCAGGGAGTGCTTGGGGGAACGAAACGAAAAATCCAAACTGAAAGCCGGCGCGACATGGACACGAGCCAACGGAGGGAAAGAGCCCGGGGCAGGCTAGCAGAGATTCTTTAGGAGGATTTGGAAACTAATGAACCATTCGAATTCCTAAATGATATTTGCTAGCCTGCCATTCAGATCTAGGGGTTCGCTTCAGGATGGGCCCTGGGCGGTAGCCGCTAGCCTAAAAAAGCCGAAAGGTAGGCTAGCAGGGATTCTATAGAAAAAGGCAGGCCAGCAGAGATTCTTTAGGAAAGGGCAGGCTAGCAGTAGCGCTTCAGAATCTTGCGTCAAAGCTCGAAAAAACCAAGTACACACCAAAACGAGGAGTAGAAGTTGGTGACGGCACGCGGTGGCGGGCAGGCTAGCGGAGATTCTTGGTGTGCGTGGCGCGGACGACCGGGGTGGGGAGGATGGGGTAGTTGAACACAGGAGGGCGGTGGTGTTGGGAAAAGGGGGCTGGTGGTGTTCTCCAGGCCGGACCCGTGCCGGATCCGGCCGGACACCGCTCCGGCCCCTCAATCGGCACTCACGATCTCCTCCTCGGGCGAGGCGTGCGGCGCCTGCGCCGCCGAGCCGTTCGCATCCGGGCGCGCCGATGCCATCCACAGACGCTCCGCCTGAAAATTTGCCAAAATTTGCTTCTGGTTTTTTGTGATATCTCTCAAAAAAAAACGCCCGGTCCGCCGGGGGATACCAGGGAGTTTGGGAGGCGAAATAAAACGTTTTTGGGGATTGAATGCCGACGAAAATTGGGGTGAAATGAAATGAATTGTGGTGGAAAATCGTTACCGCGCCGTTTGGCTCTCCTGGCGTCTAAAAATTGGGGTGTTATTTTGAAGCTAACGTCGTTACAGGGCTGCAGAACCGGAATACCCTATGCTTCTGGATGGGTTCAAACTTTCAACAGACCAGTGAAGGCGTCAAAAGCGTTTTAAGGGACCATTAAATGCAAAACGCAGCCCACGCCACCCCTTGAAAATGCCCATTATGACCTACCCGTTTCTCCTTGGGCCGGTTGTTCTGCAGCAGCTTCTCCTGCGTGTCCTGCCGGTTGTAAGAGCGTCGCGTGTTGCCGCGAATCAACGGCACCACGTCACGAGGCGTCACCACGGTGCTATCGAAGGGCTCGGCAGGTCTCGCGGTGTCCGGTTGGACTTCGTCGCGTCGTCGGGCTGAAGCTGAAAATGGGCAAGCTAGCAGAGATTATTTAGGAAATGACGGGCTAGCAGGTATCGTTTACCAACCTTGCGCCACCGCCGGTTCCTTCGTCGTCCGCGGCGTCGCCTCGATCTCATCGCCAACGCTACGCCGCACTCCGCTCTTGCCCCGTTTCGACGGACTGTGGCGGAGGGCTGAAAAAGGTATTCTTCGCCTGAAGTTCATCTACGGCAACCCCTACTACAAGCGTCAAACTGAAGCCGAGGAGGTGGACGGAAGGCGCAGCCCAAGCCTAAGCATAAGCCTAAGCCTAAGCCCTCCATCGTCCGCCCACCCCCTCCAACTTCCTACTAAAACCCAAGAAAAAGGGGATAAATATGGCAGTCTAGATGAGGAGCGGGGTACAGGTGACTGGCGTTGAAAAATAATAGCCCGAAACTGGCAATTTTGGGTTACGGTAGCGGATCCACGTTTAAGTGGCGGGGCACCCTTTAGCGAACAGTATAATCACTTGGATAGTAAAGTGATACTCCAATGTAGTTTTCTATTGATTATTTCACTTTTTTTATGGGTAATAATAATTGATCAACAAAAAAATCAGACAAGCACGCGCCTTACGTTTTTCTCGCCTTCTTGCCATTTTTGCTCGACCATGCTGAAACGCATTTAGTCAAGTCTTTGTCTCACGGAGTGAAATGAATAGCGAGGATTTTCCTATAATAGAATATTTCGGGCAGTATAATGTCGGAAGTAGAAGCGTACCTTGTCAGCGTGTTCTGTCGCTATAGTACCCATGGTCAACTACTCTGAAACGACATGTACATTCCCAGCACCCTGGCATCACTTAACCGGCGTCCCGGGCGCATTTGAAGGAATTTGCGTGCCAAGAATGCGACAAACGCTACGGCACGCAGAAACATCTCCGAGAACATCAGAGATTGAAGCATGCAGCAAAGCCTACTGTTGGGGACGCGCGAATCACTTGCTCGGTGTGCCCGGACACGTTTTCTAGCCACCAGGAACCAGTTGTTCACTTCCAGCAGCATGATGAAAAGTACGCGGGTGTCTTTAAGTATATGCTTTTTAGATGCGCAAATGCCACGCTTGAGCTCGACTCCGAAACTATGTTTAACGCATGGCTAAAAGCAACTGAGCATGAGAACTTCTGTTCCTTTTCGATTAAAAGCTCAACAAACATCAGTTTGACAAACTTGCCAAAGAGAATAGAAGGCCAGCCGATCCTCGATGCAAGCAAGAAGTACCAGATGGAGAAACGAACCGCAAGGAATGCGTTCTTGGCGCAGCAAAGAAAAGCCAAAGATTAATCCCTCGAGTCAGGTTGCTATTGTTTATTCTGTTGTTCTTGTTGTTTTTATTTTGCTCTTTTTATTGAAATAAACACTTCCAAATGCGTTTCAGCAAGCAGTCGAGCAAAAAATCGGCAAGAAGCGCGAGCAAAAAAACGTAAGGCGCGTGCTTGTCTGATTTTTTTTTGTTGATCAATTATTATTACCCATAAAAAAGTGAAATAACCAATAGAAAACTACATTGGAGTATCACTTTACTATCCAAGTGATTATACTGTTCGCTAAAGGGTGCCCCGCCACTTAAACGTGGATCCGTTACCTCCCAAAATTGCCAGTTTCGGGCTATTATTTTTCAACGCCAGTGTACAGGTGTCAGTGGCACAAGAAAATGGACACAAAATAGCATGCAACTGCGGGACAACGGCCAATTTATCGATTGCTTTTTGCCTATATTCTGCTTCGAATTTCCTCGATCAACGCGTGCTTCATTTACAAGAGTTTCCAGTGATTTTTAATAGTTTTTTGAGGTGTTCCGCCTCGTCTGGGTCCTCGCTCGCATCCGCACATCATTGCCGCGCAGTTGGTCACAATTTTCTGGCTCAAAATCACATGGAAACTTGGACGTTTGCGGGGTGCAACGCGTAGCAACTATCGTCACGGCTTTTTAGCGTAAAAGAACCCTTTTAATGTTTGTAAACTACGTTCAGCACCCCCCGACTTTGACATCGATATTGAAGCGGCGGATTATGATGGACTTCCCGAAAAACCCCAAACTTCGCGAAAACGCCGAGCCCACAAACTGCAAATCGTGCGCTGCTCAAAAGTCAACTAAAAAACCCGTTTCACGCCCAGCAATTCCCTGGTGCGCAAAAAAACCCGGCCACGTATTCCACTTTTATCACAGATGATGATGATGATGAGCACGAAAAAGGCAACCAAGCATTACAGGCAAGTGAGATGATGTGCGGGGGGAGTGGTGGAGGACAAGGGGGGACAGAGACGACGACAAGGAACAGACAAATACCAAAAAAACACGAGACGCGTACAAAGTAGAGGGTGAAATCAATTGACGGCGGCCGCGCTGTCCGTTTGGTCGGTGGCGCTGATTTTCTGGAAGCGGCACGCCTTGGATCGTCGACGAGAACCTGGAACGGGGACAAATATCTTGGGCCAGGACCTTATTCGATAGGACTAAAAATATAAAGAATTTGTTTTAAGAATAAGGTCCAGCTCCAACCCATTATGCACGCACAAAAAAATCGGTTCTTTGGCATTAGCGGGGGGGGAGGGGAGGTTCATTTTAAACTGGTTTCTAAGCCCATTTCATAGTAACCTCCCCGCAAAGTTGGTTAAATTTGCTGAAAACATCGCAAAAAAATTCCTGATTTAATTCCGGGAGATATCTGAATTTACAGGAAAAATATTCGTCCCCCCGATCATGCAATAAACCAAAAATTCATAAAGATCTGTCTCAAAAAATTGCCGTTGTCCACCACGCTACTACTAACAGATAAGGGGTACACAGTACGCCTAAAACACCGAACGTCCCGACGTCGCGGGGCTACCTAGGAAGGAGTGCACGAGGTTGCGGAATCGGCCGCTCGCCGCCACGCCCAGCGCTATGCTCCCGCCGAGACGTCCCCCGGCTGCACTCGAAACGGATATTTTGCTCAACCCAAAATAAAACGCTGGGCTGGTACCAAAGTGCCGAAATTAGCCCCTATCTATTACCCCCTAGTCAAATTTTGACTACCCCCTAGTCAAACTTTACTAGGGGCTAGTCATCCACCATTCCTAACTAGTAATTCAATACAAAAAACCTAGTCAAATCTTGACTACCCCCTAGTCAAATTTTGATCACCCCCTGGTCAAAATGTGACTACCCCCTAGTCAAACCACTTCCGGAGATTGGTAGTGGAAAGAAAAAGAAAATACCCCTGGTCAAATTAGAATTTTTCATTCGTTTGACATCACTGAAATTCTCCCAAAGTCGAATGGATACACTTCTATGGGTTAATAATTTCTCTGGGGGTGGTTTGACTAGGGGGTAGTCATTGCCAGGGGTGATCAAAATTTGACTAGGGGGTAGTCAAGATTTGACTAGGTGGTTTTGTATTGAATTACTAGTTAGCGAATGGTGGCATGACTGGCCCCTAGTAATAGTTTGACTAGGGGGTAATCAACATTTGACCAGTAGTGGTAAAATAAAATTTGGCACTTTGGTACCGGCCCTGAATATGGGCAGAGATAAAGAAAGCGAGAGAGAGGGAGAGAGAGGGAGGATAGGCTTGATATGCACGTGCAAAAGGCGGCAATCAAAATAAAAAGGCATTGAAAGGTACTCGGGATGCCGTAAATTGCCTGGCACGAAATAAATAAAAACGTTCAATCAAGCTATGCATCTGAAAGGCCAAGAAATTTCGCGGCGCTTTGGCGTTATCGGGGGGGGGGGGCAATATTTTTTTGTTTCTCATTATTTTGACTATTCCCAACGTAAAACTAACAAAAAGGGATCATTTTACAACAAATATCGATTTTCCGACAAAAAAATGGCGAACTTTCAACCAAAATTTCCATTTGAGAGGTTTTATAGACAGCTTTTTGGCCTCGAATTTAGTTAGATCCCCCCGATAACGCAAAAGCTCCAAAATGGTTTAGCTGCAAGAAGCTTATAGATGGGCGAAAAACGGAAATTAATTAAATCATTAGGGCAAGGAAAGCCAAACCTAAGCAATGGTCTTGAAAAGACAGAAAAAGAACTGAGGAGGGAGACAAGATGCCCAAACGACTTACGCATCTTCTTGAAGACGGTCGCCTGCATGTAGCTGAGGAAGCGCGACGCGTAGAACTTGGGATTGTGCACGGAGATCGTGTCCTGAAGGCGGAAATTGGCCAAAAATATGAAGAGCCTCACCCCGTCGTGCAAAATGCTCTTCCACGTGTGCTCGAACTTCTTGAGGAATTGGTAGGCCTGGAGAATGTCGATGATGCCGAGGAAGAGGATGATCCGGTCGCCGTTCGAATTCCTGGCCGGCACGCCGCCGAACGCGGCCGCGTCGGCGCTGCCCTTGATGCCCTCCCACACCGAGTACTTGGTGTGGATTGCCTGAAAAGGAAGGCAATAATACTTTGATAGGTCAAAATATTACTAGGCTACGACTAAAACGTCAGAATCGCACAGAAATTAGCAAGAAAAATGTTCACCCCACCCATTCCACTCGAAAAAAACCCAAAAACTTGCAATTTTTCCCCTAGTTGTTTTCAGCTCAAAAAAAACGTATCAGCAGCGTTCCAGTCAGTCTGTCAAAAAGTCTATTAATCCTAATCCCACTACTAAAACGTCAAAATGTCGCTGAAAAAATTCGCAAACAATTGCCAGAAATGTTTTCGGCGCAAAAAGCCTGATCTGATTCTTTCAGTCTCTATCAAAAAGCCTATCAATTTCAAATTCTTCTACTAAAACACGAAAATATCTGCAAAATCCCGAATAATTCCCCATATTTATAGGCTCAAAAACGCGCTACACTCTAAAATAACAAAAATGTACCCTCTGCGATCGGCTTGTCGACGGCTGCGTGGGGTCCATCTCGTCCTCCGTCGTGTCCTGCCGGTCCACCTCCGGCCCTTCGCCCTGGTCGATGCTCTCGCGCCGTTGCGCGGCGCTCTCGTCGACGTTGTGTATCCCGACTAGTAGTGAGTAGTCCATAATTTTGAACGATTCGAGTACCTAAATTTTTCTGTTGTTGCAAAAAAGACGACTCACTAAGCAATCCTTTTGCATCGTTTGCATTAGTGCCTCATAGGCGGAAGGCTCGAGGTTGATGCCGCCCTGAAAAATTGAGCAATGGCAGCAAAAGTAACGGCAACTCACGTTAGGATGACTGTTATTGAAATCGAGGTCCTTGAGGGTTGGGCTGGACTTGGCGCGCTCCGCCTGGGAGGCTATCCGTTTGTAAGTGGACCCCTGAAAAGCAACAATAAAACGAAAAATCGCTAGCAGAAACCTTGAGATCGTATTTCTCGTGTATCGTGATGGCCTGCGGCAGCAAGTTGTTCATCACGACTAACCGAATATTCTTGCCGAGTGTCTAAAGCACCAAAAGCTACTCGTAACCTGTGTTCAAACAAACCTGGTAGCAAAATAACCCGAAAAACTTGGGCAGCAGCGTGCGGGGATTTTGGTTAATGTTCTAAAAAAGAACTATACGTGTGAAAACCCGGAACACGGTACCAAATAATATCCGGGGAGCAGCTTTTGCAAGAATTCGGCCTCCTTGTGCTGGACGGTCTTGATGATGAACTGGTCGTCGTGGGAGACGTAGAAAATTGAGCCCGACGCGCCCGCGTTCGACAGCTCTTTCAGTGGCCGAGTACATAACGAGCTCTGCAAAAAAAAGTTGATATAAACCTTTTCCAGTAAATAGGTGTGTAGCGTAAAAGAACTCTGTTCATTTATCTTTATCATCCAGTTTTTTTTTTCGAAAATCACGAAGCTTCGTCACTTTGAAGAACGGAAGAACTGATCACCAAAAAAACTGGAAAATTTTTAGCAAAAAAATGAAAACAGAATTTTTCCGCTTCAGAAATTTTATTTTGAATTCAGAAAAATACACTTTTGCCATTGTAAATCACTCACAAGGAAATCTTCCGTGTGAATGTGGAAGATCTTCCTGAAATATCGGAAGGCGATCGGTGCATAAGTCTTGAATCGGAAATCCCCGTAATTGTGAGTGGGCGTGATCGTGGACCCGGTTCTAAAGAAACGGATATTGTCTCAAAAATAAAATGCGGAAACTCACGATGGAAATGATACAGTTTCGATGACGTCAAAGTCCTGCACGAGCAAATCTCTTTTCGGATATGAGGCCAGCTTGCCGATCGAATTGGCTATCCCCAATTGAATCGCTTTCATCAGCGCATCGGTGGGCACTTTTTTGTACGAAATCTAAACAGCAAAAGGCGTTGATCGGCCCAAAATTGCGCACCTCTCCTTGCTCGCCTATTCTCCGATGGCCGAGCTTCGCCTTCTCGCCGATCAACCGTTCCCGTTCGACGCGTTCTCGCTCTGTTGCCGAGCCATCTAAAATAAAGATTGGAAATTGGTTTTTGGCACTTGCCGAGTTGCCGAAATGAGACGGCCTGGGGCCCCGGAGGGCCCGCTCCGCCGCGCTGCGAAGTTTGGGGATCCAGCTTGAAATCCGCGCCGCTTCCTCGGGTTACCTGAAAAATGTCAAAATGAAATCTGGAGCTCCGATAAATTCGCAACAGAAAATGGAAAACATGATCACTCGAAACCATGGGGCATCGAGGGCATGTGGGCTAAAGCAAAGTCGAAAACAGGAGCCGAAAAGACACTGCAGGCAAAAATCGGCCGCCAAACGAGCGGCCTAATTGGATTAGGGCCGGTGAATCGGCCTGGGTAGAAGAGACAGGAGACGCCCTAGATGTTGTTCAGCTGCTTGGAATTGCGCATTCACTCTCGGGAATATTCGATGTATGAAAGATGAGCTAGACTAAAAAAAAAAGGCTAGGTCGGCTAAATATACGCTAAAAAAAGAAATTTAACTTCCTGGCTTCTTCAAAATCGCCTCTACAACTATGGCAGTGAGCGCTGGAATGTGAAGCCCCTAATCCTGGAAAAAAGACATAAAACTTGGGTGGCGGAGAAGGGCCAGCGGGCTGGGAGCGCGGCATTATCGGGAGGTGGCGCCTGGGCTGTGCCCCCCTCCTTCTCCTCCTCGTTGGCCAAAAGCGGAGAGCCGTCCCTCGCTCGGTCAATACACGGCCAGCCTCCGCGCACCCTCGCCACACGCAATCTTGTCCGTGTCTTCCCCCTCTTCTTCGCCAGCAGCAGAAAAAAAACGCCTGAAATGCCTCACACTCTCCTACTAGTTGGGGCCCCCCAAAAACAACGGGCCTACCCAGGGTCCCCGGAGGGTTGGGCCACATGGCTCCAATGGCCCAAAATGTGCTGCCACGCACGCTAATTACGTTTACTACGCGACTAAAGGTTGTAAAGGAACGTCCAGCCGGTTTTCGAAAATAAAATAAGTAAAAGCACCTCTGTAGCAAGTTTACTAGAAAAAGCCTTCAAAATATCTACTGCCCCGGATTACGCTCACAAAAATTCTAAAAAAAACCTGCAGAAACAAGGAATTTAAAACGTCGGCCCGGCGGTTGAATCATATTTTTCACAGGGCGAAAATTACGAAAGCAGACGCCTTTGCCGCCCTATGTCAACAATCTACCCCGGTTTCGTGGGGGAAGCCCGGAATGTCCGGCCCGAAAAATAAGATTGGGTTTTTGGAACTAAGGAATATCGTTAAAAAAAACGGGAAATCGCGGGATGCGCATTTCAAGGAGTGAGAAATTTAATTGTATGACTTGACTCATCGTTATTTGGCAGATCGCAGACCCGCGCTGATAGCAAATTTTTCCCAGTTACTAAATTGATGATTCATCAGACCGAACGGTGCTCGGTGTCTACGTCAGACTAGAAATTCGGCCTAACAAGGAAATTAAAAATGGTATTTTTTCCAAAAATCGTAGCAGAATGCCGACAAGGGGGCATCCATATGCTTGTTTAGTTAACAGTCGCTCTCGTACACCTAATGTCCCCAAAAATTATATATCTTACAAGAAAAGGGGGTTATTTCCAAAAAAAAAATACTTTTTTGCAAGGCTTGATTTACAGGGGGATGCTCTTTCTAGGCGGCGCGAAAAAGTTATAAACGTCGCCATTTTTACATCAATTGCTGCAAGAGAAAGGACATAGAAATATCAACTACCCCAAAAAAACGGACTGAATCAAGCGCCGCCTCCTAATTGTCGGCGGCCAACTAAACCCAAAAGCCTCCAACCCGACAGCAAACCTCTCAACACTAATCCGGGCCAAAAAGCGGTGCTTTGTCGACGGGGCCGGGCACTTTGTCTTGCGCATCAAGCCATATGTCCCCGCATCGTCGGCCGGGCAGCAGCGCCGGCAAAAAAGATCGAGCCGGGGCTACACAGCGGTCCCCGTGACGAGTTTTCGCCCTCTTCGCGGCCAACCGGGCAGTGGGGCGTTCGGGCGTTTGACCGGCGGACCCTACCCAAATTCACGCTCCCTACTCGCTACCAAGCCGCCTCGTCGCTTTCTCGCGCCCGACTCTGCAAAATCATCGGCCTAAAGTGTTCGGCTTCGAAGGCAACTCGTCTAGTTCAAGAGTTTAGGCGTTCTAAGCTACTCTGTAAAGTTTGAGCTTTTGGCGTTTGAGAAAATTTGGAAGGTCCGAGGGTTTCAGCAAAATTTTTAAATTTTGACGAGCCGCAAAACGTATAAAGTCCTAGAAAGTTTATAGCTATAAGCTTTTTATCCATTAGCCTAACGTCATTTATGGACAAAACAAGCCGAGCAAGAAAGAAAACTTAATTGAAATTTCATTAGAAAAAGCGCCACTTATCAAGTTGGGGGGGGGCCACTTTGGGTACCTATTAGAAGACACTTTTTTAATCGGTTTTCCGACTCTTTCTGGGGTAGTTTTTTACGCTGAGTGCGAATAGAGTCGCAACAGCATGCGAAACGGTTGGGTTTATCCAGAAAAACAGTGTAAAAATTTATTAATAAAGGTGTACTTATGCACAATTTTGGCTTGCCGCATTGTCAGGCAAGGTGGGCCGTCGCTCGGATGGGCGCCGCTCCACTCTTCCGAAATCGGGGCGCCTGGGCGCTTCGCGCTGCTCGGGCGCCCCGATTTCGAAACCCTGTACGAGCTCGCACCCATCCGAAGCGACTAGGCCCCGGGTGGCACGAAGCCTTATTTTTAGGCTCAAATTGGGTGTAAGCATCTCTAAATCTTAAAAACGTTTAGATAATGATGTTTTACTACTCTGATTTTGTTATATTCGGAACCAGCACAAAAAACTAGCCTAGAAAGACTCAAAAAGTCGAAAACCAAAGTGGCCCCCCCCAACTTGATAAGTACCGAAAAAGCTGGACTAAAGTAGTCGAAAATACACTAAAGCAAGCATTCTTTATTGAACCTTTTCATATACGTATGAATACAATACCTATTGCACCTACGAAAACAACTACAAATTCTCTTATTAGACTTATCTAACTCATCGAACCTTACAAATTTTCTTCAACGCTCGAACTATACAAGTTGCCGCAACGGAGAATCTGCCGGGGTTGCAACCGCCGCTTTCCCTTCTTTCGATTCTTGTTCTTTGTCGAATTGCCGTTTTCTTTCGTTAGGTTCGGGATCTAAAAATGGTAATTCGGAGGCAAATAAAAATAAAAAGATTTCGAGCGTTCCTCTGTATGTCAGCCCTCTTATGGCAACGCAAGTATACAGATTACGGATTTTTCAACTGCCCTACTGTAGTTCTTCAAATCGACACGGATGTTCAACTTCATCCCTGATTTATCGAACTTTTCCGCGCGCATTTGTCCACTTGCTGGGTCCCCCGTTGAATTTCGATAATTCCTCGCGCGTGTTTTTTGCAAGTCTGAGCTCTCCTTGCTTCTTGCATTATCATTCTTTCTTGTTAGTGCGCTCGCCTTTTCAAAAACGCGCCGCTTCGAACGCTGACCCCGTCCCCCACCTGCCAAAGCACTTGTCGTTTCTCGCCATTCGCGTTCGCATGTTTTCTAGCCCCCATACTTTCTCTTTTTTTCTTCTCCCTTTGTTTTCAGTTACTAATTTCAATTTTCCAGCAGTAAGATGTCGACCATCGAGGAACAGGTCGCCGCCATCCTCGGCGACTCCCCGCCGGCCAAGCTCGAAGATCTTCTGCTGGACAACGTACAAGCGACCGATGGCAAGATAAGCGGGATCCCGGAAGGTCTGGTCAACCTCGAAAACTTGTCGCTCGTGAATTGCGGCCTGACGTCTCTGGAGGTAAACTTTTATTTTGGCTATTTGTCTGAGGAATTTAGGGATTGCATTAATCTTGTTTTTGCAGGGGCTGCCATATCTCCCGAAGTTGAAGCGACTCGACCTCTCCCACAACGCGAGCCTGGCCAACACGTTCGACGTCGTCACCAAGCAGTGCCCGGAGCTCGGCGCCCTCGTCCTCTCGGAGTGCAAGATCGCCGACCTCGCCGCCATTGAAGAGCTGAAGGGTTGCAAGGTCGAGACGCTCGACCTCTACGGCAATCCGGTGGCGAGCGTAGCCGACTACCGCAATCAGGTGCCTTTTTTGCCCGCAAATCTTTATTGTCTTTTAGATCTTCAAGCTACTACCCGAGCTCAAGTACCTGGACGGCATCAACCAGGAAGGCGAGAACCTAGAAGAATCGGACCTCGATGACGAGGTTTGTATTTGTCATGCGCTTTTGCTACAAGTTACTTAATTAATCAATCTAATTATTTCTTTTAGGACGATGAAGAATACGACTCTGAAGACGAGGACGGGCCCGGCCTCTCTTTCCTGCAGAACAGCCACCTGGTCGACGAGGAAGACGAGTCCGAGGACTACGACCCGTCGCGAGGCAAGAAGCGCGGCCACTCGGGCGCCGGCGATGAGGAGGACAGCAATGAAGCCCCCGCCACCAAGAAATAAGCAAATACCTCATCCCGCCTCATTTTTTTCTCGATGTAAATGCAACTTTCCCCATTTTAAATTTCCCAGTCCGTGTTCATTTTCTCACCTTTTCCCAGTGCTGTTTTCCGGTGTTCCATGGGGCTATCGGGCCCAGTTGGGCAACTATGGGTACAGATTCCAGTTTGGTCTCACTTCTCGACAAATGCACACCCTCCCACTTGTTCTCAAATCTGACCTTTTGAAATGTTAAGTTATCGAAATAAACTTTTGTAACCCCCAAAACTTTACATTGATTACATGAAAAAGGATATACCTACCTTGCCTGGAAAGATTGGAAAGTACTGGAATTGCTCGTCGGGTATGTGCGTAGTCACTTCTTGGAGACTATACGATTTGAGGGGCGTTCGTGATCGTGAACGAGCCTTATTACGCTTAGAATTAGGCTTGACGAGTTTGGGCTTCGCGCAGACGTATCCATGTTCTTCCTCCCAATCTGAATAATACCGCGTTTCAGTATGGGACGACCAAGGGTCACCGAGGCCGATCCGTCAGGGAAGCTGAAGCGGGGACGACCCCCTACGAAACAACGTGAAGCGGCCGCCCGGACGGGATTCGATGGCAAGCTGTTTGAGCCGCCGAGGAGAAAGACGGTTCGAGCTTTTTTTGCTGACTGATGCAAATGTTTAGGTCTCCGTATTCAAGCAGCCCGTCACGCTCGTGCATACTACCAGCCGGGATACGAAGAAGGTTGCGAAGGAGGTGCAAGAGAAACGTGCACCGGTCAATCCCCCAGAGCATCCGTTCCCAGTGAGTTTTGGACCACATAGCTCAGAATACTTTTTTAGCTCTTCTGGTACAAATCGCTCGGAAACTTGGGCGCATCGGTGCCAGTTCAGCTCGCGGATAAGGTTTGTTGATTTTTCGGCATCTCAATCCTGTTTTAAGGCATTTGAACGGCAACGACAACCCCAATTTCTGCACTCGGGACTAACGCTGGGCGGGCGCATGGAGCGGATCACGGATTTGACAACGGATGCCGCGGCCAGCGCCTCACTCTTCCACTCATTGCACAACCCGTTGGGCACGAGGTGTGTTTCCGGTTTTTGCATATGATGTGATTTATTATATATTTAGTGTGAAAGGGCAACGGATGGGGAAAGATGCGCTCGAAGCGAACCCGTTTGTCAACATTGAAGCGGAGCAGCCACTAATAAAGGTTGAATATAATTACCTTCGTAAATTTTCATTTAGTCGATTCACATCAACCACCACGACATCGAGGCGCAAGAGAAGCGTGTGCTCGACGCGCGCAAGCGGCTAACAGAGATCCGGAAGAACTTTTTTGCTTGACCACCCTCATTTCAACATATCATTGAATTCGTTGTAAGTTCAAATGTATTTATTCGTTCCACTTTGTGATCTCGTCGATTACTTGCAATTCCTATGAATTCTTTCCATGCACTGGCGTATAAATATTCGAACGAAAGGTTGTCGTGGGGAAGCATGTAGCATGACTTTTTGTAACGCGATCATTCAATTTTTACGATAGATAAGTGCTGTCTCGCGAAAGCTGTACCCGATTTATTGTAAGGAGTTACTTAGACGACTGATGGGTTTTGGGAGTCAAGGCTTCGGCGATTGCGTATCGTTCTCCCCGTGGCTTTTCGATGCTGTCTTTGAAGGCAAGCCTCTGTCTCTGGCGGCCCATCGACTTTGCGTGTCAGCGTGACCGCGCTGTAATTGTATCTTGAAACAATCGCCTTTTCAAAAGGAATAGCCAATGCACATACCTTCGCGTCGACGCGCGGATCCTCACAGGGTTGAGCCGACCTGAAGACTCCTCGCTGAAAAGGCAGCGCGTTAACGTTATGTGTCCTTGCGTTACCTTGATTGTGAGCGGGGCTTTCGGAAGCTGTCGCGCGACCGTTCTGACGAGCGTCGCATCGACGTCCACTCGGCGCGTAGCTGAAAATCGCAGCGCTGCTTTCGTATTTTTCTGGGGAACCTACCTGTCTTCGCAGAGCCGGCGTGCGAATGACGACGATCAGCGGGTTGAGCACGGGGTCGATAAAAGCGGCCAGCCGCGCCAATTGGTACCATTTTGTTAGTGAGGCTAGCTGGAAATTAACAAGTTTAGGTTTTGGTTTGAATTTGGACCTGATCACGGTCGTCGATCCAGAAGACGGCCAGCTCGATGTAGGTCTGCCCGATCACCGAGACGAAAAACGCGCCGATGGAGAGGAGCAGCGTGTGGAAGAGCATTTCGCGTCGACGGTAGGGGCTTTGCTCCCTACAAAAATGGGTTGGTTCGAGAAGTTTTTTGGTTCTTTCGCATTTCCAGGGGGCCACATACCGTTTTTGACTCCCCAAAATCGTAAAAACCTGTCGATTTTCCATTCAGACGAAGTTCAAAATTTTAAGCGTTTATAATACCTGGTATGATTTCAAATCCGCCACCCCCCTGGAAATACCAAAGAACTAAGTTTGCGAGAGTTCATTTCTTAAACACCCAAGACGACACGACGCTTTTTTCGCTCACCAATTCGACAAGGTCGTGCTAGAGCTCTCTTGGGCTCTAAATTATGCATTTTTTGAAGAAATTTGGTAAGGTGCGCGTGCGTGCTGCGCAAGTTTCCGTACCTCAGGCCCGAGTGCAAAAAGTCGTGGTCCCGCCGCACCTTCCAGTGGTAGCACAGCGTGATCGTGAACGTCACGATGGAGATGAGGACAAACGTCACGGTGAACAGGGTGTGGCCGCTAAAATAGGCATTTTTGACGTATTTTCATTTTGTTTCGATTAGTGGAGATGAGCCGGAGCGTAGAAAAAGAAATAAATAGGAAAAATCTTTAGAAATAGGTCTTTTTAAGGTGAGCTAATGCCGTTACCGCAACAGATACGTGCCGAACTTGTGGAAGACGGCGGTGCGGTCGCAGTGGCGGCCAATTTCGGCGTAGTCGGAGCGGATTTCGGTACTCCTGGAAGCAGAACAGACTTTTTCCTTTTTTTATGGAATTTTCATAAAGCCAGCCTTGGAAATGGAAAGAAAAAACTCACGCGTTGCACTGTAGATAGTTGCGGCCCCGGGCGAGAGCGACGTAGAGCTGGTCGAGATTTCTGAAAACTTATGTGAATGTGGCCCTTGCGGTTCTGGTTTGTTAGCGGGGGAGGGGCACGCCTCCGCTTACTATTTCTTGAATTTTTTTACTCAGCCCGTAGATTGTTGCCTTGAAAATCTAATTCAACCGCACCAACCTGATCGCGCTATGCTGCAGCGTCGAAAAGACGACGTGCGTGACGATGAGCACGAGCCAGACGAGCCCGAACACGGACACCACCGACACGCGCGACAGATGGATCGACTTGCCCGACATTGAGCGGTTGATGACCACCTAGAAGCCTTTTTGAAAGGCAATAGAAAAGGAAAATTTTTAGGTGTTGTCTTGCGTATTCCTTCAACCATACACTTACCAAAACAAGCACGAGCAGGTGGATGAGGCCGGTGAGGGAGCCGTTCTGGGCGAGGCTGTACAACGTCTCCTGGACGAGGTGCTTGGAGTATTCTAAAAATGGTCAATTTCTTGGAGAACGCCCTGGAAATACCGTGGTCGGCGAACAAGTGGGTGCCCAGCGTCTTGGCGATGATCAGCTCCGGCGTCTTCTCGTTGTGCTGGAAAATGAGTTTAGCCTAAGCGTTGGCCTAGAATCAAGTCCAAAAAAGATCTCTCACATCCTCATTCACCGGCCCGTAGGGCTGGCGCTCCAGAAAGTCGCTGAACAAGAAGCCGAACGACACCAAGAAGAGCACGTTGGAGAAGACAATGTTGAAGATGAAAAGCACTAAAACTGGAATTGTCGCTAGCTGGCAGTGATTCTTTGAGAAAGCTCAGCCAGACACATTTCGGCAAGTACTCACCGGTAGCCGTGCTCAGGTGCTTCTTCGTCTTGATGAGCAGGATGACGACGAGCACCGTGTTCACCACCACCACCACGAGCAGCACCACCTCGATGTAGAAGGCACGCCACGCCTGCATTGCCAACTCACTAAAATGTTTGACGTCAACGAACAACGCCCCGAAACGCACCCGAATTTCCCGAGGTTGCCCAGCTCGCAAATGTAGTTGTTGCTGTAGATGCAGCACTTTTGCTGGACGGTAGATTCTTTATTGACGAACGCTACTTGAAAGTAAAAACAACGTACCTAGTAGATTGCCATCCGGGTCGTCCTCGAGCCCGCCGTCCAGCAGTGCGGCCTCCACTTCGATACGGCAGCTGACAAAAAAAGAAATTTGGATTATCACGATATTGTAGGGCAGGTAAGCTGGCAGAAATCATTTGTCGAAGATGGAAGGATTTTAAAGCAGAATCAACCTCGCAAAAACGTTTAAAGTACCTCGTCAGCTCCTCCAACTGTTGCCACAACTTCACGGTGGCCATTGCAAAGTGCTGAAGAAGGAGCCGCGTTTTTAGGACCAGCGACGGCAGCTCGGAGTCCTGGTTGATGTTTGAAACGAGGTTGACGCTAAAATTGAAGGTTGATTTTGTTGTTTTAAAACATACTTTAACAAATTGAGAAAAGCCGTATCGTTCGCCAGGGCTAAGCCAAGGTTGGAGACTGCGTTTGGGGATTGTGTCACGAAATCCTGAAAAAAGGTTATTAAAACCGCCCTTTCCTGAAGAATCCCTGCTAGCATGCCCGAAAATTACCTCGAGCGTGTTGCAGCCTCGGGAAAAGCGCTGGAAAAACGCCGGAAATTTGACGAACGGAATGGACGTCCCGGAGCAGCGCTAAATACAAAAGAATGCTAGAAACGCGAAGCCAGCTAACCGCCCGAATCTGCGCCTGGCGCTTCTCCACGGCGGGCACGTAGCATTTCGCGTAGACGTCGGCGTAAGTGGACGTGATCTCATCGCAAATGTATCTGTAAAAAGAGAATCTCTGCAAGCCTACCATTTCCTAAACGGTCTCTGCTAGCCTACCCTTCCCAAAGAATACCTGCTAGCTTCCATTATACAAATTGCTAAAAAACTCACTGTCTCTGCCGATTCGCGCGCTCGTAGAGCAGCGCAAAGATCTCTCCATATACGTGCATATTCAGCGCGTCCGCCTCGGCCAACATGTGGGCCCGGTCGCAGAGCTAAAAACGGGAACCTCAAGAATCGCTGCTAGAACAGCTGTGCTCCGAGGTAATTTTTGCACTGTAGCTGGAATCGGCTTGGGGTCAAAAAATTGACAGGGCTAGAATTTGCCTTCTAAGTCCCTTTAAAATCGATTTAACGACTTTAGGCACTCACCACGGCATAGGCGTACTTCAGAAAGCCGGCCTGGAACTCGCGGTGGTAGCGATGCTGCGGCCCGAAGCGGACGATCTGGTTGACCTCGCAAAAGTGGAGACCCTTCATCAGCCAGACCTAGAAAAAAATGATATAAGGTGCTAAGGGATAGGGGAAGGCAGGCTAGCAGAGGTTTTTTAGGAAACGGTACGCTAGCAGAGATTATTTGGGAAAGAGCCGAACAGTTTCATTCGCCTACCAGCGGCCGAAATTTCGGGTCCTTGACGTAAAACTGGTAGTCGATGTAGCAGATGATCTGCTTCTCCATGTAGAAACGGACCTAGAGAATTGTGTCATAATCGGAAATGGGTCCCACGATGACTTGACGTGGCGACTGGAGGACGATGCGGTCCATCTCGTTGGTGCACAGCGCGTAGATCTGGAAACGTTTGGGTATAACGTTAATGCGCAAGGCAAAGAGTCAAACGATTACGCGCTGAGAAGCCGACCTTGGCGCTGTCGTTGAAGGGGGCGATCCAGCGGCTGAAGCGGTTGCTGCTCCCGGCCGCCACGCTGATGCCGAGGAAGATGAAGAGGCAGCAGGACAGCCGGACAGAATGATCCCACATCTATACATAGGGCCCGATGAGGGGGATCTGAAAGAAAAGGTTAGAGAGAGAGAGAGAGAGAGAGAGAGAGAGAGAGAGAAAGAGAGAGAGCGAGAGTGAGAGAGTGAGAGAGAAAGCGACTCGACGACTTAGCCTTTCAAATTTATTGTCATCGGCTTTTAGAGAGAGGACACATAAAAAGTAGGCTCTAATCCGCCCGAAAGGGCACCCTGACCCAAAAATCATAAGCTTCTATCTAAGCGGTCACGTGTTCCGCGCAAATACCAAATGCTGTGCGGAGCCCAAGTGGCCCTAAAAAGTAATAATCATCACCGACGCGCGACGACGACCAATATCTGGCTAATATCTTGGGCGGCTACACTGAGGAGGGAGCGGTGCCGGGGCACGACATGAAAACACACAGACAGACGCTCACCAAATTTTTACTCGATTCCCGGTGCGCCTCGGGGGGTAAACAATTCGCGAAAATGAGTGCAGTTGACCGTGAACGCACCTTTGGGGTGTGTGAGAAGAGCGTCGGTGGTTGGGGAAACTATCAGAGATTCCTGGGGAGCTGGCAGCAATGCGTTTCCGCATATGGTGGAAATGTCATGCGAGACCTATCCTAGCTTGTCTAAATTTTCTGCTGATTTTCACCTGCTTTCGAAATTTTGGAGAAAATCGCTTAGTTAACCTAAGCCGAAGACAAAAGCCGCGAAACAAGGACAGCCTACCCATAAGCTAAAAGTAAGCCTACGCTAAGCGTATGCTACGCTAAGCCATGCCAAGCGTAGAGAAAACGAAGAAGAATGAGCCGGAAAAGCAGATAAATGAAAAAGCAGAAAGAGCACCAGAATTCCAGACCCCGCGCAAAAATAGACAACAAGTATCACGCGAACGGCGTATTCTTAGGCTTAGGCCCAGGCGCGAAAGGTGTGTTGTCTAGAAACGGGGCTTTAGGTGTACCGCACACCCCAGATATCCCAGGTGCCAAACCGACCGGATTTCCACTCAACGAGACCCATCTGGGGGCCCCAGGAAGGATCAAAGGGGCCCATTGCTCACAGGCGAGTACCCCGACTTAGCGCCCCCAAAAGCCGATGCGCTAGATGGGGGAGGTATGCTCGGTAACAGGGAAAATCCAAAAAGGCGAAGCGAAGCCTGGATCAACACGGATAAGGGCTGACCACTAAAAATAGGCGTGCCGCCGGGCCGGGGCCCTTCAACCCCGCGGACCCTTGGACCCGGGCGACGCCTCGAGATTGGCCGCGATTTGGCCCCGGGGCGGTGACATGGAAATTGATCCCCAGCGCGGCAGAAACCCGCGACGATACCCACTACAGTGTCCGAGAGGGAGGAGGCCCCCAGGAAGGGAGGTCCATAGGAAGAGAAACGAAGTGAGTAAGAGAAACGGATCTATATCTTTTTACGCACAGCCCCGGCTAAATGGTCTTGACAGTTAGGGCCTAAAACATCTATTCAAACCCCGACTACCACTCAAACATTTAGTACAAGCTGGCCAAGTCAGCCAAGTCACTAACTCACGACTACCATGTTGACGGAAGTCCGGCCGCACGCAATCAAGAGTTGGGGCCGGCGACCCGGATTTAGTACACTGCTTTTTTGGCGCATCCCATTCCCCGCTTCGGGTTCGGAACGGCCGGAAGTCTGGGATAGTTGTCCCTCTGCCATCTCTGCCAAGCGAGCGCGTAATGTCGAAAATTCTACAGGGCCGTTAAACAACCGAACAACCCTTCGCGTCTTCACTCTTCGAAAGATCCGAGACCGAACCTCAATCATTCACCGCGCGTAGCCACAAATTGGACCCCGCAATGCCATAATTGGTAGCATATAGGCACAAATTAGAGCTGCACCGACAATTACTAATATTAATCGAACTTTACAGCAGCTTCGCACCATTAATTACCCTCCTCACCAAAAGATAGGGGGCCCAAAAATCAGTTTTCCAAATGCAGTACAGCGCAGGGCCTCAACAATAGAACCAGAACTAAAAAAATTTTCAGCGCGAAGAGTCACCAGTATTCGACCTTGAACCTCCGCTGTTGCTCGTCTGGCGCAGTAGGAGGCCTCACGACGTTCGAAGATCGACGAGCCTTGGGGAATGGGGTACAGCATCTCCGTATTGCATTGCGGTAAATCGATCGCCGGTTTCGGGAACTTTGTAAAGTAGAACAAGTCACCGATTCCCCTTGTGGTGTCGCATGTTTGCTGCTCAAGGACCTCAGATTTACACATTTTATAGCAATAACAATTCATTTCAACAAAAAAAATTACTTAAGCGGGATAAAGCGAGAAGAATGGGTAGCTCCGATACCAGGTCGACCGTGCTTCACAGGCTTGTAGGTGATCGCGAACTCGCCGAGGTAGTGGCCGATCATCTCGGGCTTGATTTCAGTCTAAAAAGAAAAATCATGAAACGGATAACAACTATAACGAACCTGGTTGTAGACCTTGCCGTTGTAAATTCCGACGACGGAGCCGACCATCTCGGGCAGGATGATCATGTCGCGGAGGTGGGTCTTGACGGTGGCGGGCTTCTCCAAAACGGTCGCGGCCTTCTTCGATTTCTGTAGACGCGCGAGGAGGGCGAGGTGCTTCCTCTTCAGCCCGCGGGCGAGGCGTCTGCGTTGGCGGCACGGTAGGAGCTTCGAGAGTTGATCCCTGAAAAACGTATATAATGATCCACAAAACCAAAAGGGGCTCTACCGGGCAGCGCAACAAAATTTCGGGCTGCAAAGACCTAGGCCGGTCGGCAATGCAGTGGAGGAGACAAACCAAAACGGGGGCTTGGTGCACATGGGAGGGGGTCCAAACTTTTGAGGATATGAGGCTACAACCTACGTTTTTAACCTCAAAGCGCATTTAAGAACTCGGCTCTGGGCCCAAAGATATCTGAGAAAAAAAGCTAAGCTAAGCCGAACCTCGGGTCTAGGCTTATTTCTTAGTCCAAGCGAAGTCAACCGTAGGCTTAAGCCAAAAACAACGCCTTGTAGCCCCCTATCGCCAAGACAAGACAGCCGCCCTCATGTGCACAAGCATTCAACACGATCAAATAGCAAACTGGACCTGTTCATGTCGAGCAGCTGGTCGAGGTCGACGCCGCGGTAGGAGAACTTGCGGAATGTTCTCTTCCTCTTCAGCTCGGCGAGCTGCGCTTCATCAGCCATGTTGAACCCTGCAAGAAAACGATAAATAAATGGTAGCGTGAAAGAAACTGGAAAGGAATGGAGGGAAAACAGTAAACGGAATAGCGCCAAGAATACCGCAAAAAAGGGCTGGAAATACGCGGGGGGTGTTTGAGGAGAGTGGCTAATACGTGATCTATCGAATAAGCATAATTGTAAGATTCTACAACGACGAGCGACATGAATTTCGGGCAAACTTTTGGTTAGCACAGAAAAATTTGGAAGCGGCTGCGGGCGGGCGGTCGAGGGAATTTCCTACCGCAAGGGGGTCGCGAGGGGACCCTGGGCGCGCCTTTGAACACCTTTCGGAATTAATCTCGTTGGATAGCGTAAACAGACGAGACGGGAGAGAAAGCGATAAGAAGAAATTGAGCTTCCAGCCCGGAAAATTATTGATCGTTTTGAAAAATTGTGATTCATTTTGCTAAAATTTTTTGGGCTTTTATATTGTAAATTAACACCCCGAACACCAGAAATAACCCGTCTAGGCTGATGTGAGGATGAAGGCGTTGTTGCTGTTGTTTTTATTCGCTAGCTTCTGCTGTGCACAAAAGAAATCCGAGAACACCACGAAAGCCGCGGTCGACGCGACGGTTCCGCTGATTCTGAAGGCGACGCTACCGCCGCTTCCGGCGGCCCAGGCGGTAGATCGAGGTGAGTGTCCTCTGTGTAGCGGGTTGGAGGGAGAACACGGCGGCACGATGATGTTATACAGCTTTAAAACGACGCCAAGAGGATCACATTAATAATGCTTATAACAAAATTGAATTAGCAAGCTATGATTTTTTCACCACTGTGCGCACGTTGCTGAAAGCTTGCACCACCTAATTGCGCTTAGTATTTTTGGGGCGTTATCTAAAGGGATGAAAACGAGAAGCCAATCCGGCCCTCTAAGTTAACCCTGGGTTTAGAATGGTGGGAGAAAGTCATTTTTGTTGTAATTGCGCGTCTCGTCCGTCCCAAAGAACCTCCCGATTTTCAGGCCGTTATCTCGGGGATGACGAGATCCCTACCTATGGTGGGCTAGCCGGGTGTTTGGGGAAATTCCAACTCGTTTAGAGCCCGACCTGCCCGAGGAGGACGAGCAATCAGACGAGCGCGAAGGCGATAGGGACAGTGATGTTAGTGAAGAAAGGTGGGCGTAGTTTTTTTGCAAGGTTTATTGGGTAACTAATCGATCTTAGGAAAGAGGAGGACTTTATCGACCGCCCGACCTTGGATCGTGTCCCGCACCCGGAAGTCGAGAGACCGGATGTTGTTTCCGTCATCTCGAGCGCGTTCAATAATCGGTAATCAGCTTAGTAACCATTCAGAAAAGTCTAGAAAAACTTTCTCATGCCCAAAAATCAAGACCGACCTGCTCACCGGCACTAGCATCGGCGACCTCAGCCCCGAAGACGTCGGCATCATCGCGTCGATGGGCGACGCCGTGGCGGTCAGTGCCGCAATATATTTTGGTTCTGTTTCCTTAGCGAGGGGGAGTTTCATGTCGTGGTTTTTCACAATTTTGCTCCTTTTCGGGACCACTTCAACTCGATCCGATAGACGTTTGCCCCGGGAAGTTCCCCTCCCCCCTTGCTAACGAAGCAGAACCAAGATTTTGGGACCCCCATCACTTACCCCGGGCATCCATATTTAGATCTCCTACACCTCAGATTTGGTTGGTGGGCGAGAGTAGGTGGCGGCTTGTGATCGTCTTTTTGTTCTAACTCCATTTTTTTGCGAATTGAATGCAAAGCATGCGGCGTAGATTTGGCTATTTTTGGAAGCTTCAAATTTTAGACTGGCGAAGGGCTGTGGCCACAGACAGACATCGAATTCCGAGGTGCCGCCTTCCCGATCGGCGGTGATGCGACAATTGATGGGCTCGTCACGATTCCAAGTGGGTTAAAGGGACCGCGCCGTCTAGTTTTCAGATATCCTGCGTGAATTCAATCCGAGGTTGACGGGCGTATCGCACGGCATGGGTACGCGGGATCAGCTTCCGGCCCATCAGCTCTCCGTCGCTGTATCGAATGCCACATCTTCCAGCATGCCGGAGCAGGTAGGAAAAGAACCCTATTAACTTCTTGTTAAAAAATCGAAAATAGAGGTAAAAAAGCGCCTTTCAGGCCACCGAACTCGTCAGACGCATCAAAATTTTGCGAGACGCCGACTTTAATAACGAGTGGGTGATGGTGATCATCACAATTGGGACGCAAGAGGTAAAATAACTGAGAAAAAATACAATTTTGAAATCGGCAAGTATGAAACGCTATATAAAACTCTAGGTCTGTGCGCATTGCCGGGGGCCCGATGTGGCCGCGCTGCAGCGCGCTATTGATATCTTGTCAATGGGCCTCCCAAAGGTTAGAAATCTCATAGAAGTTTTACTTACTTTTTAATATAATTTTTAGACATCCTTTTCTTCATTGTAAACTGGGAAAGACGTAATTTAGGCGCTCGTCGTACTACTCGGGCCGGTGCACGTCTCCAGCGCGTTCAACCAGAAGGCCAACCTGCTAAAGTAGGGGGTATAGGTTTTTCAGTATTTTTGAAATTTAGAACTCGCTGCTCGTGCTCCCGGAATCAATCCGGCGGCTTTATGGACGAGCTGAGCGATTCGTGGCAGAAGGCTTTCCAAAGGCTGCAGAAAGATGCCGATGAGCATCCTTTCAAGGTAAATTCAAAATCCTTTTGTAAAAATCGTTCTTTAGCGCCCGACGTTTGGTCTGTTAGCTATCCCGATGCTAACGATCACCTCACGGTTCCCCTACGGGCTTTTCATGAAGGACCGGCCGCTGCTTAATCGGTGAGTCCCAGTAAAGAGGCTCAATTTTTCCTCCAGACGTGGCCATAACTATGCGACAAAGTGGTTGTGGAATCGATTGATTGCCGGTGATTTTTGAGTACTTCTAAAAGTTACCTTTTTTACTAGGTGACAAATACAACCTATCATCTGCTACTCTATCCCAGGATAGCTACTATTGTCCATCAACGGTAGGTCGACAAAAACTGGGTGCAAACTTGTTTTGGCTAAACTTAGTGCACCACCTTTCAGTGGCATAAATAACGAAAAATCCCCTTCAGGGCTGTCCCTACTTCCGCACGACCGCAAACGCGAGGGCCTGCCAATTGCTCAGCCTAACGGAGGCAAAGGACACCGAACTGACCCTCGGCAGTCGGGGGAAAGTCTTGAAAAAGGTATTTTTCTGCTTCTCTACCCTTGAAATCCCCCTCAATAGCCCCGTCGAACCGTCAAGAAGCTCTACACGATCGCCGCGTGCATTGTAGTGATCGCTTTTTGCGTGGTGATCACCGTGGGCACAATATTCTACCAAAAGAGCAAACAGGTGCGGGATAAACGACAAATTTCAGAATCGAACCTGTATTTCAGTCTCGGCACGGCCGATTCGAGATCGTCGACGAGGCGCAGAAAAAGTTTGAGGAGGCAAAAGCCGAGGAAGAGAAAGCCCTGATCCAGCGGGCCAACAGCCGCCTCGAGCGCAGGCTCGAGACGACCAACGACGAGTCGAGCGCGTTATGAAATATGTTTCAATTTCAGCTAAAAGTCAATTACTTTCCGCTCCCTATTCACCTTGGCCATATGTATCTCGCTTCTAGTAACATGTAATTTGTGTAAATCCAGGTTCTAGGCTCCGATCTTCTAGGCTAGACCGCCGTGTTTCAGCGTGCTTTACTCAGGCTTGTAAGTTAAAACCCGAATTTACGCTGTTTTCTCTGATCGCATTTGTACGTAGCCGCGTTTTGTGTGCCGTTCGGTAGTCACAACGACTCGCCCCCCACTTCCCATTCCACTTCGACACCCAGGGTCCCCCATAGCCTTTTTGGTCATTGCCCAAAGTCAGCCTTAATCGAATAGCCTTGCGACTTTCTCTCCCTTCTCGAACTGGTTGCTTTTCTGTTTGTGACGCACAGCATCTACAGACTTCCTTCCTGGGGACCAGACCCCCGTCAATTCACTTCACCCTGTGATTCGACTGTGTGACGCATCTGTCAACGATTAAATAAATACTTCAAGGACGCTTCTCACTTCAAAATACAAAAGTAGAGGAAGGCGGAAGTTATTTCACGTCACGATTTCAGTGGATTAGCCGATAATACACCCATATAAAGAGATTGCGACAGCAGGGGCCAACATTTATCGAGCTTTTATTTTTTTAAAAGCTTTTTATATATAGTAATTTAAGTTTAGTTTTTCTTTTAGAATTCCTTTCCCGGACGAAAAATTTTTTTTTAGAAAGCGGTGTGGGGGGTTTCCGAGACGCTACACTTTACGCCAGCCACTTGTGGGACCACCGGTCCTTTGCCGATCGCTCGGCGCTCTTCCAGATTTTTGTGAAACGGCCTAAATTGTCTTGACCCCGAAACTTTGCCGCTTATTTTGCCTCGTATCCGCGCTAAAATGATTCCCAGCGCCTCTTTTTGACCTCCGAGCGCGTTCAGCATGCGTAGACCTCAAAATTTCACCCCGTACAGATTTCTGTTGCCTAACATCTCCGACTCTCCGGGCGTTATTTCTCCTTTCCGGTCCTTCCAACACCTTTCTTGTTTTCGAGACCGTTCTACGTTTTCATTTTCATTACATACTTCATTTTTCAGACGCGATGAAGTACTTGGGCGCCTACCTTCTCGCGAATATGGGCGGAAATGCTTCCCCATCAGCCAAGGACCTGCTCGCCATCCTCGGTTAGTTTATTACTTACTGACTACCGAAAGGAAAAACGGCCATTCCTTTCACGTTTTTTTTTGTCAACCGATTATTCTTTTTTTAGGATCGGTCGGCCTCGACTGCGACATGGATGAGGCCAACAAGGTGGTCAACGAGCTGAGCGGCAAGAAAGTCGACGATGTGATCGCAGAAGGAAAGAAGAAGGTCTCATCCGTGCCCTCAGGAGGAAGCGGCGCCCCTGCCGCCGCGTCCGCTGCCGCCCCAGCAGCAGCTGCTGCTCCCGGTGCGTTTCCTTTCGTTTTTGTCGCTCACTCGGTGCCGTCGCCGTGCTCCGCGTAGGAAATAACTGTTGGGTTTGGCGATGTAATATTCAAGTTGAGAGGCCATTTTGCTTTCGCATACGTTACGGTAAACTTGGCTTCACTAATGCGTTGATCCGTTTACCCCGGTATCACGCTTATCGTTTACCTATGTTCGGTCATTACCGAAGTGTAACGCTCGTGGGTCTTGCTCTCGCCATGGAATTTGTAATTCCTCCCAACTTGAATAGTACCGTAGCCGCCGTTAACCCGTTGTGTTCGTAACTGATTTGCCTTTTTTCAGCCGCCAAGAAGGAAGAGCCCAAGGAGGAATCCGACGAAGACATGGGATTCGGACTTTTCGACTAATTTTGCTGTTCATGTCTACATTGTTATTTTTTTCTCGTTGATAAATACATTTTGCGACGCGATTGAATTGAATATCAAGCCTTGGCCAAGCACAATATCTATGCACATTGGAACAAGTGACGTTGTGGGTCGATCCGCAGCTCTTCATAGCGTTCCTCGCTGTTGTGGAAAGCACAAAATTTCTAGTCCGCTTGTTTCGGGTATAACGGGTGAAGCTTCCGTTCGCCGTCATAACGTTCCCTTGCAGCTAATCAACGATGGGCAAGCTAAAGAAGACGCAGAAGTATGGGCGCAAAGCGATGGCTCGGTTGATTAAACCGACGGATCAGCGAATGTTAGTGATTTGGTCTTGACTCCAACCTTGGAATTTACAGAAACGAGAAGGACCGGGTCATCCGGAAGAAGAAGGAAGACGAACATGCGCTGAAGTTACACGAGGCGTACGTTTTTAGCATTCGTTCATAACCTGGTTTTTTTAGTCCACAAACCTCCTCGGCGATGTTCCTGAAGTACAACAGCCAGCTGGGCCCCCCATTTCACGTGATCATCGACACCAATTTTGTCAACTTTACAATCAAGAACAAGATGGATTTGTACACGGAGCTGATGAACTGCCTCTACGCAAAAGGTATAACTTTGCCTGGGTTTTTACACGGTGGTATCTAAGAGACAATGCATTCCTGTTTCCAGTGATCCCGTACGTCTCGGACTGCGTGATCGGTGAACTCGAAAAGATGGCGTCTCGGTTCAAGATCGCTTTGAAAATTCTGAAGGACAGCCGGGTCCAGGTTTGGCTTGAGGGTTGTTTCAAGTTGTGGGTTTTTCAGCGACTCTCCTGCTCCCACAAAGGCATCTACGCCGACGACTGTATTGTGCAACGCGTCACACAGGTTCGTGTTTCTATCTTCGGGCGTTGCATCGTGGTGTGGTGTTTGTCTATCCATATCTATCAACAATTATTTTTTTAGCACAAATGCTACATCGTTGCCACCTGCGACAAGGACTTGCGGCGACGAATTCGCAAAATCCCCGGCGTCCCCATTATGTACATCAGGTGCGTTTCTTGAGGTTTTCGGGCTTCCTTGAATTTTGTATGCGAAACTCGACTAATATATCCGTTTTAGGAATCACAAATACGAGATCGAGCGCATGCCGGACTCGCACAATTTCTGAAGACGGCTCCGCTGCGGCTCGTTCACCAAACGTGACTTCGTTATTTGTTTTTCGTTATGTTTTTCCCGTGATAAACAGTTTTCAGCAGACAATTAGCGTTTAAGAATTCGCAAAACCTTTGGAAGAAGTCGGACGGAGTGACACGCACCAAAACAGACAAGCTACTTGAATCGAAGGAAGCGCTTGGAAGCTGTATTAAGTTTCTATTCTCTGAGGTTCGGGACTAGCGAGCAGCGTCTTTGATGGTGTAAGCGCCTCATGAGCATGGATTTAACTAGACCTTTACGTATACCAAATCTGATTTGCAATATTTTATTTTCACAGGGCGTCACGGCCTTTTTCGCAGTATCATTTTCCAGGGTTCCCCTGCTGTCCGGTCCTCGCACCCCTTCCACTCGAATTGGTCCCCCGGTGTCGCGTACGGGCCGAGGGGGGTACCCCAGTGGTTTCTCGGGTGTGGGGGGATCAATCTGGCACGCAACGCCGGCACCAGCGTGCGGCCGCGGCGCGTGCGCGGCGCGTATTTTTAGAAGCCGGGGGCTACCCCGAAGTCGCGCTGAAGTTATCGGTTTTGCCGCGCGGTGATCGCGCGCAGCCAGCGGGCTTTTGGTGCCCGGGGCTATTTTGGGGGGTCGGCTGGTCGGAGCTGGGCAGAAGCCGGGCTGCTATTCGGCTGCTAGGCCCGGCTATAGGTGGCAAATTACGCTGGGTGGATGGCTATCATTTTTCACCGGCCGCTGTCGTTTTCCTATTCGATTCGAGGCTTTTATGGAGGCAACTTTTGCGCCTAAATCTCCTGCTCGTTATTTTGGCGATTTTCATGTTGGATGTAAAGGTTTTATCGAGATTCTCGGCTCCAAAGGCCGCGATTTCCGGTGTCTGGAATTTAGCCAGCTTTGGTTGAGTTTTTCGTGGAACCTCGTTGATTTTATGCAATACATAGCCCTGACCGTGTAGTTGTTCACTTTTGATATTAATTTCCGAAGATTTTCAGCTGATTCTCTCCGCATTTCCGCTAGCAAGAGCTTGCCGAATTCCAGCCCAGAGCGCTGTCGGAAATTAATTCAATTCCCCGATTTAATAGAGCTTTCTTGGCAAGCCTTTTCCAGTTTATCTTTAAGACCATTACTGTAATTTTACTGAGATCATTTCTCAAAGGCCAGCGGCTACATTCGCGCCTTAATATTTACAGGTACACCTAGCGTACTCACATAATATTGTTGCTCCATGGACCTAAATTTTGTGATTTGAGGATAAAGCTGGCTTCATTATATTCGAGCATGGCACAATTGCTTTGCATTTGACTAAATTTCTAGATTTTAATGTAGAACGGAAATTCGACTGTTTGCACTGTTTGTATACTTTTTGATAATGGCAACTTTAAACGGCTCGGATGAAGTTCTAGAATGCCGTAACTGTTCAGAGAATGTTTAGATTGTCCAGTTTTTTATCGTTTTTCATTAATTTTACCTTGACAAGGGCGTTATCTGGTTCTGCGGGTTCTGTGACCGGCCGTTGATCACCAGCCTTTATTTTCTGTTGCCATTTCGATACCTTTCTTCTAATTTTTGCGTAATTTATATATTATTCTCATCAATTCTTATGAATCTCAAAAACCTTCCAAATTTGCAGTACCGTGGTCGCCCGAATAAGTGGAACGAGTGGCGGGCCCGTACCGCTGCCCCGTCCCAGCTTCACCCACGTCTCAGCAGGTTTCTATTTCCAGATTTCAGCGTATTTTACATTAAATTGATTCAGCTTTAGCTTTTGTTTAATTTAATGCCCCCTCCCCCAGATACCCCTAGTACTATACAAAACCTATTTACTCGGCCCGCCCGGGCGCTGGTTATATGCTCGGCTTGCCTTCGAAACCCCGGTGCCATTTGGGGATATGCAAGCTTGTATTATTTTTAATTTTATGATAGCTGTTTTAGAAGTATTTACATCCTTTAAAACCAGTTTGAATTCTTCTAGAAGGCTTGTTTTTCAAGCTAGGCTTACTCCTCACTTCAGCGAACCCCGATTCCATTTTGGGGTAGATGCAAGCTTACATTAGTTTATTTTGCGTCGATAGGACTTTTATAAAGCTTAAAAGGAACCGTTTAAGATGGTGTAAATTCTTTTAAAAACTTTTTATGCAGGTTCGGCGGAAAAAGGTGAAGGCGCTTGATTTTGAAGCAAAGCTGCTTGGGGATTCAAAAAGGAATATAGTATTTTCAGTTATTGGTCTAATTTTATATATACACCCAAATTAAGGATTCTCAAAAGTTTTTAGGTTTTTGTCAAACGGTTGCTTAAAAAGGTGAAAAAATATTTTTATCGATTTCTGTGTTGTCACAGCTTTCTAAAACTGTATAAATGCAGAGAAATTTTGTATATAAACGATATAGGTATTGATCCTCATCTATTCCAAGGTCTATCATTGATTTTAGCAATTTTGAAAGCACTAGGATTTTCTGAGGGGTATTTTTAGCGTTTTCTGAACTTTCTAGGCTTTATAAAACTGTAATGTTTTCCAAAATTCGTACAATGCTTAGATTAATGTTTATTTAATTGATGTATAAAATCAGTAAGAAGTTACGCTCCATTTTCAGGATTCCGCGTGCGGTGCGCCCGTCTCCGCCACTCGGCTCCGTATGCGCGAGCCCACGAGCCGTCTCGCCCTCTTCTATGCGCAGTGCCGTTGCTGATCGGTTGGTGCTGCACAATTGTAGAATTCTTGTAAAGAACACGTAGTTAATTCTAAAAATATACTGGTTAACATTTTTCCAGATCTGCGAGTGCGCAGCCGCACACATCTGCAACCACGGGCCCCCAGTGTGCGATCGCGTCGCGACCATACGCCGTGACTGGTCGGTTTCTTGATCCCGAATGATCACTGCTAGCTTGCCAACTGACTATTCCTAAAGAATCTCGGCTAGTCTACCTTTTAAGGATAGCTGAGGGTCTCTCCTCCCCCAAAAAACTCCGCTAGCCTCCTCCATTTTATTCTCTACTGGCTTCCCAGTTCCTAAAAAACTCCGCTAGCCTGCCTTTCCTGAACCTCGGGTTCTGAAAGAAGCTGCTGTAAAGTACCCCGATCAAAGAATCGCTGCTAGGATGCCGTTTCCCTAAGAATCTCTGCTAGAATATATCTCTTGCTCTTCGGATCTTTCCCTCTCTCTCTCTCTCTCTCTCTCTCTCTCTCTCTCTCTCTCTCTCTCTCTCTCTCTCTATTTCCTAAGCAACCCCTGCTCGTATACCCTGCTAGGGTCTTGAGATCGGAAAAATCTATGGAAAACTCTAAAACATCTAAAAAAACTTTGCAATCGCCTTGAAGAATATCTGCCAGCGTGCCCTTTCATAAAGAATCTGTGCTAGCCGGCCCAAACCCATCATTTTGCAGAAGGGCTGCCGTTGTCGAGCGGACCTCCGGATTCGTTGTGTGGAGGAGGGGAGGAGGGGCCCTCCCCCAACCTCTTCCACCAACAGCCCTCCACCTCTAAGCAGCCGCCATCCCCTCCACTACCCCCGCCAAGCACCAATGGTAAGTCTAACCTAAGCCTAAGTCTAAGCATAAGCACTTTCAGAATCACCCACCGGCGAATTGGCGCCTCTGGTAGCGCCCCTCGACGAGCCGGGCCCGTCCACTAGCAGCGGCCTCCCCTCCGGCGGCTCCACCTCGTCCTCAGCGTCAACCCGGAAAATCCGGTTCTCCTTCCGGTTACGGCGCAAGGAGGCGCAACGCCTCCATGGCATCGCCTGCCGGCAGCCGAACGCGCTGAAAAAGAAAGGTGGGTGGAGAAGCGGAATTCTAAGCCTAAACTAAGCTTAAGCAAGATCTAAACCAAGCCTAAGCCTAAGCTACGCTGAGCCCAAGCCGATGCATTAGATGCAAAACGCAGCCCAATCCTTTCAGGAATGCTCTCGGTGCTGATCGGCAGCCTCGACTTCATCTCCTTACTCGACCGCGCGAAGGACAAAGACTCCCTGATGGCCAAGCTGCGCACCGAGGAGCCGCCGATCATTAGTGTGCCGGCATTTGAGCGGACGCCGAGGTGAGCATAGCGAGGATCCAGAAGTTACGATCAGTTTTAGGCCCCCAATCGCACCCCCGCCTGGCGACCCGAACGTCGTCGTCCCGCCGCCAGCCGCCGCGCCCCTGCCCGCGACGCCGACGGCAGCGGCCCCGCCGCGGCCACCTGGGCCCCAGCCGCCGGGACCCCCAAACCCCTCGCCGTTGCTGGTCGGGTTGCTGAGGTGGGAGGGGGAAGAGCTAGCAGGGATTCATTAGGAAACGGGAGGCTAGCAGAGTTTCTTAAGGAAATGGCAAAACCCTTTTTCAGCAACCAACAACAACAACAGCAACAACAACCCCACCAGCAGCAACCGCCGCAGCAGCAGGCCCCTGGCCCTCCGGGCCCTCCCCAACCTGTCCCGCCCGGCCCGCCGCACCTCATCCACATGCCCCCGGGCCACGGTCAAATGGGCCAAATGCCGCCTGGGTACTACCCGCCGGGCGCCGGCATGCCGGGCGGACCCGGCGGACCGCCGCTGACACCCGGCGGAATGCCGATGCACCCGCAGGGCATGGATCCGCACTATGCGATGCAGGTTGGTGCTTGAAAATTTTAGTCTAAAGCCCAAGCCTAAGCCTAAGTCTAAGCCTAAGTCTAAGCCTAAGCCTAAGCCTAAGCCTAACTTAAGCCTAAGCCTAAGCCTAAGCCTAAGCCTAAGCCCAAGCCTAAGCTTAAGCCTAAGCCTAAGCCTAAGCCTAAGCCCAAGCCCAAGCCTAAGCCTAAGATTAAGCCTAAGCCCAACCCTACACCCCGACTTTTAGATGGAGCAGCGCCACCGGATGATGCAACACCAACAACAGCAACAAGCCGCCGCCATGGCCGCCCAGCAGCAACACCAACAACAACAGCAGCAAATGGCCCAACAGCAACAGCAACAAATGGCGCAGCAGCAACATCCACAGGTGGGTTGAGGGCTTAGGTTCAGGCTTAGGCTTAGACTTAGGCTTAGGCATGCTTAGGCTTCGGCTTAGGTTATGCTTAGGCTTAGACTTAGACATTGATCCCATCCAATCACTCCATCATTTCCAGACCCCGACGATGCAACAGGCTCCGACGCCTGGCCTCCAACGACCCCCGGACCAGAAAGGCACGCCACAGCCTGGAGAAGCCCCGGCGCAGAGCGGAAGCGCACAGGGCAGCAGCGGAACTGGGACGCCGGCCCCGCCCGGAACCCCCGGCATCCCGCCGACGACACCAGGAGGCCACCAGGTACGTTCGGTGCTATCGGCTGGCCTGGCATTTCCTAAAGAATCTCTGCTGCCCCGCCATCATCAAATTATTCCTTCCATTTCAGTACTACAACGCCTCGACCCCGCTCGCCGCGCCGCATTCCGTGACGCCGCAGCCCCGGCCACCGGTGGGTTTTGGAAGGCATTGTAAAAGCGGAACGGGGAAAGATTTTGTGGTTTTGTGGTCCGGAGGATTTGTACCATCCTATTTTCAGAGCTTCGGCCCCGGGACGCCCGGCCCAACCGCTCCTCCCCAAATGTTCTCGCCGCCCCACCACCCGCACATGGCACCCCAGCAAATGGCACCGATGCATGGGCAGCAGATGCATGTAAGTTGAAGCGGATGCCCAAGCCTGGGCCTAAGCCTAAGCAAAGCCTAAGCCTTACCTAGGTCTAGGTCGAAGCGGAAGCTAAGCCTAAGCCTAACCTAAGCCTATACCTAAGCCTAAGCCTAAGCCTAAGCCTAAACCTAAGCCGATACCTAAGCCTTAGCCTAAGCCTAAGCCTAAGCCTAAGCCTAAGCCTAAGCCTAAGCCTAAGCCTAAGCCTATACCTAAGCCTACGCCTAAGCCTAAGCCTAAGCCTAAGCCTAAGCCTAAGCCTAAGCCTAAGCCTAACATAAGCCCAAGCCTAAGCCCAATCTAAACAAAGCCTTTTTCAGCCCCACATGCAAATGCACCCGCAGCAGGCCCAGATGCACCCGATGATGCAGCAGCAGATGCAGATGCGGATGATGCAGCAGCAGCACCACCAGCAGCAGGTGAGCTAGCAGAGATTCTTTAGGAAATGCGAGGCAGCTGCGAAAACCTAAGAAACCAAATTATCATGATTGTTTTCAGATGATGATGGCGCAGCAGCAGCAGCAACAACAACACCAGCAACAACAGCAGCAGCCGTACGGCCGCCAGCCGCCGCAGCCCATGCAACCGATGCAGCAAATGCAGCAGATGCAGCCGATGCCCGCCGCCCAGGAGGAGCCCGCACCACCGCCGAAGAAGAAGGCGCGGAAGCCGACGAAGAAGCAGCAGAAGGAGATGGCGGAGCAGGCGGCTGCTCAACAGGTTCGTGATGGACTCTGCTGGCTCGCGCTTCTCGGATTGTTTCTTCTAGCTAGCCATCCCTTTCTTTCCAAAATAATCTCAGCTAGCCTGCCCTTTCTTAAAGATTCTCTGCTAGTCTGCCCGCCAGACCTCAATCCCCGTCTAAAACCAAGAATTTTCAGGCGGCCGCCCAAGCAGCAGCCGGGCCACCCGTTGGCTACTATCCGGACGGCCGGGCCATCCACCCGGCAGCGATGGAGGGCAGACCGGTCGGGCCGAACCCGATGATGATGGGCGGCTATCCGGGAGCCCCGGCAGGGTATGGCGGGGCTCCAGGTGGTCCACCAGGGGCCCACCCGGGCCCATACGCCGGCTACCCCCACCATCCACACCAGCAGCACATTTGGCAGGTAGGAACGGGGGTTGGCAAGGGGCTGTTGGGGCCCACAAATGGTCTCTGCTACCCTGCTTTGCCGGCGTCAAAGTTTCTTGGCTACCGACTTTCTTGGCCTTGTTGGGGGGGCTCTCAGTCTCTAGGCCGCTCTCTCTAGTTCTCTCTCGCTTCCTCTCTCTCTCACTCTCTCTCTCACGCTTTCTCTTGCTCTCTAGCTATCCCGAACAGTTAAAGCAGCTCCTCATTCGCCGATGGGACCGCCGGCTATTCTGGGTGGGAGGGAATTTGGGCCGATTTGGGAGGAGTTGCCCGACACGAGCGTCACCCGCCTACAGCATCCAAATTCCAGATGCAACAGCAGCAACAGCAACAGCAGCGGATGATGTACCCAAATCAGCAGGGACCCGGTGGCCCTTGGCCCCAACAGCAGCAGCCACCCAGGGCACCACCCGTCCCGTACCCTCAGGGCACAAATCCAGGTTGGGTTTTTGCCTTCAGACGCTCTTGGCCTAAACCTAAGCCTAAGCCTAAGCCTAAACCTAAGCCTAAGCCTAAGCCTAAACCTAAGCCTAAGCCTAAGCCAAGACTAAGCCTAAGCCTAAGCCTAAGCCTAAGCCTAAGCCTAAACCGAAAATAAGCCTACGCTCTAACTCGCGTTCTTTCAGAAGCCGAGGGAATGTCGGGAATGATGTATGGCCAAGGACCGCACCCCGGCCAAATCGGCGGCCCCGGCGGCATGTATCGCCGAGATTCCGGCGGTCCTATGGTCGGCACCCCGACGACACCTTACACGCCGCATAGCCATCCGCCATCACAGCATAACACCCCCGAAACAACGCCCACGCATCATCGTGAGTTTTTACCAGAGCAGGGATTCTTTAGGAAAGGGTAGGCTAGAAGAGATTCTTTAGGAAAGGGTAGACTAGCATAGATTCTTTAGGAAAGGGTAGACTAGCATAGATTCTTTAGGAAAAGGTAGACTAGCAGAGCTTCAACGGAAACAACCGGCTATCATGTTTTTCCAGGACGAAGCGACGGTGGTGGCACCCCGTTTGCCCAAAACACTACCCCCACCAGCCAACCCGGACCCTCCGTCGGCCCTCTCGGCTCCCTACCCAACGACGAATTCGACAAGTTCGACACCAAGTTCGGCCTCGACGGCCTTGGCGAATTCTCCGACCTCGGCGACATCGACTTGAGTGACATGAGCGACCTGGGAGCTTTGCTCGGCCCCGAACTAGATGGCCCCCGCAACGGCAGCAACGGCGATTTGGGTACGTGTTTTTGAAGCTAGATTTTGACCACTGGGGGCGGGCTAGCGGAGGTGGTTCGGGATCTGCTAGCCGCATAAGCTGGCACTGCTCCTTTTGAAGTGATCGGGCCCTTCTAAGGGACTAGGAAGTCAAAATCTGTCCCCGAAAAACCTAAGCGAGGCCCAAGCAAAGCCTAAGCCTAAACCTAAGCCCAAGCCGAAGCCTGGCGAAGTCTAAAACTAAGTGTACGCAAGACCCAAGCCTCATCCCAAGTAGTTTTCTGCCTTCCCGGTCCCTTTAAAGCCCGCCTCGCTCCCCGTTAATCTACCCCACTACAACGTAATATATAGTTTCTCCAGACACCACGATCGAGAGTGTGGCCCACGGTCCCGGGCAGCAGCAGCCCGGCCCCTCGCATATCCCGGGTAAGTGCCGCGTAAATTCTCGGGAAAACGCTCTAAAGGGACCGGGAAGGCAAATTTCGGCCCCGCCCTTTGCGAGAAGCCAAGAATCCCTAAGAATCTCTGCTATTACGGATGCTGAAGGGATCGGGAATTTTCCTTGAACGGCTCTTTTTGTATTCTTATCTTCCTGGTCCCTTTAAAGCTCGGATGTCTAAAGGGGTAGCTTCGATAGCTTAGGCTTAGGCTGACAAGCACCTTAACCCCGACGCTTTCAGGTCCTACACCGAACCAGAACCAGCAGCGACCCCAAATGGCATACCCTCACCACCAACTGCCGCAGCAGCCCCACCAAGGTCACCAACAGCAACAGCATCAACCCCACCAGGGTCACCGTGAGTTTTCTATGATATTCTGGCTGAAAAAATGCTCTTTCGTCCCAGACGAGTCTCGCAACGGCTAATGGGGTTGTTTGGCTGATTGCCAAGGCGCTAGGGGTTCTCGATTTGCCTTTAACGGCCCTTTAAAATCCATTTTTAGCAATGGGACAATCGCCAATGATGTCGGGGATGCGGCCGATGAGCGGAATGCCCACCCAGCAGCAGCACATCTACGAAAATGGGCAGCGGCCGACGATGAATGGACACGCTGAGGTAAGGGCAAGCTAGCGGAGATTCTTTAAGAAAGCGCAAACTAACAGAGAGCCTTACAAAGACAGTCGATCCCTCTAAAGACCCAATTTTTCAGCAACCACCCCCTCAACAAATCGCGCTCCCGAACGGCGCGCGGCGGCCGCCCGGCCCGCCGCCGGCCCCGGACGCCAAGACGGCTGGCGACGACGAGGTGGCCGAGCTGGTCGCCAAGGTCAGACACGCCACCCAGCAACGCCAGGCCGAACTCGGCCGGAATCCGGAGACACAAACCAAGGTAGGTAGGCTAGCAGAGATTCTTTGGGAGGGGCAGGCTAGCAAAGATTTTTTAGGAAAAGCAGGCTAGATTCTTTAGGAATCACTGAATTTCATTTTTCAGCCGAAAACAACCCCGGAAAAACCGGCGGAAAGCCGACGCCAACAAGGAACAAGATTCGCCGCGTCAGGAGGACGAATGGAGAGTCGATCCGAGTAGGTTATCTCTCTCTCTCTCTCTCTCTCTCTCTCTCTCTCTCTCTATCTCTCTCTCTCTCTCTCTCTGTCTCACTCTCTCTCGCTTCAGAGGAATGGTTTTCAGCCCGTCACCTTAACGCCCAACTTCCGATGCCTCCTCAAGGGCGGCCGATGCCGATGCCTCAACAAGTAAGTTAAATTGGATGGAAAATGGGGTGGGCTAGCAGAGATTTTTTGGGAAATGGCAGACTAGCAGAGATTCCTTAAGAAATGGCTGGCTAGCAGGATCCTTTAAACCCTACTTTTTCAGCATCCCGGTGCCCCATCTTGATGACGTCGTGCGACATCCAGCAACTGCTCACCCTTCCCTAGTCGTGTCGTGTCGTCGTGTATACCGGTGCCTGCTGCTCTGCTTCTCTGCGTCTCTCTCCCGCTCTCTCCCTCTCTCTCGCTCGCTCTCTCTCTCCTTCTGCCTTCCCGGACGTGCGGAGGCCGATCCGCTGGGCGGACACGCGCCGCCTCCGCTGCCCCCGATATTCTCAGAATTCTATCTACCGCCCTGTATACCGTACCCTACTGCTCAAGCCAGCCTTCGATTTCGCCCGCCCTTTTTCTCGTGTTATGTTTTTTCCTGTTGTTGCAGACTTGTGATTTTCTCGGCCCTGAATTTTGTTAGTTAAAGAATTTTTGGGGAGAAGTTTTGAGAAAGGAGCCAAAAATGTAGGTATTTGCACTACAGTACCCTAAGAAAAGAAAGGAAATCATGCAAATTCGGAAAATTGAAGAATTAAGAAATCGATGGTATCCGGTGCCTTTTATAGAAATTTCCCGCTCCAAACTCGAAGCTCCGCCCTCTATTTTGTACCCCTAATCACCCGAATTAGCATTTCCCGCCCCGCCAGATTCAAATTGCCGTCGAAAACGATCAATAATCCCGACAGCCACAATCCCGACACGTCAAAACTCCGAGAGCCAAAATCCCGACAAATTGTTGCAACTAATTTGAATGCCACACCCCATTTCAACACCTATTTTGCATGTCGGCATTTTCGCCTGTCGGGATTATGGCTGCTGGAATTTCAGGCTGTCGGCATTTCGAGCTGTCGGTATTTCGGCGTCCCCTCCCCACCCACCCAACCCCAGAGATCTCTCCCGATAGAGTGCCCTACCACCACCCATTTTCGACTCGACAACACAAATTTTCATCAATTGTTTCTTTTCTTCTTCTTTCTCCCGCCCCAAAAAAACCAAAGCGTGACACATTTTTCTAAAAATCAAAAAAACCGCGCGGGCGCGTGATTTAGCACGCGTGTAAAAATCTGCGAAAATTTCTTAAAAAATTAGATTTTATGAATTTTTCATGAAATTTTTGACGCGCCCTAAATCGCGCGCCGCCCACCGTACCCCTCGCCCCGGATTCTCGTGCGCATTTAGCTCCCCTGATATGTAGAAGTTTGTGATCAGCCGACTCGCCCCTGTCCTGTGACCCAATCGAGGGCGCTGGGCGGCGCGCATGGGCCGCCTGGGTGTAGCGAGCGGAGCGTCGCGTGTGCGCTGCGTCGCGCAACGTTTCAACGCGTTGCGTACCGCGTTGCGTGCCCACGCGTACGCCGCGCTCCCCTACATTCAGGGCGCTCCAAAGGACACCGCCTCGCGCCCCTCACCTCAGCATGCCTTAGCGGGCTCGAAAAGTTCCAAGCCGCGCCCCCGTTATCCCCAATTTTGTCTAGGTTAGGCCCCGCCCCTCCCCGGCTCCACTTCGACGGTCCTTTAAAGGGATGAGTAGGGCAGGGCTATGGATTTTGACTTGGCTGATGGTTAGGCTTAGGCTTGGCTTAGGTCTAGGCTTGGAGCTGGGCTTAGGCTTAGGCTTAGGCCCCCCCCCCCTTTTCCCCTTAAATTTTTTAATATTTTTATATTTTTTTTTTTATACATTTTTTTAAAAAAAAAAAACTTTTTAAAAAAATTTTTTTTTTAAAAATTTTTTTTTTTAAAAATTTTTTTTTTAAAATTTTTTTATATAAAATTTTTAAAAATTTTTTAAAATTTTTATTTTTTTTTTTTTTATTTTTTTTTTTTTTTTTTTTTTTTTTTTTTTTTTTTTTTATTTTTTTTTTTTTTTTTTTTTTTTTTTTTTTTTTTTTTTTTTTTTTTTTTTTTTTTTTTTTTTTTTTTTTTTTTTTTTTTTTTTTTTTTTTTTTTTTTTTTTTTTTTTTTATTTTTTTTTATTTTTTTTTTAATTTTTTTTTTTTTTTTTTTTTTTTTTTTTTTTTTTTTTTTATTTTAAAAAAAAAAAAAAATTTTTTTTTAATTTTTTTTTTTTTATTTTTTTTTTTTTTTTTTTTTTTTTTTTTTTTTTTTTTTTTTTTAATAATTTTTATTCCTTTTTAGGTTAGGTCTAGGCATAGGGCTGGGCTTAGGCTCGGTTCAGGCTGAGCCTTAGGTTAGATTTAGGCTTAGACTTGGCTTAGGCTTAGCTTAGGCTTAGCGCTGGGCTTAGGCTTAGGCTTAGGCTTAGGCTTAGCTTAGGCTTAGGGCTGGGCTTAGGTTAGCTTTAGGTCTAGGCTTAGCCCAGAGCGCCAAATCCATACCATTTCCTTGCCCACCCCTTTAAACACCCTACCGTATCCCCGTCTCGGGCCGACCCCTTCTGTGTGTATATTCTGTCGATTTGCCCCGCGATAAATCCAAGAATATTTGCCGAAATTTTTTGAGCGTTGTTTCGAATATTCACCGTATGCCTCGCCCCGCCGCGTATTTGTCATATTTGAGAAATATTCGTACCCACCATTTTATTCGTCTCGCGACTACTTTGCAGCGTTTAGCCCCCCGGCGCTCCCCCCATTTTGCTCCGCCCACCCACAACATCTAGTTGTCGGAGGTGATACTGTCATTTCTTCCGCCGCGTCATTTTTGTCGATATTTGTCATTTTTGTGGTTTGTTTTTGTGTGTACTCGGCTCCCCATATAATGATTATTACCCCCGTATATATATATATATATATATACTTTGCGCACTCGCCCGACCGCCCCGGCGGGCATTACAGAAATATAAAATATACTTTATATATTTTCGCGCCGAAAATACATGGCAGGAGAGAGAGAGACAGACAGAGCGAGAGAGAGAGAGAGAGAGAGAGAGAGAGAGAGAGAGAGAGAGAGAGAGAGAGAGAGAGAGGACGAGGAGGGAGCAGATAGATAGATAGATAGAGAGGAGAGAGAGAGGAGGAGAGAGAGAGAGAGAGAATAAAAATATACTTTATATATTTTTGCGCCGAAAATACATGGCAGGAGCGAGAGGAAAGGAAAACTGTTCGATAGAAGAGGTTCTCCTGGTAAGCCAAGGGTGGACCCTTGGTAACGTTTCTATGAAAAAAATGAAAAAATCTAAGCTTCAGATCTGGCGGTTTCGCCATGCCCAAGTCGGATAATGTTTTTTATGGGGATCCTGTTTGTATTTTTTATGTAAAACCCAAAATATGTAAAATCGGCATTCTGTGAATCGGCATTATCAGCTTATACCGGTTTACTAGTTTAATTGTGTACGTTTTAGTATTGATTTTTTGGCAATTCCCGGCCAGGGGATAGTAGCTGGGGCCCAGGGTTATCGATTGGTGGCCTTAAAAAAATTTTTGGGACTTTCCGGCTGGGGGAAGTAAACTCTTACCCCAATTATCTGAAAATTTCAGAAAAATATGCTTCTGCTTGGGAATCGGCTTAAGCATAAGAAAATTGGGTAATTAACCGCAAACTTGGGTAATTGAACCGGGCGACGCCGTGCCTTCCCACTCGCCCCCCACCTGGCCCACTGTCTGGACAGATAGTCCAACCCTCTCCACCCCAATTCGTCAGTCGGTTTACCCCAACCTTCTGACCAATGGGTGTCAGGGCTCCCCTTAATGCCTGAAAATGGGTGGAATGGCTCCCCTTAATGCCTAAGAAAAGCTTCGGCTTCTGAACTGCATGAAAAGCTTCGGCTTTGCAGTAAATACTGGCTTGGCTACGTGTTCTACGTGGTCCAAATGCCTATGCAACCGGTTGGTAAGGCTGCAGCCACAGGCGCGGCACTTACGAAAAAGCCTGGCCCATACACGTGGTGGCCAAAAAAAGGCAAATTTCCATCAAATTTTCGCATTGTGGCCCCGACCCCCATAATGCTTTCCCCTGCCCCGCCCCCTCTCCCCCCCCTCTCCCCCTCTCCTCCCCCCCCCTCCCCTCTCCCTCTCCCCCCCCCCTCCCCTCCCCTCCTCCCTCCCCCCTCCCCCCTCTCCCTCCCCCCCCCTCCCCCTCCCCTCCCCCCTCTCCCCCCTCCCCCCTCCCCAAAACCCCAAAACCCCAATCTCCCAAACCCCCAAAAACGGCCCTGACACCCAGCCCTTTAGTAACATAGCACAGGAAGGGTAGGGTAAGCTAGCAGAGACCATTTACGGAAAATGCAATATCACCGGCAGGCTTGCTGAGCTGATACTTTGCGAAAGCTGATCCTTGGGCAATCTGGCAGAGATCGGGTTTTTACTCCGAAAACGTCCCGAAAATGCCCGAGCGCCCCGAAATGCGGCCCAGACTGAGTCCCGAAAATGCTCCGAAATCGATCCCGGCTACGGTTTTTGGCCCGGCCCCAAAACCCAAATCACTGCGGGTTTCGGGCTTGTTTTCGGGCCGGCTTCGGGACCGTTTTCGGGCCGATTTTCGGGCTCGTTTCGGGCCGGGGTCCCATTTTCGGGGGCACGGTCGGTAGAGACCATTGAGGAAGGGCAAGACAGCAAAGGTTTCTTACTAAAATAACTAAAATCGAGTAGGGCAAGCTGGCAGAGATCCTTGCCGAAAATGAATTGCACTCAAAGGCAAGCTAGCAGTGATTTTGGCGATAGTTTTCAGGCCAGGGCAGGCAAGCAGAAATTCTTTACGTAAGCTGATGCTTGGGTGATCAGTGACGGCTTTTCGGGAACAGTAGCTTAGGTAAATTTCCACTTCTGAATCTCTTTAAGAATTTCGACATTATGATTTTCGACATTTTGATAGAAACCCCGTTTCAAATATACTTGAAGCAGAAAGCCCAAAAAAGCCTAAGCCTAAGCCTAGAGCAAGCTAATCGTTTTGTGGTTTTCTTAGGCTCTTAGACTAGCAAAGATCCCTCAGGAAAGGGCAGGCTAGCAGAGATTCTTTAGGAAAGGGCATACTAGCAACTCCTTCGCCGCCCGAAGCGGACAGAATCCGGCACACAAAAAACCGGCTTCTGAACTTTTGAGCCCATCTTGGCGGGGGACACGGAAGTTCCGCGCCGTTCCACCCGGCTCCTCCCAACAGCCACCGTAACTGGCAGCCCATGTTTTCCGGCGGCGGGCCGTCTGTTGAACTTGATTCTGCGCGTGTTGAACCTTTTACAAGGGAAGTCTCAAAAATCCGTCTGGAAAACGTCTGTCGTTGTCGGTCGGAGGAGGAGCCTGAGGGGGGTAGATATGGATCTCCGTTGGACTCAAACTCGCAACCCGCTGGCCGGCCCTCCCCCCACCTCGGACTTTCCTTGGTACAAATCCCCCAAGTCGATGGAGAGCACCTTTCATTTTTTCGAGAAACCCTGAGGCAACGTGGCATCGCACCCGTTTGTGCTCCTTCTGGACCTTGACGTCTGGCTAAGGCATCAAGAATCGCTGCTAGCCTCTCCTTTCCTAAAAAATCTCTGCTAGCCTGCCCTTTCCTCTTTCCTATTTCCTTCTATTTCAATACTATTTGCGTTTAACCTTCACTTCCTTAAAAAACCCACGATTTCAGCCGATCATCACCGCGAAGCCTCTACGCATTAATAGACAAATCTACCAATTTTCGAATCTTGAAACTGTAAAAAAAGCTCGACTAAACACGTTTGAGGTCCGGGGAGCCGCACTAATTATCGATCGAGCTCCGGAGATGAACTGAGCGCCCGATGGGACTCCAGCTGAAGCGCTCAATGTTTCTCCGACTCGCCCTCACCGATCCAAAGCAATTTTTGAGGCCGAGGTGAGCCTAAGCCTAAGCCTAAGCCTAAGCCTAAGCCTAAGCCTAAGCCTAAGCCTAAGCCTAAGCCTAATCTTAAGCTTTTCCAGATTTCTGCCCCTCTGGGCGCTTGGCCTCTCGCTATGCGTGTATCTATTAATGCCCATACCTGTCAGGTAAAATCTCTGCCTTGTCAGGCCCTTTAAGACATGTTTTAGGAGACATCCGGTGCCCTTTGAAAGTCCCTACGACCATGCGCCCTTTGATCAGTTCCTGATATCGTCGTATTATTATCCAAATTCGAAAAGGTAATCAATCATAAAGCCGAGTTTTCTCGGCGTCTTACTATCTCTCTCTCTCTCTCTCTCTCTCTCTCTCTCTCTCTCGCTCTCTCTCTCATTGTATTTCTTTCGCCCCAAATAACGTTTCGCGGAAGCGTTTGATAAGAGAAACGGAGAGAGATAGAGTTAGAGAGCGAGAGAGAGAGCGAGAGAACGAGCGAGAGAGAGAGAGAAATATCCAAATTTTCCAGTCTTGGCCCCAACGCCGTGGCCCTGGTCCTCACCGGCCACATCCACTCCGTCACCATCGAACAGGTGGTGATCATGGGCTGGAACCAGACGGCCAACACGATGCAGATGCCGCGGATGCAGAGGTAGCAGAGACTCTTTAGGAAAAGACATTACTTAGTCACACGCGACATGTTCGAGCTGTTCAGCTGTCATGGCCCTCTGTAAAGTGAATTTAGGATCACGCCTCACCACGTATGCAAATGGGTGTCCTACGAGATTGTCACCAACACCCTGCCCAACATGACGCAACTGGCGATGGTGCTCGGCAATCGATACGAAGTGGTGAGGACTGACTTAATCCGCGGTCGTACTGCTTGAAATTGCCGGCACAGATAGCTTTAATCGGCCTGAATTAATGGCTGGACCGCTTGAACTCGTTGCAGATCCCGTTCCGAGAGCCCGTGTACGAGCGGCATGAGGTTGTCACGTGCATTGCGCCGCTTTTCGCAAATGAGCAGTGGCAGTACGCCCTGTTCGCCGCCCACACCTATAAAAGGTCGGTTTAAGGGGGCGTGCAAGCGGCGAAAATCGCAAAGGGTGTTTGCTCGCTTGCGGAGGCAAGGGCAGACTAGCAGAGATCCTTGAGGAAAGGACGTGCTAGCAGAGATTCCTTAACCTCCTTCCAATTTCAGATTCGGTACCTATATGCATTTGTACGTGCGCAGCATGGTGGCCCCGATGTTTGAGATGTTGAAGGTGGGAGAGAGAGAGAGAGAGAGCGAGAGAGAGAGCGAGAGAGAGAAAGCTAAAGCGAAATTGCAGCCTACGCCGCTGCCCTTTAAACTTTAATTATAGGAATACGAAAAGGAGGGCTACCTCAAGATCCAACCCTGGATGCGCATCAACTTGAAGACGGTCGACGAGGAACTGTTCAACCCGAACGTCCACATCGAATTCCGGAATCAAGCGGCCGCGCAGACGGATTGCTTGCTGCAGTATAAGGTAGTGGCTGGTCTGTGCCAGCCTCCGGATTCCCAAAGAATCTCCGCTAGCCTGCCCTTTCCAGGAATCCGCCTCTTATATCTCTTTCGTCGATCTCGACGACATTCTCATCCCGCGCCTCGCCAACAACTACCTGAGCAAGTTTCCTACGTTTTAAAAAGACTAGGAAGCGAAGAAACTCATTTTTTTACAGCCATCTCCCACAGTAACCCAGGTTTTTAGGCGAATTCAACATGATGTTCGCCGCCAACCCGATGGCCGCCTACGTGCACTACAGCAAGGAGAACGTGGCTGTGCGAGGGCGTACGGCTCTGTTTTCGTATCTATTGTACCTATTTTTATAGATATCGCTTCAGAAGACTTCTCCCTCGCGCAAATGTACTCTTCCATCGAGTTCAAGCAGGTCAGCGGCTCGAATCATCAGTAAAAGTCTGCGTCTAAGCCAAGCCTAAGCCTAGGCCTAAGCTTAAGTTCAAGCCTAAGCCTAAGTCTAAACCTAAGTCTAAGCAAAAGCCTAAGCCAAGCCTAACCGTAAGCCTAAGGTAACCCAAGCTTACAGGTCAACGAAACCGGCAAATTCGTCACCAAGCCAAGCCTGATCAACTCCACGTGGATCCACTGGCCGGTGTGGATGCCGCCAGGGATGCGGGGGTACGTTTGTAGGGACAGTGACAATTCAAGCAACTTTTAGCCATAACGTCCCGCACCACATGAATGCGATCACGCATCTGAAGTTGATGGAGCCGGAGATGAAGCTGCCTAGCAAGGAGGTAAGAATAAGAGAATTCCACAAAGAATCTCTGCCAGCCTACCATTTCCTAAAGAATCTCTGCCAACCGGTCGATTCCAGATCCGAACCCCGCTTTTCGAGCCGGTCGCCGGCATGGGCAACGAGTCGCACCCGTTGCTGACCAAGGAGGATATTCAATGGATGCAGGTGGGAGAGCGAGAGAGAGAGAGAGAGAGAGCGAGAGTGAGAGAGAGACAGATCGAGGCAGAGAGAGAAAGACAGAAAGACATAGAGAGAGGGAGTTAGGAGTTAGTTAGAAATATCACTCTTTTCAGGCCGACCTGGAGCGCATGCTAGCCAAACCGGCAATAGCGGCCGTTTGGCCGCTGATGCCGAAGGAACAATTCTACCTCAAATTAATTATTAAATGCTTCAACGAAACCTATTATCAGTAAGATTTCCAGATCACTACATCGCACTCTTTCCGGTTTCACTACTCTGGGCGGCACGACAAAATCACGTGCCCCGGGCCGGATAGATGCAAGGTAGGCAGGCTAGCAGAGATTCTTTAGGAAAGGGCAGGCTATCAGAGACTCTTCAAGAATGCTGTAAAAAGAATGTTTTTCAGTTCCCCGAAAACCCGGGGATCCTGTGCGCCAACTCGGACGGCGACTACTTTTCGACAAGCGGCAACCAGCGCTTCAACATCCATTACGTCACCAATCAGCATTTTCGGGTAGAAGACGGCTGCAAACCATAGAGATTCGGGCGATATATGTGATTTAAGATGCAATAATAAATCTATATGAAATGTGCAAATTTTGGAGGGCGAGAGACAGAGTGAGAGAGGGAGAGAGAGAGAGAGAGAGAGGGGGAGTGCGAGAGAGACAGAGAGGATGAGACGCCAACTCAGACGCGAGTAGTCCATCCCATTCTTCTTGAAGCCTGTGTTCCCCCAGAGGCCCACTCACCCGAAAAATCGGGGGCCATTTCCCCTTAATTGGAAGCGGATGGATCTGAAAGTAAGCTTTTACTAAGAAGCTCTGCTAGCCTGCCCTTTCCTAAAGATTCTCTGCTGGCCTGCCACCAAATTCCCCAGACGTGCTGTGATGTATTATGCCCTTCACGGCAACTCTTTCAAAGGACCCCTGCTGCGTTCTAAACCGATTTCGAGAGGCTGAGGTGTCAACTCGATTCCTTTCACCCTCCCTCCCCATCCTTTAGAAGGTAGTATCAGGCCCCGCCCATTTCCTAAAACTGCCCCTCGGCTATTCACACGGTCAGTCTCCGGATGCCAGACGTCTTCAGGCCTCTATAAAGGGACGGGTCCTGTCCGCGGAAGCCTAAGCCAAGCCTAATCCTAAGCCAAGGCTAAGCCAACCCTAAGCCTAAACCTAAGCCGTAGCCGAAGCCGAAGCCTAAACCTAAGCTCCAGCCTTCAAATGCCAGTGTCTTTTCTCTTTTGGCACATTTGCAGAATACCCAAAAAGACCCGGGCGATGATCGCATCATCCATCTCCATCTTGAGCCCAGAGAAAAACCAGAAATGCGCCCCTTCCATCTTTTGATGGCCCGTCAACTTTTCGGGTGGCCCCACCCACCTAGAGGATCGATTTCGAAAGTATTCCTGAATTGTTGTTTTCAAAGGGCTGTTGAAGGCAAAAATTTCTGCGATTTTTCACAGCAAGCCTGCTCCAGCATTTCCATTCCCAGGTACTCCAGATTCAATGGGAAATGGCAGGCTAGCAGAGATTCGTTAGGAAAGGCTCTGTAATCTCAGATTTATCCACTTCCAATTTCAGGGAACGAACCCCGATTTTCCCCTATCGAGCCAGTTATCTCCCCTCGCCCGCTCGAATGCCCATAAGAGGCCCATTTTTCAACGGCCCCTGGCGGGCGTTGAAGGGCCCCGGGGACCCCCGAAAATTGAGGGTCCGGGCGGAAGCTTTGAACCCTCGTTTTGTGGCTATGTTTAGCAATGAGGTTTTGGAAAAGATTGCTGGGAATTTTTCGGATTTGTTGATCGAATCTTCCTAGCTCTCTCTCTCTCTCACTCTCTCTCTGTCTCTCTCTCTCCTTCTCTCTCCGTCTCTCTCTCTCCTCCAGATTCCGTTGCTTCCAGTTTCCAAACGAACCGACGGAATTCCTTGAGCTATATGAATATATGAATCGGTGGCTGGTGATCCACCCCCTCCTCCTCCTCAATCTACAGTTTCTTACAGCTCGGTTCTGCATGGACAGCCGCCAGGTGAGCTTTTAAAGGGACTGTGAAGTGCCAGAATCCACGCTGACGTCGACCTGTATGTAAAAAATAGGGCTCGTGCAAATCGCCGAACGGCTGGTGCCTCTACCGCCAGGAGTCTGGCAGCTTCGAGTGCGACGAGCAGGCCATATGCCCGCGGCTGCTTGGGAAAAATCAGACGAACGCGTGCACGACGACGAAGGGGCAGAATACGATCTGTTGCTGTAGGCAGAGCGTAAGGGTTAGGCGCATTTTTAAAAATACCACAAGCAAAATGCCGAAAAATCTCTTGCATCGAGTTCAAGCAGGTCGGCGACCCGTTGCTTAAGATTAAGTCCAGGCCTACGTCGAAGCCCAAGCCTAAGCAAAGCCTAACAAGTTTCGAAATTTCAATCTGAAAGAGCCCAGAAATAAATTAAGAGCTATAACCCCCGGTTTAGGACGGTTGTGCAATAGCGTTTGCTGACGCGGAAACGGCCAGCGGAAGCAGCAGCTGGCAGCGCTGCTATCACGCCCGCGAATCGCCAAGCAGTCAGTTTCGTTTGCTAATTGCTTTTTTGTCGTTAGGACCAACCGAGAAAAACCAGGAAGAGAAAAAGCGAGAGAGAGAGAGAGAGAGAGAGAAAGAGAGCAAGAAAAATCTAATTTTCAGGCTCCCACGCCTTCCGCGAGTGTCATGATCCGTGGTGCTATACCCTATTTACGCACGTAAGTATGCGATTTTCTGAAGTTTCACGTCAAAAGTCCTGCATGGATATAGACAAAAACACTAAAAATTAGCCCTAGCAATTTCCAGAAGCGCGACGGCGGCGCGCTGCACATGGAATTCGGGTGCCAGTCGCGGCAACTCGTCAAGCACGACGTTTTCCGGGAGCAGTATCGGGTGAGGCTCGGAAAGTTAATAAAATAGACGGTTCTTTGGCATTAGGGGGGGGGGGGGCTGAATTTTCCTTCGCGAAAAAAGTCGGCGAAATTTTGGTCGAAAATCGGTCATTTTGGTCTAAAATCGAACTTTTTGTATTTTTTTTAATCAAAATCAGCAGTTTCATAGGATCAGGGCGTAAAAATAGTCTAGAAACACTTCTTCTATTCCTATTGGGAAAATTGGATCCTTAGAAAAGTGCGAAAGAACCAAAAAAAAAAAACAAAAATCAAGAAAGGCGGTTCTTCAGATTCTCGCTATTCACTTATTTCCAGAAATTCGGCAACAACACGGCCTGGAAGCGGATCGAAGCCCAGTATCATCAGCCAAGGTGAGCCGCCAGCGTCGGGCAGGCTAGCAAAGACGATTTAGGCACCCACATCCAAGAAACAATCCAATTCCAGGTGTCACGAGATCACAACGTCGGCGAACCAATCCGAACAACCGGGGATGTGCTACGATTTTGTATATCGGGTCAGTGGCTGAAAAATTAATTGAAGATCCCCAAATGGTTGATCACGAGCTTTCCAGAAAGAGAAAGGCCGATTATGCTGCTGTCGGGGGGGAGGACCGGTGTAATCAAGATTTCTCCATCAGGAGCCCGTCACTAGACGCCGCCGAATTGGCCCGAATTCGAAGGGAAATGAATGTCAGCAAGGGCAAGTTCGAAAAAATCTGCAGAAAAGCATTTTCCAATTTTTTAGATCGTAGCCTGCTCAAAAGCGTTCTCTTTCTGCTCACAGTGATGCTCTGGGATTGAATGGCGATATCCAAGCTGTGATTCGCCTTCCGAAACTGACTTGATAAAAATTTATTCGCAAACTAACAACCAAAAACAAGCGCACAATCCGTAGCAAGCAAAACAGTAACAATCGACAAACAGAAACAACAAATAGGGGAAAAGGGAACAGTTTACTCGTTTGGCTCCTCCTCGGCCATCTCGACATCCTGGTCCAAGTCGAGCTCGTCGAGCATCTCGGCTAGCGTGGGCCCATCGGTCGGCCCGTCCTCGTCGTCGGTTTCAACCGGCTAAAGTTATGGTTTCAAAGCCAAAAGACCGATTCGCTTACCATCGCCAGCTTTTGTTGGTCCTTGTAGATGTTGAGCTTCTCGCGCAGCATCGGGTCGTCCTCAAGGTCCTCCATGAAGCTGAACAAAAAAGTTGATGCGAGCGAGGAAATCTCACTTCTGGAATTCATCGGCCACCGACGCCGTCTCCTTGCCAACAATGTCGCCATCGATGACGAGGCGCTTCAGCTTCCACTTGCGCTTGGCGGCACGCCGCTGTCGGTCAAAGACCTAGAGGAAACGTTTCGAAATGTGCCATCTTATACCTTCTTGACGAGGATGACGTCGGGGATGTCGTCAGGCTTCATCTTGTCGAGCACATCGTTGTTCACGTTGCAGTTGCGAATGTCGAAGCCTAGGAAACAGTATAGCTGGTGAAACGAGGCGCGTACCTTGAACCAAGTCCCCTGGGTTCAACAAGCGGCCGAGGTGTGTCCGGGCCGATAGCGTTTCTGCGCCGTCCTTGCCCACCTCGTTGGAACGCTGCAGCCAGACGTCCGCCAGGTCGTGTCTAATACAAAATTTCGATCTATACCGCCATAACTAACTTTTTGCTGATGTATCCGTGCCCGGGCTTCAGCTCGACCTCGACCGGCTCGACGTCCATCACGTAGAATTCGGTGAGCATTTTCGGCGTGCACAGCGACTCGAACGACTCGCGCCAAAAGGCGGTACTAAAAAAAGCAGGGGTGATCGGGTCCAGGAAATATCCTACTCAGTCACATCAGCCATTTGCAAAGTGTTCGTGTCAAGCAAGCTGATGACGTTGGAGACGCGAATGCAAAGCACAATCTAAAAAGTCTATTGTATAACAACAAAAAGAAGCTGTGAACCTGGCTCATGTTGCCGAGCTGTTGGGCAAGTTTCTTCGGAAGGCACACGACATTGTCCCTGAGAAAACGGAAATTGCAAAGAGTCAAACGCTTCTCACCTGCAAATCGGGGCAATCTCAACGCAAAAGGTGTGTTTGTAATCGTAGGTGTTGTTCTTGGTGTCGTGCGAAACAAGCTCCTGGGCATAGTGATAGCGAATCGGCAGCACCACGTTCAGGAAATCCACGAAACGACGAGCGTCCTGGAGCTGCGGGAAATAAAAGTCGATTCCTAAACACCAGAATTAAGATGGCAGGAACATCCAAAACCTGTAGGGACCGGCTTGACTCCGGTGCAGTTCTTGTGAGCCGAATGCTTGAGGATCAGCTGCTCCAGGTAGAAGAGCGTTTTCTTGAATTCGGCCTTCTGGCGGACCTATAAAAATTCGTTAGTAAAAAAGGGATTTTAGGTCGCACCTGGACACAAGCGCGCCAGAAATCCTTGGCCTCGGCACGACGACACTCGTCACACATCTAAAAAACGGGTTCTAGGACCAGAAAAGACTTTGATACCTGATTATGCACTGAAAACTCAACGACCAGATCTTGCTGCAGGATTGTGGAAGTGAAGACTTCCTTCTGGATCGTCAGTTTCACCTAAGTACATCTTTTTCAGGACAGAAAGGCCAAATCACCTTTATCCGCTTGGAGTGGGCCTCCGTCCAGACGAAGACTGCATCGGTCAGGCGGACCTAAAAAAAATGAAAGCCTGGACACCCAAAAAACACTTACTTTCAGCATGCGTGGCTTCAGCTTTTTCAGGCAAATGGCGAGCAGCTCCTTCGACTCGAGCTCGGCGCGGGCCCAGCTGGTTGGCGGCACGAGGTAGCGGTTGCAGAACTTGCAGATATAGAGCGTCTCTAAACGGCAAAGATTCTTTTGCTGACATAGCGCGACACGAACCGGAGCGCGGGATACCCTCGGTGATGTCGACGTGGCTCTTGATGCACTGGGGGCACATGTTGGCCTGGTTGGGCTGGATCGGCAGCCCGCACTGGCAGCACAGGATAAGCCCCGTCGAGGGGGCCATCGCCATGTGCTCCATGGTGCCTGAAAAAAGGTGGTTTTATAAGCGAAAACATAATTGAAGAAGAAAAGGCGCGATCTCGGTTTGGCGGACAAAATTTTAGTTTCCACCGATCCTAGGGGTAGTTTGACGCGTTGAGCGAAAAAAAACAACGTCCCAGTTGGTTTTAGGCCAAAAATTGAGCTCAGCGCGTTGAAGCTTCAAAGCGCGAAAAGCAAAAAAGTCAAAGCACGCATGATTGTGCAATCCGTTACGAAATGAAAAACCAAGAGGGCATATTTTAACCTAGAAGTTTTAATAAAGTGCTAAACGGCCTTTTAACAACAAAATGCATCTCGAACAGCAAAGAAATCTTTAGAAAGGCTTTTACAAAGTCGAAATTCCAGATTTTTACTAACAAAATTCGCATGGGGAAGGCGGAAATTCGTCGAGCCGGCTGATGCTACATGGGGCTACCATCGACGCCTGAAAGCCCGGGATCGCAAAAATCACTTCGTACTTTCATTAGCCTGATGTTTAGAAAATTTCTTTCGCCTTTCGCCGCAATTCGCCGGTCCTTTTTACAAAAACAAAAATATTTAAATTTTGAAGCCGAACCCGGCTCTCAGACGCCATGTCACTGTCACCGACCAGGGAGCCGCCGTCGTTGCCGAACAGCCCGCTGAAAATGCTCGATGGTAAGTCCGGATTTCGTTTAAAATGTTTAATTTCAGGCCCAAATTTGAAGCGCGTCGATTACCTGCCCTGGGACGACTACTTCATGGCCTCGGCGATATTGGCAGCTGAAAGAAGCAAAGACCCGACGACACAGGCGAGCTTTCGATTGAATTATAGTGCGCGTTCAGGGATCGGCCTCGTATATTCCACAGAGACCGAACAGAAAAGCGTGCTCCTTTACATAGCCAACGCTTTAGAGACCTGAACATGCAGTTTAGAGACCAATGATTGTTTGGCCATGAATATGATCAATTTTCAGGTCGGCTGCGTGATCGTCGACGCTGACAACAAGATCATCGGTACGGGCTACAATGGGATGCCCCTTGGATGTCACGACGATACGATGCCCTGGGGGAAGGTAAGCACGGCATTGGCGAGAATAATCAGATCTTTCAGGGTAATGCTGATCCGTTGATGAACAAGCACACCTTCGTTGTTCATGCGGAGCAGAACGCGATTTTGAACAGCATCGGCAAGATAACTGGCTGCCGACTCTACACGAAGCTTTTCCCCTGCAACGATTGTGCGAAATTGATCGTCCAGGTAGCTTCAGTTTGTAAGCGCCACTGCTTGTTTTTAGTCCAAGATCTCCGAAGTCATCTACATGCTCGATCGGGAATCCTGGGAAATGGAGGCCGCGCGTGTGCTTTTCAAAAGGGTCGGCATCAAATTTCGGTACGTTCAGTCCTTCCGGAGTCTACTTAATCTTAGGCACTTTAAAACCCAAAAGAAAGCGGTGACGATCCACTTCGACCGCGCGTGCTACGAGAACGACGCGAAATTCGACAAACAAGATGCTTGATCAAGATTTTTGTGATATGATTTAATCGGGTTCTAACTTTCAAAGTGTAACGTCCTGTGTATATTTTTTTTCTTACATTTTGAATGATAATAAAAATTGCTAAATTTCAGTGAGTAAAACTAGTGTCGAGGCTCGCGCTGCAGGAGGCGAAATCGTGAAATACGTTGGGAGTTGGGACCGTCCCACTATAAATGCCTGCCTGCATACATTAACATGCAGAAATCTAGATATCCTCGATTTATTCGCGGGTACTGTGAGACAAAGCATATTTTAAGGTTAAACTGATGCCCGATGACCCTCCGCGCCTTCGGCACTCAACGCAGAAGCGCCGCTCCTCAGCGTGCTCAACTTGGCGATAGCTGCTCTTGCCTCCTGAACCATTCATCCATACATATTAGCGACACGGCTTAATACTGAGCCTAAACCACTAAGCCCCGTGCCCACCTGTAGCTCGGCCTCCATCACCCCGTTCATTTGGTGGAGCATGGCCGTGTACGTTACCTCACCGCCGCAAATCACCAAATTTGCTTTGAGGGTTGCGATAGATGAGGAGAGAGTGTGATCCTGAAGATTGGAGGGGTTCGCAAGGCCGTAATTTATCCCATCGACTCTTGGCAAACAGCCAAACGAACTGCGCAGCCGTTGTGGGACCCGTCTGTGACAAAAGACCGTGCCCGAGGCATTTTTTTTTGAAATTGGCAAGGAGGGGTACTGTCGCTGGGGTTGAATTGGGGCCAAAAATCGAAGACGCGGGATTGGATTTTGCCTTAATGGGCCTTTTAAAACAGACAGCCTCACCTTCAAATGCCAATAGAAGCGCGCGACGTCATGTAGGGTGACCACCTCATCTGCCGTCGTGAGTAGCGTGTAGCCGAGGGAATATCGGCATAGCGCACCGTTTACACCATTTAAAACGAGAGCCTCCAGAGCACAGAGCTTGTGGGAGAGCTGCAGAGGTTTTTTTAAGGAAGGGCAGGCTAGCAGAGATTCTTTAGGAAAGGGCAGACTAGCAGAGATTTTCTAGGAAATAGTAGGCTAGAAGACATTCTTCGCGAGCTCCCCCGCTCTCACCATAACGAACGGCTCCACTTCGAAGGCCACGCTTGGCGCGAAGCCGGCGAGCAGCTTCACCTGCACCCACTTCACCGGCAAGTACGGCTTCCCGGCCCGCATAATCTGTATTGAACCTCGAGTCTCCTTCATTGCACCCACCGCCGGGATTCGGACGCCATCCAGCTGCGCCCATGACCACCGCTTCAGCGCCAGGTGCAGCTCGGGGCCTACGGGTAAGGCCTTGGCGCTCCCGCGCGGCGCAGCACCCTGGAATTCTGAAGGGTTTTAAGGGACTGGGATGACTCTTGGCAATCTTGTCCATATTTCTCTATCTCTACTCCCTCTCTCTCTCTCTCTCTCTCTCTCTCTCTCTCTCTCTCTCTCTCTCTCTCTCGGTCTCTCTCTCTCGGTCTCTCTCGATCGCTTGAAAATGAAGAAAATGCATACATTGACTGGCGTAGAAGACGTGGGCTCGGGCGTTGATTTGCTGGAAAAAGGTTGCAAATGTCAAGGGCGATTAAATCTAATTTTTGAAGTTTTTTAAGAATTTTTCTAAAACTGGGCTTTCGAAAACGACGCACCTTGTCTCGGGCTTCTGGTCGGTTAGCACCATTTTCGGCGGGAAATTCCGGAAAAGGCCAAGGTCAGAATGGAGAATAATAATTCGAATATGCGTCTTCTTGCCAAGCACGCTTGTGGGATGCCTAAAATTGCCCTGATTGCGAGCCGTTGGAGGGTTGCAATAGATTTTGAGCGATTAGATAAGGGGAGGGCCCACCCTCGACTTGGGCTCGACAATGCAAAAGAAATTACGTGGTTTTGTGATAAAGCGAGAGTGAGAGAGAACGAGAGAGAGAGAGAGTGCGAGAGCGAGTGAGAGAGATACATAGAAAGAGAGAGTGAGTGAGCGAGTGAGATGGAGAGAGAGTGAGAGGGAGAGAGCAAGAGAAATAGAGAGAAAGAGATGGTGAGAGAGGGCGAGCGAGAGAGAGCCCTACATGTGAAATCTCGTACGAAATTCGTGTAAAACCGTGTATTAAAATTTTTATTCAAGATTTGCTTTCTGGTTCCGGAATTGGTTCAGGCCTCGGCTTGTTCCTTGTCCTGAAATTAGCTGTTAATCGCTTCCTCAGGGATCTCTGCTAGCTTCCTCCAGAATTTCCCGCAAACGCACCTCAAAGTACTTGATGCATCCATTGATCACCTTCTGAAAAACCATATTCCCAGCTACGGTAATGTGCAGCGAAATAGCGCCCAGGTACATCCAGAAGGGCCCGAGAAGCCCGTAAAATTGTTTCTAAAGAAACAATTATTGCCGTGAAAACTGGCACTAGTTACCGCATTAACAAAATGCGTGGGGATGGCCTCGATCCACTTTTGCCGATTACCTGTAAAGCATACAGGTTCTTTGGCAATTTTGGGGGGGGGGGGGCTGGTGCGAACCGAATTTTTATACAATTCCAGAAATTCCTATTATCTTATTAAAACACGATTATCTAATCGTGTTTTAATAAGATTTAAATATATTTTGAAGCGGAAAAACTTTCTGAAAAATCTAGAAAAGCGAAAGCTTTGAAATTTTGGCCGAAAAATCTCATCTTTAAGATTTTCCAGATGAACCCCACCGATATTGCAAAAAGTTCCATTAAATTTAAATCTTAATTATTCAGAAAAAAAGGTATGAAAGATACTAGCAGTATAAAACTCACCAATGGCCATGATCAAAATAATGGCCAGCGCAATAATATCGGCAAAAAGCATCAGCGACCGGAGGACGAGTATCTAAAAAATTACCAATATTGAATGGCAAGCTAGCAAAGACCCTTGGAGAACTTGAGGGCTACTGGCAGGGATTCCTTAGGAAGCATAGCTCAACCTGGATATTCAGGAAATGTCGTCGTTCCAAATAAGCCCCAAACACTGCCGCCACAATCCCCGCCAAATACAGCGTGGCCACCGAGGCGACGACAAGACGAAAATAGTTTTTCTTAAATTTTCGTAGCAATTTGTATCTTTTCGTACTTACTAAAATAAAGAAACCATGTGCTTCCATGGCAAAATAGATCACGACAAAGCCCGCGATGAGAAGCGTCTAAAAGTGCGGGGTTTTTGGTCTTTAGTAGTTCCGGTAGTTGTCGTTCTAATTTTCTTTCGCTAATTCTCTAATTTCTAAGCTTTCTAAACGGCTTCTAACCATTCCAGACTAAAAACTTTACAAAAAACCTTGTAAAAATACAAAAATACAGATTTTCTACCATATATTGAAATTTTAAACATTTAAAGCTTTCTAAACAGTTTTCCTGCGTCAAATATCCCCTATCAAAATTACCTGCACCGCAGAAATGACGTGAACGGCTGTTGTTGCATGGAAAAGCTCAAAAGTGGCTGCCGGGTAGTATTTCTCGGCTTGGCCGTCGAACTTTTCCCATTTCCCCGCGCGGTCCTAAGTTTTTAAAGCTATAAAATTAATGCGAAAAGCTCACCTTCATAAAATCCACTAGAAACACACTTTAATTGTCACGATTGAAAGTTGGGGGCCCGAAAAAAGGGGGGAAAACACTTGAAAATGCGGAAAATCCTCGGGATCAAGGGAGTGCGGGAATCGATTCGAGTGCGTGCGGGTGAGGATGACCTCGTTTTGCAGTCAACCTGTCCGGATGTGGTATTATATTCCGAAAGGAGCATCGGTTGGCGTCTGGCAGTGACAAAAATGAGGTGAAAAAAATGGTTGCTGGAAATTCTAAAGAAAGTCCAAATCGTTCGCCAGAGCAAAAACTGTGAAATTGGAATTTTTAGCGCTCCGTGAAGATCGCTGCTGCAGATTTTTCTTTATCTTCTACTATACAGGATTTAGAAAAGCCAAAGAAGCCTAGAATTTTGTGGAAGGATGAAAATTGTTGAAAAAAATGTGTAATTTGGAAATTTTTTTGTGTTGTGCAACGTCTCGGCTTCAGAACTTGCTTTTTCTTCTGCTGCGCCGCTGCTACTTCATTTATCTTCTTCTTTCAAGCCTTTTCAGCGAGAAAAAACTTTCATGCATGACCGGAACTTTTCTAAAGTTTCCTTTTTCCGGCGATGGAGGGCCGTCTGGCATCTTGTGATCTGCCCGCTGCCTTCCCTTGGTCTCTGCATCTCCTCGCTTCCCCACACTCTCCCTATCTCTTGCCAGACAGCAGCATCAACATGGAATAAACATTGTGTCAGCTCATTCTCACTCGCTCATAAGCCAAATTTCATTCAATTCTTGTTTATTGTATTCCAATACCTATAACCCAGTTTTTTTAGATTTACTCAGTGAATGGACGCAGTTTGACTGCCTGCTAAATTGTGATAATGCCCAATATAGGTAATTTGCTTTTAAAAAGCATTTTACCTTTATTTTTAGATGAAATTGAACAACCGCGACGTCCATACACCACCATCTACGCCGGCCTAATTCCCACCCGGCGATCGTGAGTTTCCTTTTTGGAATTTAGGCAATATTTTGATCCCTAAAGCCTTTCTAAATTTTTTTCTAGTGGCAAGCGGGCCCCATACTGGCAGTGGGTTCTCGACGAAGGGATGCAGGTCTTCAAGGAGCGCTACAAGCATGTCTTCCGGCGCGGCGACACCAAAGATTGTGAAGACATGGGCCAGCTATGGGAGGAGCTGTCCCCCGACCGAAAAAGTCATTTCAAAGCCCGTGCGGATCAGCAGAATGCGCCAGAATTGGTTGGTGATGATTTTATGTGCGAAAATTCACTTTGTGTGTAGGTGGCACGACGGCGGGCCGCCAACGTTGAGCACTACCAACGGGCCGTCGAGAAAGACCCGGGATTGGCGTTGAAAGAAAGGGTTGGTCGGAAGTTCTCTTTGAAATTTGCTCTCTAGTCGATCCGGAACGCGATCCAGCACCGGAACGACATGATTTTGGCCCGGCGAGCCGCCGAGGAATCGGATATTCCGGTTTACACGCAAGACCCGTTGGTAAGCTTGATGCCTTGGTTTTGATCCACTCTTCAGGTGGTCAACGATCATTATATGCAGACGCTGATTGACGCCAAAGCCGACGTCATCAAGGTGGGCTTCCGCGTCACCAAGGTCAACCTCAAGGAACAATCCGTGGAGCGTCAGTTAATCTTTATCCGCTTTTGATCAACATTTTTACAGAAATTGTCCAGAATATGAATATGGCCGTCTTGAAAATGAACATCTACGATGATTTGTGGGTGAAGTATTGTCGATATTCAATTTTACTTTTTAGTTATACGTCCTCAATTTTGAGAAGCCATCCTTCTGAGGTGGCTTTGGTCATTTTTTCGCCGGAGAAGGGCGTCATTGTGGGTTTTTCTGCCGCCTTTGTTGACGATGTACTTTAGACGACAAAGACTTGGCTCGTCAGCTTTTCGCCAAACCTTCTCTACAAGTCGGACACCGTCCCCGGTGAACACTGGAAACACCTGAATAACGAGAGTGGGTTTTTGTAACGCTATTCAGTCAATCTCACTTTTCAGCGGCCAAAACCGGCATCATCCCGACGTCGGGACAATACAGGCTGGAAATTCCGCGGGTTTTCTACGAGCTCGGCGAGATTGTGAAGGAGTACACGCCCTACATTTTGGTCAACGAAAACGATTGGAATCTGGTTAGAATTGGAAACAGTTTAGAAACTTTTTTAGGTCCGTACGTCGATGTTCTTCATGGCGCACGGGTCGCAGGCTCCAATAACTTTTGGTAGAGTTTTACTGATCTTTTTAAAACATAATTAGCGGAAGTGGAAGTAGTCCAAACTGGTTTTTTACTAGGCCGTAAAAACCTATACAAATTGTTATTCGAAAAATACAAGAAATATAGTTCTTTTCGACCAAAAATTGCCGTTTTTGAAAAATAGTAGTTTTTCTAAGTAAATTAGAGTTTTATTTTACTAAAAACGTTATGAAAAACCTTCTATTAAGTTAAAAGGCATATCACTACAGAAAACTTGCCCCCCCGATAATGCGAAAAAACCGAGTTTACTTTTGTGTACGAGCACTAAATTTTCAGGTGAAATCGAGAAACGGCTCGTCTTTTGCGAAGATTTCCTGGGATTGCTCTCGGAATTCTGGATGTCGGAGGGCGCTCCGGAGACCTACAAACCCTGGACAAATCGTATGATTTAGATAAATTTCTAGAGAAACAGATTTTAGAACAAATCTCCGACCTGTTGCGCGAAAACATGTTGGCCCGCGACTCGCCCGACTACCCGGGCTGCGATTTCCATCGGGATTGCGAGCTGAGGCACCGTGCCAACTGCGCGCTGGGGAAAGCGCTGGTTGTTGTGTGAGTTTTTCATCTTTTGAAATAAAACGGTTGTCGTTGTTTTAGCCATCACATCTTCACGATTTGGGACGAGACTAAGTTCGCGAATTGCCCGGAAAAACCGCCACATCTCCACGACCTTGCCATGGATCTGCCGCCAGGCGTGACCGTCTATGGCACCGGCTCCGAGTGGGTAATTTGTGCTTAATCTTTATTGATCTATTAGAATTTACAAGATCAAATTGCCGGTTCTTTTGCATTATCGGGGGGGGAGGGAGGGGAGGGGAACCAACTTTTCCCTATAAATCTAGTGACGTAAAAAAAGAAGTTTTTAGCAAGTTTTGACGATATTTAAATGGTAAAACATCAAACAAAATAGATTTAATCTTACATTAAAAAGCTTTTTTTTGTAAACAATAAACACTTTTGCTCGAAATTTGATTCGCAACCGGCCATTTTTGCACGAAAATACATATTTTTTGCAATTTTTAAGAAAAATATGAAAATATGCACGATTTTTATGCCCTTGAGCGTTGAGCATATCTTTTTTGCAGTCACCTCGTGCCCGATAGCGAGCTCAACCTCAACGAGTCGTACGAAGAGGGCGACTACATCCCGGACGCGGAAACTGTCGCCAAAGTCAGAGACGCGCTGAGCAGAAGTGAGTCGATTTCTGGAGACTTGCAATTCCTAATTTTGCAGGCCGCCTGACCGACGAGGACAAAAATATCGGGCCGGTCAGAACTGCGCCCAGCGGCTATGACGTCGAGGACGATGATGACCTCGATAGTGAAGAGGGCTTTTCGGCGGCGGGACCGAGTTCGGGGCTCCGACACAATGGCCCCGCTCAACGGATATTTGCAACAGGCACAAGCCAAGCGCAAGCACAGCCTCGCCGTTTCGGAAATAATCCAGGATATTCTGGATCGCAAAATGCTACTCCGAACGCCTACAACGGCTGCGCACGACCGGAAGACCAACATCGACGCGGTCAAGAGTTCCAGGGTGGCCCTCGCGACTTTCAAGGAGATCGACGCTTTCCGGAGCGGCCGGATTACCGAGAAGATTTGTATTACGGTCAGCAACCGGAAAGGGAGCGATACCAAGAACCTGGAGGCTACCGCTCGGCTGGCAACGATTACTATGAGGAACCCGGAGGACCCGTGCGATACGGCGCTCCGACGCAAGGTGAGGACGGTCTTTTCGTCCTGGACTGTTAGCAGGAAGCTAGATTTTCCCCCAGTTATCCCTTAAACCATTTGAAATTTAAAAGATTTCAAAAAATTTTGGATTTTTGGTCAAAAGTGTATGAAAAACAACCAACAAAAGATAAAATTTTTCGACTTTTCAACATTTCAACATTTAAAAGTGGTTTTATAGCATTCTAGCGATCAAAATCTACTAAAACACTATAAAAATATTGATTTAATAAATTTTGATATAACCTTTGTATATTACAGGTGACCATCGAGGCCGCCGGAACTATGAAGACCCTCGCGATTACGGGAATCCTGGAAACGGATATGGACCCCCGGATCGGTATCGAGATGATGTCTACGCACGGCAGCAGCAACAGCAGCCCGTCCGCTACCCGGCCAACGATCGCAACAGGCCCCTCCATCCGGTAGATGATCACTTGGCTCGACGCCCGGAACAGGTGAGAAGCTTCGAATTTTCGCTTCTTGAAGGCGTTCTTGTAGTTTTGAAAAATTCTAAATTAGGATAGCTGTAAATAAGATAGTTGAATTCGATAAAAAAATTCTAATAAAATGGTTCCCATTAACTTACCAGGTATTCCAGAATTGTACACCCCCCCCCGATAATGCAAAAGAACCAGGCTTTTCGTGGCGTTCATTGTCTTGTTTTTGTGACTCATCACCCTGCCCCTCATCGATCATTTTCACATCACAAAAACAACCGAACGCGTTTTTGCGTCGTCTCGTCCTTAGTTATCCGGCGCCCAATTCTTGGCCGTCTGGCCGGGTGATAAGGTTTTTTTCCTGCGAACCACCAGATTTCCGGGCGCCCCATACCTTGGCGAGTCCGGTTTTTAAACTTAGAATTAAAAACGCCGAAAAAAATTGAACTTTTGTAGTTCTACCCGCCTCCTGCGCCTCAACCTTATCGTCAGCCGCCACTAGCCGTGGACCACAACGCACAGCACTATGAAGCTGGCAACCCCGGGTTAGGCAGTTCAATCGGAATGTTGATATTTTGATTTTAGTCGCTACACGCCCAACCACACCGCTTCCACGACGCAGGACACTTCTTATCACGTTGGTTTTTTCTAGATCGGGTACTTTCGCATTATCGGGGGGGATTTCGAGGATTCATTTTTCTAATAAAAATAGCGATCGCGTTTCTAAAGCGCTTTTTCCACTAAAAATAGCCATTTTTGGCCAAAATTTCGACGGTTAGAACTCTTTTGACATTTTATCGAGTTGAAAAACTATTAAAATGCTTACTTTTAGCTTACGAGGCATTTGGGAAAAAATGAAAAAAAAATAGAAAAAGAAACATCGAAACCGACCCTCCCCCGGTAATGCGAAAGAACACCCGGATTCGATTTACACCTTTTTCTTCAGACAGCCCTCACCTCTCAGCCGATCGCCAGCAGCAGCAGCAGCACGAGGACGCTGAAGAGCAACAGGCCCCGATTCTCGATCCCAAGCGCCCCGATCAGTCGAGCCCCTGCCGCCAACAATCAACCTCCAGCCGCCCAGTGGGATGTGGAGACGCAGGAACCCCGCACTCGGGCCCCGTTGCGGAAAATAGAACTCGAATTCCAGTACGTTTCAATGTTCTTTTTCTAACTACGATTTTTCAGGGCGATCAGCGAAAATGAGTACAACCAGCAATTGGCGATACGCGACCGCCTCTACCGCGACAAATACCCAAGGGCGGCCGGTGTGGAAATGCCCGGTACGTTTTTTTTTGGATGCTTGGGGCAGTGGTACTGAACCGTTTGCAGGGGGGATTTTAATCAGGGAAACCACTTTTTATCTTGCCGCTTATTGACTACTTGTTGAAACTAATTAATGTATTGTTTTTGATTGCTGGAAAGTAACAAATATTTTGAAATTTTGCAAATGTTTGCCTTTGTTGGTCATTTTTCATAGGTTTTTTTACCAAAAAAAGTTAAAAATTTGAAACTGACATGCTTTTTGCATCTAAAAACTGGGTAAAATGCAATAAAAATCATTTGCAATTAAATGAGTTCCCACTTCTAACAGTCCAGTACCTCAAAAGCTTTTTTGAAAACTAAATTTACGTTGTTTTTCCAGGGCATCTCCAACGTTTCGCGGCGGCGCATTGAGAAGCCAAAGGAGCCGGGACCAACAAGACCATTTCGTTGTAATGAATATACCATGTCTATCGCTTGTCTATGTTGATTCTATCTACGGTTCTCTTGCGCTTTCACTTGCTTTCGGGTTTTCCGGTTGCCGCTAGTCCGATTGTCGTCACCCTTTTTACTATCATTCGCTTTACGATTTACTTTTTGTTGCCATATTGGGTGTCGAATAAATTGTTGTTTACGATTTTTTGTTGTTGTTATTTCTATCAATGTAGGCTAGCTTTTGCCATATTTCTACGTTTTCCCCGCGGAAAAGCATTCTCAAATCTCGAAACAAGGTTCCTCAGCTTTGTGTTCAGATGTCGTCCTTTTATGGCGACGACGATGATCTGGACTACGCCTACGGGATGGACGACGTCGATCGGGCGGCTCGGCCTATCGTCGTGCTCACCGGATTAAAGAGGTTTTTCAAAGGTTCGCGATCTTACCGTCTATTTCTAGGAGTGGAAAAACGTCGATTCGCAAGGTCGTCTTCCAGAAGATGTCCCCCAACGAGACGCTGTTCGTCGAGAGCACGGCACGCGTCGCAAAAGACAGTAATTAGGTTTTTAGAAAACTTACCCTATCTTTTAGTCATCACCTCGTCCTTCGTCAGCTTCGAGACGGTTGAATTCCCCGGGCAGCTGTGCCCCTTCGATGGCAACACGGAAGATATATTTCGGTACGATTTTTTCTAGGTGTTACGCAATACCAAAATTTTAAGATCCGATTTTATTATTAAAAAGTGCAGGTAGTCCCATCGAAACTGTTTTCTACTATTCAAAACGTAAAAATTTACGCGTTTGTCTCAAAAATTACAAAACAAGATATGGATTTTTGAACCAATTTTTTTTTCTTTTAAGCTTTGTTGGTCGTTTATCCAGAATATAAGTAAATTTGCTACATATATACTATCCAAAAAATTGCTATTTCGTTACTAGGCCTTTCTGGCTTATAAGAGAAAAGCGACCTCCCCCCGATAATGCGAAAGCGCCGTTTTTTTTGTCTTACGAATCTGATCCGTTTTTTTTAGGCGATGCGGTTCCCTGCTCTTTATCATCGATTCGCAGGACGACTATGGAGAGTAGGAACTTTTAACAATTCTCACCATTCTTCCCTAGGGCCCAGAAATTGATGGCAAGCTACTTTTCCCGCGCATACGCCATCAACAAGAACATCAATTTCGAGGTGTTTATACACAAGGTAAATTATGAGATTATATCCAATACGTCATTTTAGGTAGATGGCCTGCCGGAAGACGTGAAGCTGGACACGAATTTCGAGATATTCCATAAGGTTTGTGGATTCGCAAAGATTTCAACGTATTTTTTTAGTTAAAAGATGACCTAACCGACCAGGGTCACCCAAATTTGATGAACCAAGTCTCCTTTCACCTGACCTCAATCTACGACCACTCCATATTCGAGGCGTTCAGCAAGGTGATTTTGAGAATGCGTCATTTATCGGCTTTTTTCTCAGGTCGTCCAGAAGTTGATCAAGCAGTTGTCGACGTTAGAGCGGCTGCTGGATATATTTAATCAGGTAACGGCGCTCAAATTTTTTACTTATGATTTCTTTTGAGAGCTCAAACGTCGAGAAGTCGTTCCTGTTCGACGTCTCCTCGAAAATCTACATCGCCACCGACACGACGCCCGTCGAAATGGCCACCTACGAGTTGTGCTGCGATATGATTGACGTCACCATCGATATATCGTCAATTTATGGGTACGCAAATTTACTTTTGCTCAACAACTTTTTTGTTTGCTTTAGGAGCAAGAGCGATGGCTCGTCGTCGTTCGACGAGAAGTCTTACTCCGAAATTCGGCTTCACACTGATCAGGTGGGATCGAAAGGTTTCTCTGAATTTTTTACTTTTCAGCTCCTCGTGCTCCGCCAACTATCACGACAACTCGCCCTCGTCTGCATTTTGCGCTCCGACAATTTCGAGAAGAAGGGCCTCATCGAGCACAATTTCAACATTTTCAAGCAGGTCGGTTTCGGATTCGGGATTCAGGAGATAGCCCCGGTTTTGTTTGAATTTCTTTCACGCACGTGCTGGCTCTCTCTTTCTCGTGCTCGCCCTCTCTCGCTCTCCCTCCTCTCATGCTCTCTCTCTGTCTCTACCCTTACTCTCTCTCATCTCTCTATCTCTCGCTCTTTAACCGGCACGCGCGTTTCCTCCTTCGAAAAACATCCGCTTTTTTAGGGCATCGAGAAGGTCTTCAAGGTGCGAAGGCAGATCGCGCACGGCGTCTTCGGTCAAACGCCTCCCGTCGGCTCGTACACGTGATGACCAAGCAAAATGAGCCCTGCTGCTCCCTCCCCTCGCCCAACTGCATCATTGTGATGAAGATCGTGAAATTGCCCCCCCCAATTTTTGTACTTATAGCATTTGCCCCTGAACTTCCCCGCCCCCTCGAGATTCCATGCTTTGACCTGTTACCTGTGATCATCTTTGCACACGCCTCCCTTTTTTGTGGTCTTCTAGGCGTCCGTGCCGTGTTACTAGCTCTGAATTCTGTGTTGCGAATAAAGGACTAAACTATGGTGATTTCTCGCCAAAAAACATAGCCTTGCTGCACCTGCGAGTGTCAAGTCGAATTGCTGCTGAAATTCGAGGTTTTTTGAAACAGACTTAAATACGGAAAGTTATCTAGAAAAATCTAGAAAGACCATCGGAAAACTTATAAAATGGTGAAAAGTCTAAATTTTGCCCCCGGAAATGCGAAAGAACCTCAAGAAGTAGCAAGGGCGTCAATTGGTGCACTTTGTCATCGGCTCCCGACTCAACCGTCGCCTGTAATGGGTTGGAGGGAGGGGGACTGTGTAAAGAAGCATCCGCTTTTCAAGAACTTCGCTTTCGCCCCCCGCTCTCCCCCGGCTGCTGCTGCTGTGTTCGAGGCTCCCTATTCTTCGCTCCTTTTCAGGATGGGGTCGCCTGGGGGCTGGAGGGAGAAGCAATCCAGTTCTGCCACGGCCACCATCACCAAAAGCTCTACCCATGCTGGTTTTTAGGGCCCCGGCTGATCCGCTGCCGGGCATCCGGGGGGCGAATCAGCCCCCCCCATCTGCCAGCTTCTCCCCCCGTTTTTGAGCATCTCGGTATTGTTTCCTTTTTTGTGCTTAGGCTTGGTCTTAGGCTTAGGCTTTTGGGCTTGAGCTTAGGCTTAGGATTAGACTCGTTTCGACGTATCAGCCACATCACTTTTTCCAATTCACTCTAGCGTGCATTTAGTGTACTTCACCGGAACCGCCTTTTCAATTTTTAAAGGGCTGGAAAATACCCAGATTTCTGTTATTTATTGCTTATAGTTTTCCATTTTTCCTCGTCATTTTTCGGAAGAAAAAAAGCGGAATTGAGTTTATTTCACCCTGCGCCCGCGGGGCTTGACCCCCCGCCGCTTCCCGCCCTAAAAGCTGCCCCCCTAAAAACGAGGCGCGGAGGGCGCTTTTGTTCGTCTGTAAGGGGCGAGAACGGCACTCGAGCGCCCAGATATTCATATTTGCACGCGCCCAGGCCCCGGGGGGAGGGCGGCTTGTCCTGTCCGCCACTTCACAACTTTCCAATGGGTGCTAGCGAGGCTGAACAAGGGCTGAACTTGCCGATACCTTTAAAATGGGTGCTTGTGTCTGCCTCTCTCGCTCGCTCTCTCTCTCTCTCTCTCTCTCTCTCTCTCTCGCGCTCGCTCTCTCTGTCGCTCTCTCTATATCTCTCGCTCTCTCGCTCGCTCTTGCTTCAAACTTTGAGCTTTTCCGCTGCCCTTCCTCAAGAATCTCTGCCAAGCAGTTCCCTCCAATTTACAACGTCTCCCCCTAACGATTGCAAATGGCTACGCGCCGTCGACACGGGCGCACACATCGCCCGGGCCCTTGCCAAACAGGGCGCGCGCGGGGCGCGGACGCGCTGCCCGACGTGTCCCCCGCCCTTCCTTGGATTAGCCGATATTTGGGCAACACGCGCTGGGGGCTGATTCCCCTGTAATGGGGTGTCCAACACAGACGGACAAACAAACAGAGTAGATACACACCAACAAATAAAGAATCGGAGGGGCTGGAGCAGAGATTCTTTAGGAAAGGGCAGGCTAGCCGAGATTCTCAAGGCAATGCAGATTGGCAAAGATCCTTTAGAACTGGCAGGTTAGCAGAGATTCTTTTGGAAAGGGCAGGCTAGCAGGGATTCTTTGGGAGACTTTTCAAGCGCAGGACTATGCACAAACTTTAAAAACTGTTCCGAATTTAGTAATTTTTTTATGAAAAATCAATATTTAGATGTTTTTAATAATTTTTTTAGTAAATTTTTGATATTCAGGATGGTAGAAAAAGTTTAAACATATTTTCTATTTATCTCATAAAAATTTGATCCTAAAAGAGGTTACCCCCGCAAATCCTCATAAGCAATCGCTTCTACAACCCCTCGGGCAGACTAGCAGAGACCATTTCGGAACTCGCGTGTTGCTATTCACGGCTACGTGTCTGTCCTGTAGACGGTTAGGGAGGGGGGGCGGAAGGCCCCCGTCCCCTGGTTGACACGTGCTTCCGTCCCGCTGCCTGCCATCCGGGCGTCCGGATCGGCCCAGTCAAGGGCCCACACTCATCGCTCACTTTTCGCGTTTCACTTTTACGGTAACCTCCCGGAGGGCGTCATCGGGTAGCTTATCGTTTTCCCCAGGTGGGCCTTAGCCCTTGCGCAAGAATCTCTGCTAGCCTGCCCTTTCCTAAAGAATCTCTGCTAGCCTGCCCTTTCCTAAATAATCTCTGCTAGCCTGCCACTTCCTAAAGGATTTCTGCTTGCATACCCTTTCCTTAAAGATCTCTGCTAGCCTGGCCCTTTCATGATAAATGCCTATTAACCTGCTTCTTCCTAAAGAATCTCTGCTATGTTGCCATTTCCTTAAAAGGCACTGTCACCTCGCTTTCTTAAAGAATTTTTGCTAGCCTGCCATTTCCTAAGAATTTCTGCTAGCATGCTTTTCGTGCCCCTTCCTCAAGAATCTTTGCTAGCCTACCCCTACGTAAAGAATCTAAGTTTTTTTGAATATTTTTCGCGCTTGCGGCTTAGGCTTAACCTTAGGTTTAAGCGAGGCTTCGGCTTATGCGTAGGCTTCAGCTTGAGCTTCGGCTTAGCTTCGGCTTGGGCTTACTAGCCCAAGTATCGGCTTTGGTTCGCTTCCGTCCAGTCCGTCGAATTCCAAGGCGTCACCGACGTATCCCACCGCCTACCTGTTTCCCGCCTCGGTGTTGGTGTCTATTTGGCGGCTGTTTACCCCGCAATAATGCCCCCATTTTGACGTGGCTACGCATCGGCCGGTCCCCCCCTTCGCGCGTGGAATATGATGTTGCCGCGCTGCGCGTGGCCCCTGGAAAGGGCCCAAAAAGCCCGATTTTCTGGGGGATCCTGTAGATTCCGGGCACCCCATTCAACCCTATTCACATGGGGGTGGGCTGGGCCCTTGTCCTGGTATCGGGTGTCCGGAAAATGGGCCCCTGACCGGAGGAGACGACTAGATGACCTTGGGCCTGACTAAAAGCAGGTACTGGGGGTTTGAATTGGGACGGTGGGGACCGGATATCTAAGATTTTGGGAAGACCAGGCTAGCAAAGATTCTTTTGGACAGGGCAGGCTAGCAGAGATGCTTTAGGGAAGAGCAGGCTAGCAGAGATTTTTTAGGAAAGGGCAGGCTAGCAGAAATTCTTTAGGAAGGGGCAGGCTAGCAGAGATTCTTTAGGAAAGGGCAGGCTGGCAGCGATTCTTTAGGAAAACGTGCTTGTGTTTTCCTAAGCCTAAGCCCAGCCTCCAAAATGTTCTCTGCTAGCCCACCCCAAAACCAAAGCTTTTCCCCTTCTGCTTCGTCGAGGTCAAACACCCCATTCTCGGTGCTCAGGATTTCCCGTTTTTTCTGTACAAGATCGGATCTGACCCGGGGGGCAGAAGGAGGGGCGAAGGGTCAGTTTTCCGGGGGCGATTTGAAGTCGACGATAGTAATCTGCTGTAGCGGCCGGGGGGTGTGGAGTGAACTGGTGAAAGCTTGTTTGTTGAAAGGGTACCTCGCACGGCGTTTCCCCTGTTGCCCCCGGGGGCTTTACCGTACTTTTTTTTGATCCAGGAAGGCGCATATCAATCGGCTTAGGCTCCGGCTCCGGCTTGGGCTTGGGCTTAGGTTTAAGCTTGGGCTTAGGCTTAGCCTAGGCTTAGGCCTTGCTTTTCCTTGTCAGCCGCTGTCACTATCCCTTTAAAATGGATTTGTCTTCTTTTCCGAATAACTTACTGAAGCTCGAACGAGCTGCCTGGCTTTTATTTCACTTTAAAGGCGCACGGAAGCCGGCTACGACTCGAGTATTCGAGTAGATTCCAAAAACAGTCAATAAATTCTGCTAGCCTGCCCTCCTCGTGCTCCGGGAAAATCTCTGCTAGCTCGCCTTTCCTACAGAATCTCTGCTAGCCTGTCCTGCAACTACCTTTAAAATCCAGTTGCTCTTTGCTTTGAAAAACCTCCAGCGGTTAGCGAACGTCTCCACCCAGAAACACCCCCGAGGCGCTGGTGCAAATCCGCTTGTGTTTGCGATTTGGGCGAGAGAGAGAGAGAGAGAGAGAGAGAGAAAGAAAGAGAGAGAAACAGAGACTCAGGAAAACACGGTCCCCCTCCCTGACCAATCTTCGCGGCATGTTCGCGCCCCTAATCCGCTAGTCAGCCGCCTTCCCCAGCCCCCCGGGTGGCCGCTACCGGAACCGCTTTTCCGCGGCTTTCCGCTACGCTCCGCTTTACGCTCTCTGGTTTTTCGGATTCCTGTAGGAATTCGGGCTCTCCAGCAACTAAAGGTTTTTCTAGGCGATCGGTGGCTGATCTGGCTTCCAAAGATTTCCCACTTGTATTTTGCTTATCTCGTTCTCTCTCTCTCTCTCTCTCTCTCTCTCTCTCTCGCTTTAAGCGCTTTCCAGTTCCCTTCACGTTCCTAAAGGATCCCTGCTAGCCTGTCACTTTGAGCTCTTGTTCAGCTCCACCTCAATTCCTTGTCGACTCAGATTTTCCTTAAGAATCTCTGCTAGCTCCCCCATTTTAGGTCAATTAAACGGGTGGCCCGGTGGGCAAGCGAACAATGCGAACGCGGCACGTCTGGCTGCTCCCGGCGGCGCTGTTTGCCGGTAGGGAGGCTTCATCAGCCCTTAAAAAATCGAATGACATGCCATGGCCATTTTACACGGCTTTTTTACAGTAGCCCGATGTCAGAATCAGCCCCTATTCGTGGCCGACCCGATCAAGGACCCGGCAGACGATTTCCCGAAGGTGTCTAGTGGTGTCAGCCGGAACGCGAGGATTGGGGCACAGGTAAGGGACAATATCAGTTAAATTTTAGAGTACTGCCTACTGTTTCCTAAAGAATCTCTGCTAGCCTCCCATTTCCTAAAGAATCTCTGCTAGCCTGCCCTTTCCTAAAGAATCTCTGCTAGCCTGCCCTGTCCTAAAGAATCTCTGCTAGCCTGCACTTTCCTAAAGAATCGCTGCTAGTCGGTCTCCCATCAAAGACATCTGATTTTTAGCAGCCGATCCCAGACCACCACGAACCCGTCTGGAACACGAACGCAGCGCCCGGGGCGCCGCAGGCCGGTACCGTACCCCGAGAGGCAAGTTTTCGAGACCGTAATTAAATAGGAAGGTGTCAGCTCGCTTCCGGTTTTGAAAATGCATTAAAGGGCCTATGAAGGATAATCCATAACCCCAAATCCCTTGGCAATCAGCCAACCGATCCGTTTGGTCGCTGCGGGACCCGTTTGGGCCGAAAGATCTGAGCCGCAAGGCATTTTTTGGGATTTTGGCAGGACGGGTTCTGTAGCTGGGGTTGGCTGGCGACCAAAAAATACATTATCTAGGTTAGACTTGCCTTCAGTGGTCCTTTAAAACCGATTTTAGGTGCTCACAAAAATCGATGGGCCACAAACACCACGCCGGAAGGAAGAGCGAATAATCAAGACGGCCAGAAATTCGGCTGAAAATGAGAACAGTGAGGTTGGCATATCGCTCAGTCTCTCTCTCTCTCTCTCTCTCTCTCTCTCTCTCTCGCTTTCAGTTTCTCTCCACACTATCATCTATAGCTCTCTGTCTCCCTTTCCCACTCTCTATCCCTCTCGATCTATTCCTCTCGCTGTCTCTCTCTCTCTCTCTGTGCCTCTCTTTCTATCGCACTCTCTCTCTGTTCTTTCTCTCTCCCTCTATTTCTCTCTCTCTAACACCTCAAAATTTCCCTCTAGGACCCATTTGCCGCTGAGAAGGTGACGAAAATCGAGGAGACCAAAGAAGAACAAGACTACAAGGATGGCGAGGAGTACACCGACGCCGAGGATACGGTATGCTAACGTACCTATGCAACATTTGAATTTTGCCTACCCGTTCCCTTTAAAGCCGAAAAATTGGGGTTTCAGGAAGATTCGGCTCACGAGAAAGACGACCTCCCCGCGGAGAAGGCATTTGAGGTCACGTTTACGACAAGTACAGGTCGGTGCCATTTTAAGGGACGTGTGACAGGGCCAGTCTGGGCTTGTTGTTGGCTGCGGTATCGCGAAAATGAGGCTAATTTTTTAGTGGAGCCCTTCGGAAGCGACGAGTCGATCTTCAAGGTCGGGGAGGGAAGTACAGGAGGGGTAAGGAACTCGCGTTTGCTGGCTCTCTCTCTCACCCTCTCTCTGTCTTTCTCTCGCATCTACCCTGTTTTCCAGCGTCCCCTCTTCCCAATGATCAAACTCCCTCCCGGCTCCCAGCCCGAAGAAGCCGCAGAAGCCGAAGCTGAACAGGAGCCGGAAGAAGAAGCCGAGGAAGAGCAGGCCATTCAGGAAGTTCCGGTGGTGGTTCCGGAGGTTCCGGTTGTGCCGGCTCGGCCAGTACGTCCAGTGCGGCCGATGTCGGTAGCGACGAGCACGACGTCTTCGACGAGTCCGACTACCACGACGACCACCACGGAGGTGAGAGAGAGAGCGAGAGAGAGAGGCGATGCTGAGGATGATTTAGGCCTCAACCACCCCCGAAGCCTCCGAAGTAGTTACGACTCCTGTTGCTCAGTCCCGCGAGATGGGAGCCGCAGCTCAAAGCGCGGAAATTACGACAGGTACGATGGTTGGGATCCTTTTTAGGGTATTTGTCCTTTCAGAGGTACCCAAAGAAACGACTGAGGCGGAGGAGGAGGATGAGGACGAAGAAGAGGAGGATGAGGAGGAAGCCACTACGGAGAAGGAGATGACCACGAAGGAGATTGCCGAGGAGTTCAAGAGTCTGGAGATGGTGGGTCTGTGGGCGAGCGGGGATTCTTTAAGAAAGACCAGGCTAGCAGAGAATTTTTAGGAAAGTGCAGGCTAGCAGAAATTCTTGAAGAAATCACAAACTAGCAGAGATCCCTTAGGAAATTCAGTAATTGCCGATTTCAGACAACCCCAAAAATGCCATTCCGCCCAATGACCATAAACAGTCTACCGGAAGAGAAGATCGACATCCCGAAGTCGGTGGAGAAACCGATGACCGGCAGCCAAAGCGAAGAGGAGACGATCATCGTCAGCGCCGAGGTCAGCCGGGGTGTCAAAGGGATTGTCACCGCTTTTTCTTGATGAAATAACCTAAACCTTTTCTTCAGACCCCCGCTCCCGCTTCGGCGGAGACGACCGCTTCAGAGGAAGCCAGCCAGGAGACGACCATCGCGTCAAGTTCAAGCAGGCCAACCCATACTATCGTCTGGTCCACGGAGATGGCCTCGAATGAGATGAGGTCGACGGAAACGACGAAGGTACGGTATTGGGATGACATGAAAATTTTAAGGAAATTCTGGCTGGCAGAGATTCTTTGGGAAAGGGAGGCTAGCACAGATTCGTTAGGAAAAAGCAGGCGGTCTGGCAGCGATCCTTGAGGACACTTCCCATTTTCAGGAGCTCGAAAACTCCCAAGAAACCCCAACGGAGCCCTCGATCAGCACCGAAACCATGGAGAACAGCCACGAAACCACCATCGACCCCGACTCCAAAACCACCACCATCACCGTGATGGAGACGACTTGTAGGGGGCTTTTAAAGGAACTTACCACCTTCCACTTTCAGCCCTGGTCGCCTCGCGGGCCACGTTCACGATTCGCGTGCTGAGCGTCGAGTGGCTGTCCGATTTCACGGACCCGGAAAGCGGCAAGAGCAAGAAGCTGAGGGAGCAACTTTTGCCGCCGGTAAGCGCGAGTTTCATCATTTTTTAAAAGGAGCCGCAAGGCATGAATTCGCGCGGGCTCGCTTGGTGTATATTACCTTATACATTACCTTATCTTAAACTTGAAAAATGTTTTTTTTGCTATTTTCGAACTTTTCCATCGCCAAATCCGGACACACGCCCTAAAACGCGCAAGGAACAGTTTTATGGAGGTTTTAGACCTTTCTATTAGCTTTAGAAAAATTCTGTAGTCTTTTATTTATTTTAACCACGCTAAAAATCAATTTTTCTTGAATATCTCAGCGCAAGAATGCGATTATTAGCCTGCAGGAAACTAAATTTTCTCAAAAACCTTCCAAAAAAGTTACAGCAAACCTTAGAGATAATCAACAGCAATCAAAAAGTTTCTACGTATTTTTCTCACCTACAAAAAGTTCAATTCCCGTTTGATTAGCAAAACTCCCAAAAATGAGCTCGAAAATTGGCGCGTCACCCACTCGCCCGGCCCAGCGACCCCAAATCAGCCCCGATCCGTGGTGGGCGGGCCCAACACCACATAGACCCTTTCCCGGTTCCCCCCACCACCGCTTCCGTGGCGCAATCGGCAGCGCGTTCGGCTGTTAACCGAAAGGTCGGTGGTTCGAACCCACCCGGGAGCGTACTTTTTGCTTTTTGGTCGAAAATTTTGGGGACGCATGCTAATGCGATTCAAAAGCTTCAAGTTGTTTTATTTTTCAGCTCCGAGACCTGTTCAACTCGCTGGTGGCGGAGTTCGTGAACGTCGAGGTGGACGGGGTGGAAATGGCCAATTCTGGTTTGGAGAAGATTTTCTTGTTTAGAATAGGTTTAGGGGTGATTGTGAAGGGGGTGATCTACACGAAGCGAGCCGTCGATGACCCAGAAATGGTGGCCACGAGGTGAGACGGGTTTTTTGGCGCCAAATAACGATATCTAGATTGGACGAGGAGCTGCTGAAGCGTGAGGGGGCTCTCGGAGAGCATATGGTCGACCCGAACTCGATTTTGGTCAATGGTGAGTGGGGGCAGGCTAGCAGAGACAATTTGCCAACTACCCATTTTCCAGACGTCCCCTCAAAGTCGGTGATCTCGGCCTCCGGAATTGTGCCCGGAACGGCCAACGGCGGAATCCCCACCTCGGACACGCCGCTCATCCTGGCGCTCGTCCTCCTTGCCCTCCTCGCCATCGTCGTCGTCTCGATTTGCGTCATTATTGTGGGTTTAAAGGGACCCGGAAGGCAAGCTAAGGCCACCCCCTTTGAAATTCGGCTTTCACCCGCCTTAAAAACAATTTTTTCGTCGTTTTTTGTTGTGTAAATTTTGCAGCGCCAATAGAAGCACCACTAACCGAAATTAGGAGAAAATTCTTAGCTGGGAATCGAACCCGTGTGGTTTTCCTGATAAACCAGATGCTAACCGACTACACCACCGAGCACAAAATGACTAACCCGATGCAGAAGCCTAAGCCTAGCCTAAGCCTAAACCTAAGCCCAAGGCTAAGCCTAAGCCTAAGCCTAACCTAAGCACCCACAAAGCACCACCCAAAAATCATTCCAGCACCGCTCCCACTTCACCGCCTGCCCGTTCCCCGACGACGACACATCCGAATACCCGTTTGCTTCGATTTTTGTTTGTTATTCTGCACCTGGGTTACGGTAGCTTGGGCACCATTTATGTTGCACCCACAGCACCCACAACTTGGAAGGCTAGCAGAGATTCTGTAGGAACGGGCAAGCTAGCAGAGATCGCTGAGAATCACTCATTTCCCGCTAAAGCTCATATTTTCAGATGAACAACCGACGGAGTAGCGGGTCCTCAAAAATCAACGGCTCCCCAATGGCCGCCGACATGCCGTCGAGGGCCGAGCAGGGGCTGCACGCGTACGCAAATCCAAATGTCAACTTGTGAGTCGGGCTCTCGGCCAATTTCCAGGCTTTTAAAAGGGACTTTGAAGGCAAATCCAGAGCCCCTAGCCTCTTGGCAATCAGCCAAACGGCCCCTTTAACCGTTGCGGGACGCATTTGGGACGAAAGAGCGATGTACTGAGCCACTTTTTTGGTTTTACAAGCAGGAAAGCTGTCGCTGGGACCCGGTTTGGGGCGAAAAATCGAAGAGATGGGCGTTGATTTTGCCTTCCGAGTCTCTTTAAAAAGCTTCTGGTGCCTTCACTGTCCCTTTAGAGCTCAAAAAAATTCTAACTTTTTGGGTCGGAAATAGGTGGAAGATGGGGTGAAGGTCTAAAATTTTCATAAGCCAGGTATTGATCGCTTTTTATCGATTTTCTATCCAAAAAATGTCGTCACAGCCTTCCGTGGTCCTTTAGGATGTATTACTGTTTTTTTTAGTGTTTTTTAGTGTATTTTTGCTAATTTCTGGTGTAATTTTTGAGGTTTTTTTGAGACTTCTATGGTCCTTTAAAATTCGCAAAGGATTGCTGAGGTTAGGCTTTGGCTTAGGCTTAGGCTTAGGCCTAGACTTCAGCTTAAGCTTAGGCTTAGGCTTAGATCTCTTAAGTTTTGCATGCCTTTTCCTTGAAATTCGGTCCGCAACCCTGTCCCCCAAACCCGGGTCGGTTACGGTAGCCACTCCACCCCGTTCGATGCCCCCCTATTTTCCGCCCCATCCTGGCTACCGTACCCCTCTGCACTCCCGGCGTTAAGTTTCGCTTCAGGACCGCCTATGCGGCTGGCGGCGGCCCCCCAGGGCTCCACCGACACTACGGAGGAGGACCCCATCCACAGACTATGGTAAGTGGGCAAGATAGCAGAGATTGCTTAGGAAAGGTAGCCTAGCAGAGATCCTTTAGGAGGGGTAGCCTAGCAGAGATTCTTTGGGAAAGGCAGGCTATCAGAGATTCTCTAGGAAACGGCAGTCTAGCAGAGATTTTTTAGGAAATAATCCTTTGGATGTCTTGTAAAAAAGGCAGGCTAGCAAAGATTTTAAGAATCACTAAAATTTCACCTAGTTTCTGATTCGCAACTTTTAGTTCCTCTTCATTTTTGCACTTCTCATTTTGCCTATAAGTTGCCCCCGCAGCTACCGTACCCCACGAATCCAGGACTATTCCTCGATGAGCAGCTACCGCCCGTCGTTCTGGGGCTACGACCAGATCGGCGCCTCAGAATCCCCGTTCGCTGAGGGCTACCGCCGATACGAGCCGCATTATTGATCAAACACGGATCAACGGCGCGATTTGACTCCGATTAATGCGTCGACGACCCACACGTCGAGCATCTGCCCACGTTGACACCTTTGAATTGGTACGAGAGCTACGCATGCTACGCGAGTGTGCTGTGGACGGATGCCGTGTCTGCTGTGCCTTGAACTTGCAAGATTGACTGTGCGGCTTGAATGGACGCTGTTGTTTGGAGTGCTGTGGAGTGGGGGAATCTGGCAGAGATTTTTTGAGAAAGGGCAGGCTAGCGGAGATTCTTTAGGAAAGGGCAGGCTAGCAAAGAATTTTTGGGAAAATCTAAACGAGCAGAGATTTTTGAGGAAAAGGGCAGGCTAGCAGAGATTTTTTAGGAAAGAGCAGGTTAGCAGTGACAGTTCTGGAATGTTGCCTGTGAATGCTGTTAAATTTCCGTTCCCTCTACACCTGCTGTCCCTCTTCCAAACCCCCTGAATTCCCTACCGTCATCGGTTGCATTCCGGAATGTTCTAAAACTGACTGTAATGTCGTGTTTGTGGTCTGAACAATGTGGTGAACTAACCTGGTACAATGTCTTGTTGGCTCTAAACTACATAGTTTCCGCGAGACTACAGAATACACAAAATATAACTTGTTAAACCGAAGTTTTTTCAGATCTCACCGCAACGCGCCCGCCACGCCGAGAAGGAAGTTGTCTGAGCCGTTGCAGCCAGATTTAATTTATTCAATTTCACTTGGCAAGATTTTTTGGCTGAGTTTTCAGCTTTTATGGGCATTTACGAAAAGATTTTGATACCAAAATACCTCGTTTAAAGGGACGGTGCCAGCTGCGAGCCTAAATTTAAGCATAATACTAAGCCTAAGCCTAAGCCTAAGTCTAAGCCTAACCTAAGCCTAAGCCTAGCCTAAGCCTAAGCCTCCGCCTAAGCCTAAGCCTAAGCCTCAGCGTTATTTCAGCTGGTTCCAATAATGCTAATGGTTATTTAAATAGATAAGAAGTATACAAAATAAATTTTGGATTTGATGCCTAAAGAAGGTAAAAATTAAGGTTTTTGTGAAAATTATGCAAAAATATTTTTAAAAAATTACTGTAGGCGAAAAATTTCGGTTTATTGCTGGCACGCTCCCTTTAAACCCCCAAAAATCCACGATTTTCCAGAATCTATATTGCCTTCAACGGCCCGTTAAAATGCCCTCCCCCCGCCCGGCGCCTTTCAAACCGAATTTTCAAACTGTGATAGTAAATTATTAACAAAATATGCACATTTGTAATTTTTGACTGTTTTTTTGGGGAATATTTTGGCCCGCGGTGCTCAAAAAATATTTATGATAATTCTAACGATTTTTGTGTGATTTTTCGCGTTTATTTTTGTGTACAGGCTACGGTATTATTTGTTTCGTGATTTGGGGCCCGTAATAAAATGCAAATAATTTTGTATAGAATTTATGCACAACAATTAAGATACGACCCGCAACACAGGGAATTCGTGAAATCGTGGAATTTTTTAGCAAAAAAATCAAAGGCGGAAAGGTTTGAAATTAGTGCAAAATAGTTTTAACCCGGTTTTTAGATAAAAGAAACCCTAAAAAGCGTCTAGCAAGGAACCTAGAAAAATGGAAGGGCAGGCTAGCAGAGATTCCTTGCCTGTACGCGCAAATCACCCTAAAAAACATCCTAAAGGAACTTAGAAGGCAAAGATTTGAACGGGCCCGGGCTAGATTGGCCTTCAATGGCCCTTTAAAATGAATCACCAAGTCACTACTGTAGCTCAGGCCCGGCTCTGAAGTCCGTGGTCTTCCAGCGTCTGCTCCAGAATCACCTTCACCGCCAGCCACGTCTCCTTGGCGATGGGGAGCAGCCAGTGAGGGCGGACTTGGAAGGCGAACCAGGCTGGAAATGGGGAGATACAACTCTCTTTCTCTCTCTCTCTCTCTCTCTCGCTCTCTCTCTCGCTCTCTCTCGCTCTGTCTCTTTCCCGCTCTGTCTCTCACCCCTCTCTCTCTCACGCACATGCACGCTCTCTCTCTCTCGCTCACTCGCTCTCCCTCTCTCGCTTTCAGAAGCCTACACGATAGATCTGGCGGCAGCTCGAGAACGAAGACGTATTTTGTCTTGGTGTTCGCCTTGATCCAGTCGGTGGCTCCGCCCGTCGCTGGGCCACCTAAAATCAACGTTAAAGGGACCGTGAAGGCAAATTCCTGATCAATCTTTGCTAGCCTGCCCTTTCCCCGGGACTCTCTGCTAGCTAGCCTAGACGATTTCCTACCCAGCATGTCGGCCGCCGTTCCGATTCTGTACTTTGTCTCCCGGTACTGGTAGAGAGCTTCGGCCGCCCTGAAGGCTAGGCGCTCCTAAATACAAATTTGAGCTTCAGCTTCAGACTAAGCCTAAGCCTAAGCCTAAACCCCAATCCTACTGCATCGTACCATATCCTTATAGTCCTCCGGGTAGTGCTTCCGGTGGTCGTTATACGGTAGAATCCACAGCTGTCCATGGGTGTGCATCGAAAAGTAGGCGTGGAGCCGCCCGGACAGCTCGCGGCCGGTCACGTAGTCGCGGACAGCTCTGGAATCAAGGATTTGGGTTTAAGAGATGGTTAAGAAAGAGATGGTTGTTTTTAAAGGGAGCGTGACAGCCAAGATGGTCTCAACGAACCGTGTTTCCGGCTCACTGAACGGGAACGGGCCCTGAAATTCGTCGGAGCAGGGGTTGTTGAAGGGGTAGTTGGTCTGGAAAAGCGATACGGTATCTCTCTATCGCCCTCTCTCTTTCATTCGCTCTCTCTTCTCTCTCTGCCCCTCTCATTAGCGCGCGCTCTCTCTCTCTCTTTCTCTGCTCTCTCTCCTCGCTCTCCCTATCTCTCTCTGGCTGACCTGTTTGAAGCTGAAGTCCCAGTTCCGGTTCAAATCCACGCCCTCGCAGCAGACGTTCCGCACGGTGGTCGAGTGGAATCCGGTGCAATTCGCCGGAGCTCGATTCTTGCGCCATTGGCGGATCTGAAAGTGGGTAATTAGCAGAGATTATTTAGGAAAGGGCAGGATAGCAGAGATTCTTCAGGAATTTCACCGACGCACCAGATCTTTCGTGTCGGTCCTGCTGAAGATGAAGCCGTCCGGGTTCAGCACCGGGAATATGTAGATGTCCAGCTTGTTGATGTAGTCGGTGATGCGGTCGGATTGGCCGTAGCGGGTGACAAACTACAAATGTTGGTCTCCTTTTCTCTCTCTCTCTCTCTCTCTCTCTCTCTCTCTCTCCCCTCTCTCTCTTTCTCTCTCGACTCGCTCTCTCACCTGCTCAATAAAGTAGATGGCGGTATGAAAAGCGGGCCACTCCCTGGCGTGGTTGCCGCCATCGATCCAGACGGCCGGCTTCGGGACGGCGCTCGGGCGCCCGATCTGGGGTACGGTATTTGGTACGGTAGCTGCACGGTACCTTTAGCCCCAGTAGGCGCCGTCCTTCGTGGGTCCTTCCGATGTCGCGCAGCTGGACGAACGATGGGTTCCGCTTGGCTACCTAAAGACGAAGGATTTCTTCTACCCTGCCATTTCTGAAGATCGCTGCTAGCCTGCCCTTCGTAAAGAATCTCTGCTAGCTGCATGGCGCCTACCTCGATGACGTACTGCTCGAAATCAGGAAAGTCGTGGTACTGCGTGAGGGCGAACGGGGGCGTCCAGCCCGCCAGCGCCGTGCCGAACCTATTTCCAATCTTTAAAGGGTCTCGGACAGGAAGGCAGAGTCTGCTTATTCCTCCATCACTCGAGAAAACTCACAAAAACAACAGCAGCGGCACCATGTTCGATTACCCAAGTTGAGCCCTAGGGAGACCCGTTTCTGTAGTTTGCAGGCTGTAATTACGCTTTACAGGAGAGAGAGCGAGAGAGAGAACGAGAAAGCTAAAAAGTGAGCGAGAGAGAGCGACAGAACTATAGAGAGCGAGAGACAGAAATTTAAGGGGCAAAAAGCAAGCTAGCATCGATGGTTTAGGAAAAGGCAAGCGAGCAGAGAGGGTTTGAGCAACAGCCCCGAAACCTATGACTCCCACCAGCAAACGAGCAAAAATCTGGCAACTAGCACACAATCGGCTGCCAAACCCGTGAACAATGGGTGGCGAAAGAGAGGGACAGAGAGAGAGAGAGGGAGGGAGAGAGAGAAAGACCGAGAAAGAGAGAGAGAGAGAGACAGAGAGAGGGAAACAGAAGAAATGATCTCCTCAATAACTTCTCAACTCCACGACGAGTTGAGAAAAAATTGACAACCCCTCCGCCGTCAATTTGCCCAAAAAGAGATGCAATATGGCTGGGGGTCATTTCTTTCGCGCTTAAAGGGTCGCACAAGGCAAAAAATGGCGATTAAAAGAATCCGGTAGCTGGAAAGTGATGGCTACGAGAGGAAATGCACCAAAAATAACAATTTCCAGTCCGGGGGATTTTAGAGAATCCGATTAGCAAGTTAAAATCACTGTAAATCACGGCATGTGGCTTAATAGTCTACTTTTAAAGGAGCCAGGTAGCCAGAAGCAGCATGTACAGACAAGGAAAATACAGAGTAGTGCAATGGAAAACTACGGCCGGGAACCGAAACCTAGCAAAACGTTACACCCAGCCGGGGCTAATTTGTCAAGGCCGGAACGGGCAAGGTGAAGAACAATGATGGAAATTTTGCCAGGGAGAAGGAGGAGAGAGAGAGAGAGAGAGAGAGAGAGAGAGAGAGAAACGACAAGACCACCTCTCTGCCCCTGGCACGTTCCTTTAGCGGACTACGGTAAGTTTGACATGCAAGCCGAGATCCCTTAGGAAAGTCAAGCTAGCAGAGATTCTTTAGAAAAAGGCAAGCTAGCAAAGATCCTTTGCGGAAATTCAAGTAACCAGCGCCTACTAGCCGCTACTAAGGACATTTGCAGCCGAATTAAGCGATGATCGGGTGGGGGGAAAGTGTGAGCCCGGCGCGGGTGGCGGAAAGAAAGAAGAAACAGAAACAAAACCGGTTGTGCCTCCCCGCTTCGACTTGAAAATGTGTGTGGGTGGCTGGCAGCTAGCTGCTGCTGATAGTCTCCAACGCGATTTATGGCCTGCCTGGGGTGGTCACTTGAGAGGCTCAAGGAAATTCGACGTAAACAGATGGAATCAGGGCATGGACGACGGCCTTCAGGCTTTAAAGGCCCCTCGAAGGCCTTTTAAAGGGATTTGGAGGGTTGGGGTACTAGCAGAGATTCTTTAGGAAAGGGCAGGCTAGCAGAGATTCTTTGGGAAAACTAGGCTATCAACAACGGCGATGAGGCGGGCGTGCATGGAGTAGACGGCGAGGACGAAGGGCGGTGCCTGCTTCGAAGACCCAGAAAGATTTTTTAAGGGGCCCTTGAAGGCAAATCCTTGACCCCCAGACTCCTGGCAAGATGCCAACCGATCCCTTTAGCCGTTCGGGACCCGTTTGGGACGATATCCCCAGCTCTTTTTTTTTGGATTTTCCAGGAGGGGTACTGTAGCTGGTGTTGGCGTAGGGCCAAAAACCGAAGGGGCGCGGTAAGATGTGCCTTTAAAAGCCCTTTAAACTGAAGACTTTCACTCTGGCAGACCAGTTTCTACCCTGGCTGTGGCGTGCCCTGGCGCTTTGCCAGGATTAGGCGCAATTCAGGGAGCCAGGTTCGGGGCCTTGAAGAGGCTTATCGGCAGGGTGGAACCTTTTTGGCATGGTAACAGGGAGCTTTCGCTTTCTCTACCTTTTCCTAAAGAATCTCTGCTAGCCTTTCCTTTCCTAAAGAATCTCTGCTAGCACGCCCTGTAGCTTCCCAATCTCTTTAATGCCCATTTTCTCCTTCTATCTGGCGTGTTCCCGCAGGCTATGCGGATATAGCGACACAAAAGAGGCCGGTAATCGGAATGCGCGCCTCACCGTATCACATTTCTCCCCCCGGGCGCTCAAAACGGAGAGCCGCACCAATTTCACTGTGCAGCTCTCTCTCTCTCTCTCTCTCTCTCTCTCTCTCTCTCTAGCTTCGGCTCCCAAATTCGCTGTATCTGTTTCACTTTCCGACCGATGATTTGATTACCGAGGCTCCGGATTCCGGACCTGATCCTTGCTCCCCCCGGGGCTTCACAAGCGGATCGCCGCGGAATCGGATGTTTTGGTTCGATCTGCAGTTTTCTCAAGAATCTCTGCTAGCCTGCCCTTTCCTAAAGAATCTCTGCTAGCCCGCCGTCTCCTAAAAAATTGCTGCTCGCCTGCCCCAGCCTTCCAAATCCCTTTAAAAGGTATTCCAACCTCACGGGGCTGTTTTTTTTTGGGCCCACACCCCCAAAAGTGGCCCTCAACCCGTTTTTCAAGCGAATTGAAAGGATGGGCTGCTGCTGGCCATTTGCAATTCCCCCGGCCATTCATCCACCCGGGCCCCGGGCCATGTGAGGGCTCTCAAAGGGCCCTCACAATTTGATAAAATACTCGTAGCCGGTCTCGGCTACTGAGGTACGCGCCAGCTGTATTGGCGTGTAACAAGGGCAGCCTTTTTGGGCAAAGAATCGCTGCTAGGCTGGCCATTCTTGTGAGATTTTTGTTATTGTTTATTCTGTGAGTGTACCTGTGAACGGGGCCCCCCCCGGCCGGGGGCCTTTTTTCCTGCGGCCTTCTTTCTCTTTTTATATCCTTTTCTTTCCCCCTCTCTTTCCCGGCCCAGCGGTTTCACCAAGGATGCTTGCTGGCGTGGCTCGAGTTGCTCCATATCTCTCTCGCTCTCTCTCCCTTTTATCTAAGCCTAGGTATAAGCCTAAGCCTAAGCCTAAGCCTAAGCCTAAGCATAAGCCTGAGCATAAGCCTAAGCCTAAGCTCCTTGTCATCCCACCCGGCATTCAAATTCCTCAAAAATTCCAACGACTCCACCCTAAAAGCTCTCCCCTGAAATTCATCCCGCCCGGCTAAATAGGCCCTGTTTTCCGCCGCCAGCCGGTGAAAGGCGCGAGGTGTAGTCCTCGTTTTTTGCGCCTTCTCCTCCTCCTCCCTAAAATGGATTTGGTGTGGCTGTAGGGGCGGAGATTCCACACCCCCCAAAGATATTGATCGGCCTCCGCGGGCCCGCGGACTGTGAATTTTTTGCATTCCGGGCCGGGTTGGAGCGTATTTTTGGCTGTGCTTTTTAATACTGGGCCGTTGGACGTAGCGGATTTTAATACACAACATTCCAATCGACAACTGGATTTGGTGGACTTTTTGGTTTCTCAGCTTGTTTTTGTACTTGTGAACAGTTTGGAGAGAGAGAGAGAGAGAGAGAGAGAGAGAGAGCTAGATCGGCAGCTAGATCGAAAGAGAGCAAAGAATCTAGATCAAAGCAAAGAAACTCTTCCAGCTTGCCCCTGCCCAGAAACGCCGCCACCATCTTTCCATCTCTCGCGTTCTCTCCTCTCTCTCTTTCTCTCACTCTCTCTCTCTCTCTCTCTTTCTCTTTTTCTCTCTATCTTGCTCTCCTCTCCTGGACCCCAAGGAGTCGCAAACTTCCGACAATATCCTTCCCTTCCCGGCCCCTTTAAAAGTACCGCGACTCCAGAACCGGTGCCTAAGGGTGGCTAATTTCCGTTGCACATGTCTTTCCTTACCTCACAACCACCCCGAAAAAAGTTGCACAGCCCGCGGGGCATTGGTGCGCGGCTAATTTGAATCGAAATTGGCTGCCCTTGCCTTGGGAATCTCCAACAGCAGCCATGCAACTATTTTCGGGCTCTTAGAGGGACTGAAAGATTCCCAAATTACCTCTGCTAGCCTGCCCTTTCCTAAAGAATATCTGCTAGCCTGCCCTTTCCTAAAGAAACTCTGCTAGCTTGCCTCTTACAGCCTCCTCTCCACAATATCCGGGCTCCCATGGTTCCGCTGGAATCCTGGGCGAACACGCTTTTTTGCAGCTGCCCCCACCAAACGTTCCGCCCGATCAGGCGCGCCGATTTTATCGCGGGGGGCGGTGTGTGTATGGCTGTGTATGGGTGTGTTCCGTACAAGTTTGGACCCCGGGCTTGAAAACAGGTTATCGCCTTTTGCGAGGGGTTCCGCCAGGCGGCTATAGCCGTCAAGCGGAACTCCCTCAAAAAACAGCGCAAGTCCAAATATTGGCCGAGGCAGCACAATGAAATTTCTTTAACCCTGGCCGTAATTCTGACATGCAAAATCTTAAAACTCAATTCAAAATACCGACAACCGTATCTCAAAAAGATAGAATACCACTTCGAAAAATCCCGACAAGAATAAACCCGCAACTTGCAAAAAATACCGATAGTCAGAATTCCGACAAAACAAAATCCTTTTTCTACTTGTCGGGATTTTGGCTGGCGGGATTGACGTTGTTGTCGGGATTCTTTCGGAAGGAATTGTTCAGCATTCGTCTCATTCGGCATTCGGGATTTTGCCAAAAAATGCCGAACAAACGTGAAAATTTCGTAGTGTCAACATTTTTCTTTTTCGACAACCTGTGCTTTCGGTATTGTGGCATTTCGACCTGCTGATTTTCGGTCTTCTGGTTTTTGACATTTATTCCGATATTTTGGCATTAATCGGGCGCGATTGTCGGCATTCTGCTATTGCGATATTATGACTTTCCAATATTCTGATTTTCGACAATCTGTTTCTAGAAATTCCGATCTTCCGATATTTGCGACATTTCGACAATTTAGCGCGTCGGCGCTTTGACTCCTCGTGTCACGACGTCAGAATCGATATTTTGATTTTTTGACAGTCCGTTTTTCGGCCTTCTGCCCATCGACACCAATAGAAAATTCGAACAATCCCATTATTTAGGGCCATGACTCATCCGGTCGGTGC